TTTTTCAAAATTATTTTGAGATAAAAGCTAAACAAAAGACTTGTATACTTGAAATGAAAAGATATCGAACACAAAGAGCCATCGCTGCCCTTAAGGTGGACCTAGGGGAACAAAACTGGAATGAGGTTTATGTTAATGATGACCCTAATAATGCATATGATGCATTTTTGTCAACTTTAATTCTGTTATATGACAAACATTGCCCTTTAATGAAAGTCACCAGGAAGCACCAGTGTTCAAATAAGCCATGGATTACAAAAGGAATAGGGAATGCATGTAAAAAGAAAAATATTTTATATAAGAGATTTATAAAACAGAGGACAAAAGATGCTGAAACAAAGTATAAAATATATAAAAATAAATTAGTAAATATTATGAGAACAAGTAAGAAAGAATATTATCATACATTATTGGACCAAAACAGGAGCAACACACAAGAAATATGGAGAGTATTAAATAGTATAGTCAAAAAGGGTGCTAATAAAACTGGTTATCCAGAATACTTTATAAAAGATAAAGATATTATTATTGATAAAATTAAAGAAATAGCTAACGAATTTAATGATTTTTTTGTACATGTTGGTTATAACTCGGCAAAAGACATCCCTAAGACGAGAACTAACAATGAAATAGATCAATATATAACTAAAAACTCCTCCTCCATGTTTATCAGTGCTGTAAATGATAGAGAAATAATTGATATTGTCAAAACACTTAAGAATAAAAAGTCCACTGATTGTTTTGATATAGACATGACATTAGTTAAAAGTATTATAGAATATATTGTGCAACCATTTACATACATTTGTAACCTTTCTTTTCAAACAGGTATTTTTCCTTCGAAAATGAAAACAGCAAAAGTTATTCCTATATATAAAAGTGGAGATAGGCACCAATTTACCAATTATAGACCAATATCACTACTTCCGCAGTTCTCAAAGATTTTAGAAAAATTATTTGATCATAGACTTGAAACATTTATTGAGAAACATAATCTTTTAAGTGACAATCAATATGGCTTCAGGGCAAAAAGGTCCACCTCGATGGCAGTGATGGAACTTGTGGAAGGGATATCTACTGCAATAGACAACAAGGAATATACAGTTGGTGTTTTTATAGACTTAAAAAAGGCATTTGACACTATTGATCATAGTATATTAATGAATAAACTAGAGAGATGTGGTATTAGAGGATTAGCATACATGTGGATGGAAAGTTACCTGGATGACAGATATCAGTATGTGCAATTAAATAATGTAAAATCAAATCAATTGAGGGTCACTTGTGGGGTCCCTCAAGGGTCTGTGTTAGGCCCGAAATTATTCATATTATATATCAATGATATCTGCTATGTTTCCAAACTGTTAAAATGTGTTTTGTTTGCTGATGACACCACTCTCTATTGCTCTGGTAAAAACCTAGAACAGCTTCTGACTACAGTTGAAAAGGAATTAAATATTCTGAAATATTGGTTTGACATTAATAAGTTATCTCTGAATTTAAATAAAACAAAGTTTATCATTTTTGGCACCAGAAAAATAAAAACTCAAGTTAAAATCAGGGTCAATTGCATCGAAATAGAAAGAGTGAATGAAAACAAATTTCTTGGTGTGATAATTGATGATAAGCTTTGTTGGAAGCCACATATAAATAATGTGAAAACCAAAATGTCAAAAACCATTGCTATACTTTATAAAACAAAGGATATCCTCAACAAGAAATCACTATACACGCTATATTGTTCTCTGTTACTTCCATATATGACCTATTGTGTGGAGATATGGGGTAGCACATATAAAACCAATACTGATCCTATCTTTAGGTTACAAAAAAGAGCTATAAGAATTATAAATCGATCCCACTTTCTTGAATCAACTAATGCACTGTTTCTTAATTCAAATACCCTTAAATTTTATGATTTAGTTGAATTTAAAATGGCTCAGATAATGTACAAAGCACATAATAATTTACTTTGCCGTAGTACTCTGAGGCTGTTTGAAACCAGAGAGAGTCAATATGATTTGAGGGGAACAGGTTTCTTCAAAAAAACTAAGACAAGAACGAATATTAAGCAGAGGTGTGTTTCTGTTAGAGGTGTTAACCTGTGGAATAGCTGTGATGATGAATTAAGAATGTGTAGTTCACTTTCCTTATTTAAGAACATGTATAAAACTAAAGCAATAAGAAAATATTTAAATCCGGTATGAAGAAGAGCAATAACAAAATATTGAAATTTTTGGTTGTGTCTGTATACTTGTTATGGAATATTGTTGGTTTATTTATTTTCTAACATGTTTTTGAGAATTTATCTTTTCTTTCTCTCTTTTTCCTTTTTCTTTAGAAGACTTGTGGTGTAACTCAGACCATGTTGTTAAAGAGTCGCCTTGCTAAAGTTTTTGTTTTTTTTTAAAAAGGGTAGGCAAAATAAGCATGAGCTTCAGCCTACACCTTTTCGATTAGCTTTATGATGCTTTTGAAACTTACTATGTATCTGTTGTGGGTGGATTTTAAATGCTAATCGAATAAAATAATTAATTGAATTGAATTGAATTGAAATAACTTTTTTGTGCACTCGTCTCAAATATTGCACCTTTTTTTTAGATTTGGGCAGCAAACACATCAAGAATCAAACTTACTTTGACTCTTCAGAGCAAAAACAAATCTTTCAAAAGCCTACCATAATTTAGTGTTTTCAGAACATGTAAATCTTACTCAGACTTGGACCAGTAAGAAGTAAAAGAAAAAATGAGGAAGAACTTGGTAAATCAGGCCTATTCTTCCCAGTAGACATTTTTTCTTGTAAAAGTTGTTGGGTACAGATTTAATGATACAAATTGAAAATCTAAAGATGTGCACAAAACCCATTTAGCATTGGTTTAGTGATTACATTGAACACCTCTGACAATCACTGAGAGCTTCTTTTGATTGAGGCTTAGTAGGAAAAGAGGTATTCAGGCTGCTACTTCCTATCAATCATTGTCATCATCCTGAGCCATTCTCAAGGATGCTACACACACTCTCAAAGCGCAAATGTCTTGGTCAGAAACCGTAAGATATAGTGCCCGTTTCTGTGGCAATAAATAGGTGAATCTTGGTATAATACTTGGTGAGAAAAAAAATGAAGCCATTTTTTTGCTGGTAATAATAGACTTATCTGGGACCAAGACAGGGCAAATAAAAAGATACTGATGACGAATCGACGTGGACTCAAGAAATTTCCCATCATGGGTTCTTTTATGACTCTCAAGGATGATGTTTGATACTATGTATGAAACACCTCTCTGTATGCTACTCCAAGCCCTCCCTCTTTACTGCCTTTTATCTGAAATCTTTATGCAATCTGCATGGTAATTAGTGGCTGGATGTTCTTGCAGAAGAAGAGTGGAAATGCAGAGATTATTAACACAAGATATGACAACTGACTCTCAAAGACATGCTGACAATGTACAGTTTATCTATGCTGCACAGCAAAAGCAGGTAAGAGAAGAAAAAAAAACCTCATTTATACTGTTGCAACACTAAAGAGATGATTAATTTCTCATTAAAGCTGGAACGTAAAAATAACCTTTATGTTGATTGATTTGATTTGTACTTACAAAAACAAATGTGTAGAAATGTCAATTCAATGCTTCACACGTGGTCATGCACAAGACTAATTCATGGCTATTAGTGGTTGCTGGGCAACCGCCATATTATCTGAGGTCAACGGATAATGGTGCCTTCAGATGGGATTGTGTTTATGGTGTTTAACCTGTTTACAGGGAAAGACGATGAACGCCCCCTGCTTGTGGAAGGGTTCTGAAAGCTTTAAGTTGATAAGTTGTTACGTGTCTGAAAAATGGTGGAGCCCATGCAATCTGAGTACAATATGTTCTTATGTAACGGATAGGGTCTATAGTTAGAGGAGCTAAACTGACTAACAGCTCAACACTGAAGATGGCACATGAAGTAAACACTTAAGCAGAACACAGTAAATGAGGAGAGATGAAGGATGGGAGAATAGAGTTAACTTTTCAAAGACACTTATAGTGGAGAGGCATTAAAGCTCATTCAGGTACTTCAGTGACTCATGCAGATCTGTTCTTCTCTTCTTACTTCACCATCAGTAGAAATGTTGAGTGCACTGTGAGTAATACCAGCCAAAGTAGCTCTTATAAAGACAGCCACAGATGGACTCAGTTCACACCGAATATTTTCAACAGAAGAAATATAATTGCTACCAAAAAACACTTCAAAGTTTTGACTGCTTAATAAAGCTGCTGTGTATTAAATGGTGTGCTTTTTCTAGCAAAGGAGGCCCTTTAGGGTGAGGCAAGACCCTCAGCTGATTTCTGTCAGGATCACTCTCAAGTGGCTCAAATCAGCTTTTCATTCAGCTTTCATAACCCCTTCAAAGCCCCTTTTTTGCTGCACTTTTACGATTATTTGTGATATTTGAGCATTTCTCCTTTCACATTGGGTTTCTGAGTATATCAGCTGTCATTTCACCACTGTGTGAAGGCGAGGCTGAACGCATTTTTACACTCCAGATTCTGAGGCAGTAAAAATGATGATGCTCACAGCCATTTGCTTCACTGTCCTGCGCAGGCCAACCTCATGGTTAACCGTACTGCCCATCCCCCCACACTGTGTAAACTGCCTGTCCCCAGCAGGCTGAGCTGGCTGTAAACCACACCAGGTCTATTAATTAATTAATGTACCCTAACTGCAGGGTTGGCTCCCTCCATTGTAGTGAAGCAGTTTTGTCCTGGCTGCGGTGTGAAACGCTGGTGTATCTTTGAGTACCTGCAGCAGAAAGAAAGAAAAATAGATAGAGGAGAATATCAGCAGACAACTGTGGATGGGAGGAAGCCGTCAGCATCATTAATCACCCAGGGCCATTGGTGTCCTGTCCTGTAAACGGCGCCACTGCAGGCAGGCGGGCAGACAGAGAGGCAGAAGAAGAGGCAGAGGAAGGAGGAGAGGGGCAGGGTGGCTGCAGGGAGGAAGAGGGGCAGAGAATGGTTGGAGATCAGCCTCTGTGTCCACCTCAGCTCCTGCTGCAGGGCTGGAGAACAGCGCTGCTGTCCCAGTGTTTGTCCTCTGTGTTCTCCCAGATCCCGGATCCTGAGGTAAGAGCCTGAAACTCTTATCCCTCTGTCTCCTACAGGTATCTGTCAGGAATAACCCTGAGGTTTTCTGTCAGGCTGTTACAGGTGTTCTGCTTTTACAGAGAGACACTCATCGTTTGTTTGCTTTGGTAGTTGCTTGCTTTGTACTGGATGAAGATTTAGAGAACATATGTTGAAATATGATACATACTGTGGTCTTACGTCTTGAACAACCCAGCTTCTGTTTTAAATGGACAGAAGCAGGAGGATGATTATGATGAGGCGGGATTAGGCAAATTGATTTTGTGCCATTGGGCTAAAGTAAGGAGGGCTCCTCCGCTGAGTTTAAACGAAAAAATGATCACAAAAAACAGCTTCATCCTCTATGTCTCATCTGAAACAAAGAAAAACCAGGAGCTTAGAAAAAAGTTGATTTCTATTGAATACGTGTGAACAAATGTTTTAGACAAGGCAAACATCCAATAGAAATTTGATAGCAAATTAACCATGCCTGAGATTAAATTACATGTTAAAAGCCTGATGTATGACTCCAAATGATCCGGTAGATTAAATTCATGTCAGCATACACAAGGAGGCATTAGACAAAAGAGTTTATGTCTGCCGGTGATACCACTCTAATGCTGCGTTTACATGTGACATCCCTGTCCTCCGACCTTTGCTCCATAGCAAGCTACCACATGGTTTAAAAGGTCAGAGAAAACAGAAGAAACTTCTGGAAACAGCCTCTCTCTGACCCTGTGTATGACGTATGCAGAGCCTTTAAAAGGACGATGAGTAATGCAGGCTTTGGTGGAAGAGGAGGCTTAATGAATGATCTCATGTTTTCAGGGGTTTATATTGAGGACAAGATCAATAAGATCGCCCAAGCACAATAGATCTGTTTGGATGACGAGGTTATTAACTCATCCTGCAGGTGAAAAACATGATGATGAAAAACTGAATTAAAAAAAAACTGTAGACAAGGTGTAGATTTGTTTTCTGTCTTTAAAGGGTCTTCTTAGAAAAACAAGACTTACCTGATAAAGAGTATTCCATCACATCAACTAACCAAATCCAGCAAATAAACATGTAGATACGTTTTCTTATCTAATGATTAACTCAAAGTAATTTGAAGTTGCCACATGATTGAGTTTGTGTTGTTTGTTACACCAGAAGAAAACTTGAGGCTTATAGCCACTAATCCCGCCTCATGAAATGGCCCAACAGAGGAAAGGACTTAGCATTGCATAATCACTCTTGAGGCAAAAATTGGTATTATCTAAGAGCAGCTCTGCAAATCTATATCAAGGCTAATCCTGCTGTGGAAACTCACGATCATGAGTGTAACTTATGGAGACTATTTCTTTAGCCGTGTCCCTTTTTTTAAAAAAAGTTTTGAGCCTTTGTACCGTCCTCAGATGACAATCGCTGGATGAAGACCCTGACAGCATCCTATCCTGTCAATTTTGGCATTTAGGCTTGCTTAAATTCATCAGATCTGACTAGAACATCAGGTTCCTTTGCCCTGTTACTGAGAAACTCGTTTCACATGCTCTGGAAAGGAAGACCACCCAAGTCAGTTTTTATTTTCAATACCCACTAATTATTTTGAGGTTATACATTTTTCCCTTGTGTTTTGTAGTTTCTTTCAACGCAAGTGCTCTCATTTCATCCCCCTTTTTCATCGCGCCTCTGTCCTTAGTGTCAACAGGCTCACTGGCTCAGCTTATTCTTAGAGCTTTTCCCATTGAACCACATAATGATGTTATCAGTGAAGGCAATGAATGTTATAAGCATCAATCTTTATAAACATTGCTTGTTGTTTTATGGACCCAAGTATAGAGTTTCCAAGACAACCTTGTATTATTCAATTAAATAATCAATATAAAGTAAACAAGGAGATATCCTAAAAGGGGTTTTTATCAGTCACCTGATGCTCTGCTGGCTCTGACAAAGACATCCAACTATTGATTTACCACAGAGGCAAACAGATTTCGAACATTTTTCTCCCCTAACCCCAGCTCTGGAGAGTGTAGAAAATTGTTTTGGACACTATTGACTGTAATTTGAACATCAGAGCACTGAGACACAGAGGAGCGTAGAAAATAGAAAGTTGGAGGACAATCTAATAACAGGTTTGTAGACATCAACACTCGATGGTGACGAGTGAAGGGGTATTAAGGATGAAATTGCAGTTCTATCACCATTTTTTCTACACCACACACTCACCGATTCAACACCATCTCTCACGTTGCGTACACTGTCAATTTGATCGCTTTTTTGTCCTCACGTCGCAGCTATGAAGAATCATTTTACAAATGAAAGACAGACAGTTAAGTATTAACATTCATTGAAAAATTGTCACACTTTTAAATGATAGAGTTGATGCTCCTAAGAGGACTTTAAACTCTTCATTTATGTATTTAAATTCTGTTAAAGCAGGACACGGGAACAAAGTTTATCATTCATTCATTTCCTCTCAAAGGCAGAAGTGACTGAAAACTCCTCACACCAATTATTTAACTGACACACCACACTGTCACACAGCACACCTCTGAAATGATGTGAAATAAGTTATATAAAGGGTTTGTTTACCTCCTCGGGTTCGCTCCCTTTTGTGGAATATAAGTATATACTTATTGGAAAATCACTGTCCTCTCTTTTTTCCTTCACAGCTTTTACCGACAGATCCCCCAAAGAAGCCTGACCCTGTCAACTCAGAGACCGTCGTTTTCTGGGGGCTGAGGTTATGGCAGGTCATTGGGATCTTCTCTGTGTTTGTGCTCGCAGTTGGTCAGTATACCTTACTAAAGATGATCGTTTTACTGTGCTTTTAAGAATCCAAAATCTTTCTAAGCTAGTTCCAAAAGTTAGCTACGGAAACTTTAAGTAGGAATGAATGTGACAAATATTGTTGCTCCCTTTGATTTATTTTGGTAACACACTCAGAGGAAAAATAACTATGTATCAGTCAAATGTAGCTAGCTAGCAACATTGTTTTGAGGTACCATACAGCCTAAAACTAGCATGCTAACTTGGTCATACTAAGTGGAAGAATGTTGTAAAATAGTGTATGATATAATGCCGCGTTCGAGTTACCTCGGAAGTCAGAAGTATGAGCTACGAATGACGCACACCAGGGTTACCAGCGTAGTCAGAAGAAAGCAAAATCGGAGGCAGAAACGAGATTGCTACATCTACGAAGTTATTTTAGCGCTTGCCTTGTCTGAATATAAGCAAGGACAAGGCAAGTGCTAAAATGACTTTCATAGATGTAGCCATCTTGTTCCGCCTCCGATTTTGCTTTTTTCCGACTTGGTAACTGAAACACAGGTAACTGTGACATCACTCCCAGCTCGGACATCTCTATTTTGAGGTAACTCAGACGCAGCATAAGACACTAGTGTGTTTTTCAAGCCAACATGTTTTCCCTCTGTCTCTCGTCTGTTTCAGTCATTACTCTGTGTTGTATTTTTAAATGCCGAATCCCAAGAACAAAGAAGGAAATCGAGGCACGACATGCACAGAGACAAGCCGCCAAAAAGTACGCCAACACATTAGAGACCGTGCCACCGCTAAATGAACTTACTGAGATCCCAGGATGTGAGTATCTCTTATTGTACCTTTACAATATTATGACTGAACTGATTTGGTAACAAATCCTTAAAGCTACTGTGAAGAGTTTTTGACATTTATGAAATGGGTTGAAATTCATATTGGTGATTTTTCATGACATCCAAATGCAAATAATTCTCAGTAACAAGGTTTAAAATTTTTATATGGTAATTTTAATAACTAAAACTAGCATGAGGGGCTAGGTGTTCATAGAGTGGCTCAAGAAACAGTCTCAACAGATGATACAATTGACCACCAGAAGTCAGGATGAGTTATTATTGTCAGGTTACTCGACTAAAGCATGTAGAGGACAAGGTAGGATAAAAATTTCATTTTTTATATTGTGATATATCGATATCGAGTGATATGAAAAAAATGTATTGTGATAAACTTTTTCCCATATCGCCCAGCCCTATAATAAAGTCCAACTTAACATAAACATACTGAGCTAGATATATTTCTTTAATCCAACAATGAATGATACAGCTCCAGATGATTTAACAAACTTAAGAGTCAGCATTAACGTGCAATGAATAAACAACAGAAATTAGCAACGTAGTAGCTTGAACCTCTGAGGCTATTGCTAACTAGCAGCTAGCTCCATGTCGATAACTAGCGGCATCAATTAGCATCAATCACTCAAAACATCACACTAACTACTGGCAAAAACTACTGTTCAGTCATTAAAGTAGACTCATGAACCAACATAAACATCAACAAAGTGTAACACAGGAGTAAACATCATAACTCACGGGTCACTGGACGCACACACTCAGCCGATGTTTGCTCTGAGCCGAGCGGTACGAGTGTGTACTGGTGCGTTCAAGGACCCCGGCAGTGTAGGAATTCACATTTACGGCAAACACAGTGAAACAAATCATGCACAGAGGAAGCATCTTTTACCAAGATGATGACCAAGATGATTTGTAGCTTCCTACAAAAACATTCTTTATACTTATTGTGACTGAGGCCATCAACGCAAAGCATCAACAGGAATCTGTCCTTTAACAGCTTTGGGGGGTCGAGGGAATATTTGTGCCAAGGGAATCCGTCTATTAACACAGGCCACAGTTTGGTTTGTAGCCTGTAAGCATCCATAAAATAAGCATTAAATACTTGGTGAAACTGTTACATCTTCTCTGAGGTCAACTTCTTCTTTTCTGGAACTTTTACTGTCCTTTTAAAGCATGCTGCACTTGTTACACTAAATGTCCTTTCTTTTCTGCTTCCTTCCCCTCTTTTCTTCTTTCTCTTTTCCAGCCACCCTAGATGCTCCCGCAGTGCAGACAGTCTCAGAGCAGGTTGAAAGCGTTCATAATAGCCAGCTCTCAGTAGCCAGAGTCAGCGAGGAGCAACCCAGTTCGCTCACTTTGTCCGACACAGGATGATCTTCTTCCTTTTCTTTGTTTCTCAACCTCTTTCAGACTTTTATGTTGGCTCTGTCATTTTTTCCAAACACTCTGGTAGCCACTCTGGATATGGAGTGCATCCAACAACCAGACATCCAGACATCAGTCCAACTGTCAGTCCCTTTTATTCTATTTCTGTAGACGGAGCGCAGGAAAGTGTGAGAGACGTACAAGTGTGTAAAAATGCATCTTTCATTCGACTCCTTTTCATAACACTTGAAACACACGAAAAGCCAGAAAAATCTTGTCAAATCTTGTTGTACAGCAATGATAGTGCAGAGCAGAGAAATTATCTTGTTCTGGGTGCAGCAAGAAAAGGATCTTTCTTTCTGAGGCAAAGATTGCTCATATAATTTGTCAGGGCAGCTGGACTTTTGTAGATAACAGTTTTGTATTTTTTTACGCTTTCGTCTTTAGTAAGGCTCGGGAGTTTTTATCAGATATACACATCTTGCTTTATGCATGGCATCGTCAAAGCACAGGAGTCTGATAACTTTGAGGAAATAATGAAGAATTACATTTTTCTTCACTGTCAGATGTTAGTGAAGTGCATGCAGCACGCCTGTTTGTGCTCTGTGGTTGTCAGTTTCACAACCTGTGACAGCTTTCCCAAGATACACCTCAAGAAAACTACCAATCACACTGTCTTCAGAAAGCATGAATAAAGTATGAACTTTCTGGTCTCAGCTGTCTTTGAATGTTCCTCTTTTTACTCATCTTTCACTCAGAAATCTTTGTGTGTTGCCTTTTGTGTGTCTTTGCTGTCTCATCTCCTCGGTTTCGGCCTTTTCAGGTTGAGAAACATGACAAACAGGGACTGACATTTGCCTCCTCCTCTAAATGCTCCATTCGTGTGCACAAAAACATCCATTGGTTATTGTGGAATTAATTACAGAGTGAAACTCTTTGAGCTGTCAATTTGCATGATCACCGGATTAAATAATATTGGATGGTAATCCTACTGTGGCTAGAGCATATAGCTCGTCAATCTCCGGCATTACCACAGAGAGTTGAGGTTTAAATCCTCCTCTGTGGCTGGATGTCCACTCTTCCATGTAACTTAGAGACTGACTGCAGCCTGTACAAAGAAGCAGCAGGAGCACATTGATAGGATGATGTCAACTGCTGCTTTTTTGCTAAAATTATGTAGATCTGAGAGTGCTAAGACATGAATAATGAAACGTATAACAAATAAGGAAGTAAAGGACGAATGACTCCTTTGAATTTTCATTCAAAACAAGTGGAATGATTCAAGTTTTCGTGAGCTCCCTCTCTCAGTGAGCGCTCAATTATGCAAAACAACCAAGCATTTACAAAATCAGCATCATCATGAGCATTAAGTAAAAACAACTTCAAACACGGCTTGATTTAATTTTGCAAATGAGGATAAAAAAATGTCCTATCTTATCTTCCGGGTGTGAGCATGATTAGCAGATTTTTCCATCAGTTCACCCAAGGACAGAAAATATGTAACACAGAGAGATGCTGTCATTACAATGAAAAGGAGCTTATGCCGTAAAAAGACCAAAGTCAGCTCGAAGGATACAGATTTTGCACCATGAATGCATTACCTTCAGGAATTTCTGTTTGCCCTTACTGACATTCTTCACAAACCTGAGAAAAACTTCTCAAGCTTTACATTCATATTGTCTGCAAGTAAACTGACAGACAGAAATAAAGGAGACTTGTCTCTGTTCCTCTCTCATAAGTACTTAAAGGTATAGAATATAAAAGATGAACTGAAGAGACAGATGTACAAATAGCTCTCTCCTTACATGAAACCAACTCTCACTTATTTTTTTCCTGCCCTCTGCAGCAGTGCGAAGTTGTGAGTCATGGCAAGTAGGCTGAAAGAAAGCTCACAGCTGAAGGAAATCTCACACACTTCTGTCTGGCCTTTCAATGATTTATGATGTTCTCTAAATCAAAATTCTACCTGTCTTCAAGCAGGTGTATTTATTTCTTCCCTCATTTATGGTTCTCCAAATGCACCTCCATAAAGATAGTAAAAGATATATTTGGTGTGAGCAGGGGTGTTTCCAGATGGTGGCACAGCCCCCTTTTAATCGGCCACCCCAAAATCCAAAACTTTGATTGGCCTTGTCCCTTCAACAGGAATGACCTAAGTTAAAATCAGCCATTTGACTGTGTTGCAAATAATCTGCCTGAAACTTTCTTTACATCAAGTTGTTATACATTTTGTTTTGTTAAAACTTGAATAAATATATACTTCACAATTTTATTTTAAAGTTATAAAGAAAACATACACAAGAACACACAGCCGCTATATGGTAATTCTGTGTTAGTGATTTGATCAGATAGTATTTATGAAGGCGTAGAGAGTAAATAAAACACATTCATTTGTGCGTGATGCTGTGCTTATGTGTGTGTTTGACTGTGTGCACACGCTTCCTGCCATCCCTACATGAGTCAGTGCCTCAGCTGAGCCACTTGGGCATCACCCCCGGCGATGGGTGATCTCTAAAGGTGATGCTTTTATTAGAGTCTTACACGCACTTTCAACCCTTAAAGCTCCTGTAAGGGATTTTCAGTTTGTGTTGATCTCAGCGCCCCCTCTGGACAAAGTAGTTTGAGTGATTATTTGCTGATTTTGTCCTGCACGTGTGTAGATACTGACCAAGAAAAAAAGCTTTCTTTCAGCAGACATATCACTCTGCAGTGTCTGACACTCACCCCCTCAGGGTGTTACATCAGTCTACTGTATGAGCTACTGACGACTCCTCACAGGAGCTTTTATACAGCTCTGTCCAAACCACGTCCCATTTATTGAGTATTACCCACAATTATATGAGTCATTGCTCCAGCTTTTGTTCGACAGACTAGCATGAAAGGGACTTGTGCCTTTAAGAGAACCACACAAGGATAAGAGCGGAATTATTCGCAAATGTTCAGCTGGTTGGTCGGCTAATTTAAGTCAGCTTCTGGTGCAAAACAAAGTACTAAAATAATCTTAAGTTCACCTTTACTCCCTCCAGCCACTTTTGACATCTGCTGTGTGTTAGTTGTTTGGTTTCTTGGCCCCCGTTTGTGTATCCAGTGTCACTGCAGCATTTGTAAAGCAAATGTTTGCGTTGCTGCAGGGAAAACATACAGAAAAAGGGCTATGACACTTCATTTAGCATCAACAGGAATCTGTCCTTTGAGCAATTTTCACAGCCGCTACACAACAGTCGCTGAAGTGTAAAATCACACCCTTGCTTCCTGTTGATCTGTATCACAGGTGTAATAAAGTCTCACTCAAAGCTGTAAGGTGTCTTCTGGGGTGGTGTTTTAGAGGCTGATTGCTCTTCATCAACTTCCTCTTTACGGGTGAACCTCTGCCCTGTAAAAACAAGACTGCAGGCTCTGGTGTTATATGAAACTAGTTAATAATGCTGTTAGATTCAACTGATTCAGTGGAGAAATTTGAGGTAGAAATGTACGTTTTCTGTGGGACTGTTTTTCTTATCAAGATGGAACAAACAAATAAATCACAGAGGACGTTTCTAAATATATTTAAAGCTCCGGTAAGGAACCTATGTTTTTTTTTTTTTTCATTTTTGGCACACAGTTGTCCCTTATCATGTCTTTACATCCTTCAATTCAATCATCAATCTTGTTCCCTTTGGTCTTGTTTGCTTTTGAATTTCAGAAAAAAAGCATTAATATGAATTTCAGTCTATTTTTTAAACATCAAAAAATCTCAGAGGAGCTTTAAAGAAAGAAAGCAATTTCAGGATGCACTTCTGCAGCTTCAGGTTAAGACCGGTGTAAAATTTCGTGCTGTAAAAGCTCCACATGCAAACATTTTTGGGTATTTAAACTGTGTTTTTCTGAGGGTTAGACAACACCTACAATGTATCTCACTCTCACGGTATCTTCATCCTCATCCTCAACAGTGCCAAAACTTGTAGTGCTGTTTTTGGAACTGTCAATACCCATTTACATTGCAACTACGCACTCCAGTCTTGTCAACTCTTTGCCCCATAAGCTTTGCTGGTGGAGGCGGGATTTATGACCTATACTGCAGCCTGTCACCAGAGGGTGCTGTTCTCAGAGTGGCTTCACCCAGCGAGGAGGCAGAAGCTGTCCATTCTATATACAGTCTATGAGCGAACCTCATCTCAACCTCATTAGCATCATTTGTGCAGCCCAACATAAACTCATTTCAATTGTACCTTTACATTGGATTGTAATCATTGTGGATTGTAGCGCCATCTTCTAGGTAAAATACAGTAACACAGTGAGAGACAAATCTCTGCAATGGTGTACTGACCTTACAAAAATGACAAAAAAGGCAGTAAATACACATATTTCACGTCTAACGTTTTGGTGTCAGTGTATGAACTTTAGTAGTAAAGGTGTTCCTGTACTGAATTGTCTACACATGAATGTATTTGAATATGTACTTCTGTTTGTAAAGTTAGCATTTATATTCTTAGTGCTAAACCAGATTATGCCATCAGGTGGCTTGTTCATTATATTAATGAAGATATGATGACTTCCATTCCTAAAACAGATGTCTTACTGTGCATACTATTTGTTTTTGCCACTTGGATGTCCTGTCCTTAAAGAAGAGCCTTTAAGGACAGGAGCCATCCCTGCTCCGTCTGCATCCTGAATACCAATAATGAAAACCGTCTCAGATACATAAAGCTGACTGTTAACTTTTGTTCTCCTTATCTCACACTGAAAGCACTCCCAGCCGTGCCATTAGAAGAATAAATAGACCATGTTTATTAGAGGAGAGAAAAACAGATGTGCCTTCATTACATTCAACCTACTTAGCCAGCCTTCTGTTGGGTTAAATTTTCTCGTCCAATTAGTACCTCAGGCAGGACCCCAACGAAATCTGAAGCTTTTAACCGTTTGTTTTCCTTGTGTGTTTGTAGCTGCAAAAGCAGAGGAGAAGAAGGAGGAGGTGGCGACAGTTTCTGGGAAAGTGGATGGTGAGAAAGGAGAGAAGAAGACCAAGGAGGGCAAGAAAGAGGGCAAGGGTGCCAAAGAAGGGAAAGGAGAAGAGAAGGAAGCGAAGAAAGGTGAAAAAGGAGCAACCAAGAAGGAGGCTGGTGACGGGAAAGGCAAGAAAGCTGGGGAGAAGGGAGACAAAGGGGACAAAGGAGAAAAGGGAGAAAAAGGAGAAAAAGGAGGCAAAGGAGCGGCTAAAGGGGGAGCAAAGAAAGCTCAGAAGTAAAGTTTGCTTTTTATGGACAAACGCTCTGAAGAGAACTTTTTCATATTTTTGCTGCACTTTTTTTTTTCTAAAACAACTTTGTATTATATTATATAAAAAATAAACAAAACCTTGTGCCTAAAAGTGCATCATTCTTACATCCGAATCATAAAAGCAGGAACACGAGAGAGTACAGTAAAACTCAAGGTTTATTGTGTGTTCACAATTCACTGACGACCATGAAAGACCAGAAACAATTTACACTGATATCTACAGCGTGCCTTCATCACTATACGAGAGGGCGAAGTGTGTTTTATAGCAAACACTCCCCCCTACATACTGCATCTGAAGCAAAGAAGACACATGTTGACCCCACTGAGATAAATAAAAGACAACGTTACACACTTGATACTTCCATGAGAGGTATTTGAAAACAAAGAAATACAACATTAGCTCTATGGTTATTGGCCGCACTGTACACTTAAATCCAAAACACAATCATTTACATGATACAATCAGAACAAAATACTGTTTTAAAGCATATTAAAGTGCTCAAATTTTCTTTTGTTTAAGATTTTCATGCTTTCAAATCAGCCCCCTTTAACTGGAAAATGTCTTTACACTCAGTTCATGGATTATTTACCTTCTTCATGTCAATGAGAGGAAAGCAGGGTTGAATCTGAAGGACAAGCGCTTCAGTTTTCTGTGATTAGATTTCTTTCATTTGTCATCTAAACTGTTAAAAGGAGGGATAATTCAAGCCGAAGTTTCCCGAGAATCTGTGATAAATTCCAGATAAAAGGGACCGTCTGAAAGTCCTTTTTAATTTCTTTTTAAGTGACAGAAAATTACTGCATCATCATTTAACAAAAGTCTCCCTCAGTCTTTCATCACTGTGTCCTGCTGGGACATGCAATTAACATTTTAGGCAGTTCATTCAACTTTGATTAGCAGTGATGATCAATTTTCCAGGAAATGTTCAAATTAAGCCCAATTTGAATTCTCTTTGAACTCTTCTCAGAAATCTAAATCTCTAAAGTCAGTAATTGTGTTACTAAAGCGAATACGATAAATATTTCAAATTCTCTACACATGATTTTTGCTGTTTAACTGCATGACCAAAGGACTGGAGAGGAAAGACGTCAAAACAGTGCCTACATTTATATAATAATGAGTGTCATCAAATGTGCCTTCATGATGTGTTTTTAACAGTTTTGGGACATGAAAATAGCAAATGACATCTGCACACGAGTAGCTGCTCCAATGCTGATTCACTGAAAAGTATCACATGTGACATTTTCAGATATAATAATGATGTGTACAGACTTAACTTTAGTTTTTCATGTTTGTGCTTCTGTCCAGTTAAAGTTAAAGTTTTGGATGTGCAGGCTACTTCTACTTTCCTTACACTGTGGCACAGAGTTACAGGTTAGCCAGACAATACTTCAAGTTAGTTAACTTTTGCGTAACTAACACCGATTTGTTGACGGAGAAGAAAACGAATAATTTCCAGACTAACCCATCAAACATTGAGAGAGCTCTGACTTGGAGTGTCATCTAGAGTTTCAGATGAGTGTCTGCATGGACTCATAGGCTATAACAATCAGAACACACTTAGTTTAATTGAACAAATCTGACTTCAGCAAAGACAAACATCAGATGGAGCAAAACTTGGAATCAGGGAACTAGGAGTATGAATTAGCTCTAAATAAGAGAACAGCCTGCCATCCAATGCTGCTCAGTATTTCATAATGTAAGAAAACGGTACAAAAGTTATGTTTTGGTTACGTTTGCCAGTATGATATGTGATTAAACTTAATCCAGCTGCATCTGATTAAAATCCAAGCTTCAATCCAAACAAAAGAGCAACTTCATGAACTTTTCAGATGGAGTTAAGCAACAAACCCGCCTTCAATATTAACACTATCAGGCCACTGCTAAGCTGAGATTTAACCGTTTTCTCAGCCCTCACTGCTGCTCACACCGAGGTAAACATCCAAAAAGGAACCCAACACTTTCACCTTGAAATTTTCCTGCAATTAATACTGGAGGGCAATTTCTCTGCAACTTTTAAGACTTTTTGGTAACTGTAAACAAGATCATACATAAAAACACAGAGAAAGGCTGCAAATAACTTTTTTTTTTCTATCCCCGACATCATATCATGCCTTTTCTCTTTGGTGCGAGATAAAATGTACCTTCACCTGCACAAAAACCGCAGGCTGATTATGGAAAATGACAATTACAGAGTCTAAAAATATCCTGGAGTTTTTGTTTAAATGCTTGTTTCAATGCCCTCTGTCGCCTGTAAATAAATTCACCAGTTTTCTTTTACTATGTACATCATCTTCAAATATTGCAAACATTCGGTAAACCAACACACGAGAAAAATACATAGAAACATAGCTTTATGACAAATCCGTACACATGAACACTATTAGCTCACAATTAGAATGTATTTCTGATCTTTGTAAACATTGTGACTTGAATATATTTACACAAAAAGCAGCATATCACTGGAGCATCTGCAAAATTTTACTGTGTGTTCTTCATCTCTGACTTGTCCTTCATAACCTGCTCAAATGTTTTTGTAAAAGTTTTTCTGAGATTCCTCATTTAATTAACATTCCAGTGGAGTTGAAGACCATTTCCTGTAAACGGTGTTTTTAAAAGGGGTTTCCTGCTTCCAAAAATGTGTGAGAACATGTGATACCATTTTTGTCCCATTTCCACAGAGATCCTTTTTACCCCAGCTAACACTGAACCCAAAGAGAGATCGGCCCTCCTATAAGAAACTTACTTTGGCATCATGGTGTGTGTGTGTGTGTGAGTGAGAGAGACAGAGATGGGATTTTTTTTGAGAAATTCTACATGTGAGACATTCATTTGAACCCTTTGACATTTGTATAAATGAGAGAAATAAAAACCAGGATTTTTCCAGAACAGTAAAATTTGTTGAACATTTGAAATAATAATAAAAAAAAACTTCTAACAGCTTCATATAAAACACCGACATCCTCAGAGAAATGCTGAATATGCTATAACACAACTTTAAAAGTATAAAAATTGGTGTGCAACAACAGAGGACTTTAAATACCTGAGTACCTTCCCTTTAACACTGAAGTGGACTTGAGTCATTGCAGAACAAACGGGATCCCAAGCATGAAGCGCTGCCTCAAAAGAGAGCATTAATAATTTTTAAGCCGGGCCTACATGCACAGTCTACTCATGCTGATGGATTTGCCCACACATGTGCCTCTAAGTGCACGAAAAAATCCACTTGGCTTTTTGGTGATTAAGGCCATTCCTGGCGAACCGCTGTAACGAACCCCGGTGAGAGTTATGCATGAAAACTAAACTCAAGACATTTGCCAAAAAAAGAAATCCCAAAACAAGAAAACAACAGTTCTGGCAGTGGAAAACAAATCAAAGATGGCGGTCTGTTTTTTTCATCTTGTTACACATTCACTGTGGCAGGCAGTTGGTGAAAGAGTTGAGAGAATTTGCCACCAAACTGAAGGTCACCCTGTCTCGGTTAAAGGCAGCCTGGCTCACAAAAGTGTACACCCTTTTGCCACGAGCCTCGTCATTCATGGATGCTCGGGCTCGCTTCACAGGAGGAAAAACTGGCAGTGTTGATGAATGCAGCTTGGCATTTCAGACAGTTTCATTGTTTAGCTTTTTCCCAGTTTTCACCCCAGGCAGCCTGGAGGTCACATGACTGTCTCCCTCTCCTCCTCCACCACGGGGGAAGGTTTCTCGTCCTCGCAGGGCCGTGTGGCTGCAGAGTGCTCCTCATCGGGGAGCTGGAGCTCTTGTCCTGATGAAGGTATAGAGTTTTCAGACACTGAGCCGTTCTTTACATAACCGGGGAGGTTCCTGTGTCCGTTCACAGGCACGGGGCCCAGCCTGGTGGTGAGGTGGAGGGCCAGCGGGCCTCTGGCAGTGACATTAGTAACACTGGTGTGAGACACCATTGGTCCGTAACTGTACGTGTTACTGCCACTCCGAGCTTTTCTTTTGAAGTCCAGAGCCAGAGTCCTCCTGCTCCAAGACTTTTTGATCTCAGCTTGCACCTTAATGGGAAAAAAAAAATATTTAGACAAATTAGAGCTTCACATTTCATTCTAGATCACTGCAGTCCAAAATATATCTGAGATCTTACCTCTCCATTGCAAAAGCAGTATATGATCGCCACCAGGAATCCCTGGGAAAGAGAAGAGAACAATTAACAACATGATTCTGAAGGGCATCTAACTTCAAAATGGACAAAAAAAGAGACTTTTTTCTTTTTACTTCATATTTAAAAAACAAACTTACTTTAAGAAAAGCAGAATTTTTTGTTTTAGAAATCATTTGGACTGTATACTGAGTTAAAAATAGTGCAAAAACAACATAGAAAATGTTAAAACTGAAAAATTTTGTTGTTTAATAGACACACAGTATGCTCATTTGAAATGTTATGCCAGTAATTGTCCAATTCTCGCTTAAGTCAGGGTTTCAGCAGCTCTACAATTTGGGGTCTCCTTTAAATACACAAAATGTCTCTAATGGGTGACAAAATGGGACCGCATACAGGCCAATCTAACGCCTGCATTCTTCTGCTGCTGAAATGTGTACAAATGTAATTCGGCTTTACTCTGCTGACATTTTTAAGGACTTGCACTGTCTGGATGTTGCCGATGAATGTCGCTCTTAAACCTGTATAGTCCAGTCATAATGGTGCCACGTCTTGGGCACTTATGCACGCCCATACCAAGCGTGACGCTAGTTTAGCTGGGTGGTCCCTTGGAGGATCCCATGTCCATTATTACCGAAAAGAAAAGTGAATTTTTCATTGGTCAGACAGCAGGCAATTTGTCTACTTCACCTCAGTGCATCTCAAATAAGCAAGCGTAGAGTTTCCACTGACACTGGGACAATTTTAATCTGCTTCGGTGAACTCAGTAGAGGATTGTGCCCGTGATGTGAATGCTACTGCAGAGTCATGTCTGTTTTTAATGCGGTACATTGTTTTTTTCTGCCTTATGCACAGACATCTCTCCAGATAATTTGTGTCTTTTAATGATATTGTGCAGTGATAATTTTAAAGTCATTAAGCTTTTATAACGGACGGTACATACCACAGAGACTATACATTTTTAAACACCCAGTCATGCTAGTTCCCAGGTGAAAATTCAACCTAGTCTGAAGATGTTCCCCGCAAGTGTTTATGTTTGCATTACACGTCTTTCAGTGTCTTATTTCTCTACAAACTTTTTTCACACGTCCAACTTAAAATGCATATAAATTTCAGAAAACAAATATATATTTCAGTTTTAACATTTTATATGTTGTCTTTGCACAATTTTTGATTCAACTAAATTAGGTTTAAAGTATTTCAAACCACCAAAACATTTCAAACAGCATTCTTACTTTTAAGAATTAGGTTGTAGCACAATCTTTAATATCTGAATTATTCACACCTATTTCATGGATTAATTCAACTTCAAAAGGAATAATAAAACCTCTCAGGGCTCATTTATAAGGCTTTACCTGGAAGGAGTTAAACAGCATCTCATAGTGCATCTGTATCAGCCAGGGCACCCCGGACACCTCTGTGTACGGCATGGCGTTGAATATGATGTAGTGGACGCCAAAGAGCGGCATCAGCACCAAAGTGGACTTTAACAGTTTTCTGTAACAGTGACACAACGGTTACATTTATCAATATTGACTTTTGCCAAACTGTCAAACCAGCCTCATTTATCACATCTCATTGAGTGGATAAACGTTTCTGTACCTGTACTGTTGTCTTGTGTCACACCTTCCAGCATTAGTTTCTCGTAGTTTCGTTGCCAACACTCTGATTATGTTCAGAAATAGCACAAAATTCACCTGCCATAAAAATAGAAACATAATGATGTGTTACAGTCACCGTAATAGGGGGTCTTACCCGACAGCTGCACCGTCACAGGTGCAGCAGGATACAGACACAAACGCAGAGAGTGTACTCACCACAACGGCCACCAAGATAGGTACTTGATAAATCCATTTCAGATTGCCAGCACTTAAGTCCCAACACCTGCAGGGATCAGCAACAACAAAGTAGATCAGTGGGAGATAAGTCAGAACCAAGCTGCGAGGTGAAATTGTTCAAGTACACTGGTAATCCTTGATCTGAGAAGGTTAGAGAGGTCATTTATAGAACACAATCATCTCTTACCTTCAATTTATCAAGAGCCTGACATAAACTTTGAGAAACAATTTCAGTTGATTGAACATTTTCTATTTTCTTTTATTTTCTGACCTTTCTGTTCACAGATAATTTGAATACCCCAGGATTCACTCAAAAGACGTTTGCAGGTCCCAGACATTTCGAATAATGACAGCCAAGGTAAGAAAATATATGTCTTTATGTAGGTGGTTTTAAAAGACTGTCATTAGCTACAGTCTTTGACTAACGCTTGAGTGACAAGAAGCAAATGTGTAGAAAAAAATGTGTCTTCATAAATATATCTACTTGCAGAGAAGTTTATCCCCTTATTGCCTTTGTATCATTTTTGATACATACTTTTATATACTTCTATCAAATCAATATCATCAACAAATTACTAAAAAACACCTGAATACAGTCCGATAAATGATAAAAATGTCCTCTTGTAGTTTATAAGTCTTCAAAAACATCTGATGCATCAAACCAGATGAATAAATATATTTGTTAAATTTTAAGGACATTTTGATTTTTAAGTAAGTAAAATAAACATTGCAGCTCCAAAAATTTCTTAATTTTCGGGCCATAATTTTTGGTGTCAAGCATTAAAGTGTTAAAAAGGTACATGTATCACAGTAGGGCGGTTTAGCTCTTTATACGCTTGAATGTTTTAATTTTGATGTTACAAACCAAACGAGAGCATGTGTGAAAATAAAGACACCGAATGCTTCATCTTTTCAGTACTACAGGAACCTTTTTTTTCCACTGCAATTTGGCTTAGTGGTTTCGGTCCCCACCACATACACAGAGGCTACAGTCATAATCACTGGCTCGACTGCTGCCCGCAACCTTTGCTGCTCGTCTTCCCCCGCTCTCTGCATCCCACATTTCCTGTCCCTCCTCATCTATCCTATCTAATGTGAACAAAATAACCAGAGAGGGGTAGAACAGTGAGAGTCATTCATTTTCAACATCAACATGGTCATGTTTTGAATGCTAAAAGTGTCCTTCCTCTTTGTTTTGGTGTTTTGATGTGACACACTGAGAGGATATATGTCCAGGAGTCCTGGAGAAACCTTGTGAGTCCTTTACTTCTCCACAGCTATAGCAACAGTTGCTTTTTTCTTGTGTTTGCAGAATAAACAGCTCAGAGAAAAATCAGGGGTTAGTGTGTCTGTGCCTTTTATATGACACAGACACTCCCTGACAGACAGACAGACCCTCTACACTCTGTTTCTTTTCTTTCACAAAAAAGAGCCCGAGGAAGGGAGAGGGAAGCAGAAGAACTGCGGCTGCTCTTGACCTGACTGAAAAAGTGAATTATGAGGTTTAGTGCCTTCGGGCAACTCCTAGATACCAGCTTAGTCCTAAGCTCTCAGATCTAAAGTCCTCCGTGTTCAACAGGGATATAGGAACAATGTGGACGCTGCAGATAGTGCACAGAGGGGCTTTAAGACCCGCCATGTGGGTGAGAGCCAGGTTTTTTTCTTGAGGGGTTCTGCACATTTGGAGTGAGACGGCATATACAGGTTAAGCTCTTGTAGCCTCAACTTTTTCCTTGAGAAGCTGGAGTTGTGTTTCCTAAGCAGAAATGTGATGATTCTTAGGTATCATTATTGTTGAATTTCACAAAACGAACCTTTGAAATGTTGACCTATTAGAAGTGCTACTCTGAAAGATTCTTATTTTGCTAAAGAAAAAAAAACTCTGACATAAAATGTACTTCATCATGACTCAGTTTACACTCCCTTCAGGGCTCTGAGGAACTCATGATCCAAGTTTGAAGTTATCAAAACTTTATACAGAATGACGTAGATACATTTCATGCAGATCACTTACTCTGTGTCTGCGAACGTGGCTCGTACTGTCGCCCAAACTGTCACGAACATCGCTGGAACCCCTGAAAGAGAAAATCAGAAACACAAACTTTCTTGTGATGAAACATCCCGCAGTAAAATACTCTAAATGATGGCTTTCTAAAACGTTTATATGGGGAGAACCTGGGGAGCACAGCATCCACATTGTATGCGCTGTGCTTATGTCACTAATACGCACAGTGTGTACAATGCAGGAGCTGTACAGCCCATTTTCATGCAATAACATTATTTTTGTCTCGTCTACTTATCCAAATAGAAACAGCGAGAAATTTGACAGCAGTTCTGATTTTTAATTTGACTGTCAAAACTTCGAGTACAATTCATGACGCATTTATTGGATAAAAGTTTTATGACTGAGCTGTGTCACAAACTTGATTCTGATTGGTCAAACATAAAGTAATGAATATTAAAGTGAGCAGGTGCTTATGTTGATTGGAGTCACTTCAGTGGGGAGACAAGACTGCACACAAAGCAGTGTGGCGATCCTAATCCAAATATCCACCTGCTTACTATTCATTACTACGACCACAGTGTGATCACAAGCCTGCAGATGTAACTTCTAAAAACGAGGCAGAACTCACCCCATCCAATCAGAGTAAATCCCCACAGATACTTTCTGTCTGAGAAGAAGGTCATGAAGATGAGGCTGTGCAGGTACAGCCCCTCCACGAGGATCCAGTAGTAATTGGTCGCCAGGAAGTACATGAACAAGGTTACAACCACCTTGCAGCCAATCTGAAAGAAAAGACAAGGAGAGCATGTTTAACTGATAATCAGGACACAGTTTTCTGACACTACATGATACACTGACGCATAATTTTACAGCTGTGAGTGAACATGGTTTAACATATGAGTATTTATTCAGCACTCTGACATATTCTGTAGGGGATACTTCTCTATTTCTCTGCTCAGAAGTCCAAAAACAGACGCAGACTGACAATCACATCAGTGAAACTTTCAGATTTGTGCGTTTGTTTCAGAGCATCAAATTTCTCTTTTATTTCCCTCTGGCTGCTGAGTGATTCAACATTTAATCTGCATGTTTCACTTCCACCGGACTACTATAACTGTCTATGCTGCTGTTTTTTTCACTAAATTTCAATGAATTTATAATTAGACAATTAACTTTTAGTTTTAGGCTATTATTCTATGTATTTATGAGAATCATATTATTAATGTATTTCTTTTAAATGACAGTTACTGGAATCTGATAATTACATTTCTGAGTCTCTGATGAAATGTAAAAATGCATCCAGTGCTACTTTTGCTACTTAATTGATGCCCAGTTTTTTTAATACATAAATTAATTATATGTACGCATTGACTTGAATAATGGCAGAAAATTTGAGAACATGCAAACATACAGAGCTTTACTTCGAGGCTTATTGTTTTCAAATCACTGACTGAAGCTTGTTTGTTGTTGCCACTGCCTTTTACCAAATTCATTATGTATTAAAATGTGGGCGAGGTGGATGAAAGGTAGCACTCGCACTGATGTATCAGTGTTTGCCATTGTCTAATGCTTGAGATATGCACAATTAATTTGGACTGACTCGTTACATTTGTTTGCAACCGGGCATACGAGAAGAGATTGTTTGCACCAATTCCTGTCAGCACCCTTGTTTTTTTCACTGATCTTAAATCTCTTTCCGCAACAACAACTCTTTCGCTGCAGAAAGCGATATTCCAATGGCCTATTTTTAAAGCAAGAGTTGTGCACTTTAGACGAGACACGGGGTGTGCTGGCAAAGGGGAACCAAAAACGGATGACTACAAACTAAATTACCGCAGGCTGGGATCCTTGAGGTTCACGGTTCAAAAGGAAAATAGGTTTGGGGGAAAACTGTATTATTTTATCACAAGATTTTCTTGTTGTTTTAAAAACATCTCCAAGCTTTTCAGCCTGAGTGCTTTCTGCAACTGTCCATTACTCTGCCGGATGCACTGACCTTTCAGTCCCTGCAAAGATAACACACTGTTCTTTCATGCTATCTCCCTTCTACACCTAACTAATCTCAACTAGCTCTCTGAATCGTGGGTGTATTCTATCCTGTACACAAACTCAACAGAAAGACAATATTTGAATAGGGCAGCGACGTCTCACAAGGTCGATTATTCAATGAAGGAAGCCACTTGATGTAAAATATAGATCTTGTCTTGGCTGTCTTTGCAGCCTTCGTTCTTCACACCTTCTAATAAAACACACACTCCAATATTTCTCATTCTTAGCATGTCACTATCAACACTTGTGGACGTCAGAGATTTTTCTGCTTCCTGTGCTAATCCTCTACATCTATGGTGAGGCTGAAGGTAATTGAACATTTTGTTCAATACTATGATTTATAGTATACACGTCTTTAACTGTCAGAGCAGGGATGTACAGAAAACAGAGGACGTCAGCGGCAGCTTTTGTGTAAAACTTATATTTTTAATTGCTCTGTGGACCCAGTGAATTTCCCCTGGGATCTGCTGGCTTGTTTTTTTTTTCATAGAAAATAAGGAGACTGAAAACACAAGTTATTGATTTAATTATTCTAAATCAATTAACCAATTAATTACTGAGCCTCAGGTTTAAGATGAGTATCTTACAGCTGGACCTTTTACAACTGTAGGGAATTTATCTTGTTATGAGTAGAAACAACAGGCAGTAGTATTCGTCTTGTGGAAAAATCCCAGAATCCCAACCTGATTAAATCCACTATTGATTTAGTCGACCTCCCCACTGCAATGTAGCTTCAGCTGTAGAAGCTGTATGGTCTTACATGATCATGAGGAGACAACTCCTCCCTCTGTGCTGATCCTTCTCCTCTTGTTATTTCTGACCAGTTTGTATTCATCCAAGTTTTTCCTGATGACAGCGAGGATTTGATCTGAACATTTTCTTCTTTTTAAAACTTTTATCTGTTTTTTTTTTTATATATCAGATACAAAAGACCAAACTAGAAACTAGACTTGAAAAGAGTTTGAATTAAACAGGCTAATCAAATTATGATGAATACGAGTTCAAATAGTCCACCAATGAAGAGTGCCACTTGAGAGGGAAGTACCAAACACTGCAGACATAGAACTCTGGGCTTTGTTAGATGAGTTCAATTTAATCGAGATTAACAAAAAGCGTACATTTTCACTTATATCACTACAAAGGTCTAAGAGTTTGACGCAAAAAGGGTATAAAAAGCTCTCTCTTTAATGATTATTAGATTGCCAAGTTTTTTTCTACGATTATAAGTCTGCAAAACACAATGTCCCCCTGAGTCACATCCAGTATACCTACCATTTAAACTCATAAACTCATTACGCAGAGTCCCGGGATAAAAGTGTCGACTAAATATATTGCGCAAATTATTTGTTTGCATATTAAAGCGTGCATGAAAAGTTCCCAGTCTTTACCCAGTTTTTAAACTTGACTCTGAAAGGGAAAGCCAAGTCCTGGCTCAGTAAAAGTTTGGCATGCTGACAAACAGTTCAGTTTATTTGCTCCAGCGCTGGAAAAGGCAGGTGAGACTTAGCGAAATAACACTTCCTTTTTGCAAGCAAAACATTTAGCGCTGGACTAAGCTACAAATCAAATTATCTGCACATGCAATGCCATCGAAGAAGAGGAAGGAAAAGTCTTTTTTCCTCTCTATACTACAACATATAACCTTGTCTTGTTATTGTTTCTTTTTCCTTTATAGATGTTCAGGGTCACTGTGTTCAAGTCAATGTTGTTTGTTTCAGCTGAGCCGGTGTACTCACAAACTGTGTTTTGTTGGCTGGAGGAGCCTCGGTGATGGACTTGAGGTCTTCCACTGTGACTCTTTCCATATTTTCTAAGGCTGAGCCGGAGTAGAGCACGATATCCTTCACAAAAATGCTGACAGCTCTCAGCATGTAGGACACAAAAAGGTGCATGTGGATGTAGTTCCTGGTGCAGTGCAGCCGCCTGGGGAGAAAACAAACCGGAGCGTCAATCGATAGATGTGCTGAAAACTGCTTCTGTGTGTTTGTTGAGTGTGCGTGTAAATATGCGTGAGCTGGCGCACCTTTAGCAACATGTGAGTCTTTTCACACACACATAAACAATACTCATCTTAATTAGAGCCAGCTGAGTTCCACGCTGACTATAACACATTCTTTGAGATTTAGGGGCTTGAAACGCACAAATATTGAATTGCTTGCCTCAAAGTGAGCTGTAAAAACAAAATTGCAAGCATGTGTCGAGAAAAAGCATGCAAATCTCCCCTTCCAGACAAGCGCGAGTTTATCTGTCAAAAGTTCTTCCAAAACATCCTGTCTGAAGGTTTACTGAGGAGCGAGACTTTGAGGTCATGCTGCAGGACTGAATTCAATCAATCAATCAATCGATGGCCGTAAAAGGTGACATCATCATGAGGTCGAGAAAGAAAAAAAAAAAAAAGACGATTTTTCCAAAAATATTTATGACTGTTTGAAAAACTGCAGCAGCCTGAGTATTGAAGTTATGCATAATCAATCATTTCTTTCTCTACGGCCTCTTTAATGAGCTGACTATCTGTCAGACTACCCTTTTAAAAGTATTGATTTAGGAGTGGGTGGTAAAACTAATCTAGCCAACATTTCCCTGGTGAAAAACACTGAACACAACTGCTAATGTGAAATATCCTTTTTCTCTCCCTGGAAAACATTTACAAGCTCTCCTGTCTAAATACTGACATGTTGACGGGGAGACACGGAGCGCTCCGGAGCACGGGCCAGAATGTCAGATGGGCCCCTGGGATAACTTATTAAACTCATTTGGCCCGCAGATTTCCTGGTGCCAGTTGGAAAGCGTTCCTAAAGCCGTCTGACTGCTGGCCTGTATGGTAAGTCATGCTGGTAGGACCATCGGTAAACACACCCTTCACATTGATTCCTGATACCCTCCGTGCTAAACAAAATAAGCAAATAGTGACAAATCTGCCCTGAATTAATCAGCTAGCAAAGGAATATGAATTCAACCTTGTTTGAGGGCAGACCCATTCAACACAATATACTTCACAAAATACATCTAAACAGAACAAAACAGAAAAACACCCAGCAATGTTTACAACTGTGCAATATTGACTTCAAAATCTTCCAAGGCTCGATGTAAATGCAGCTTTTTACGCTTGGTAGGATCAAAATCCTCATCAGAGCTTTGTTACAAAACCACAAATCAGCAGCATGAAAATAACAGAGAAGCCTAAATGTCAGACAATGGAGCGTGCATTCATGCGAGCCTGGAGGCAGACTCCTCTTCATACGCAGACATATCATGGTCTTTTAAAAGTCAACATAAAAGCCAAAGGTAGTGTTTCATACGTTGCATGCTTTATGTTTTGTCTTGATTAGTTGTACACTGAATTGCATGCTCAACTGTGGCTGACTGCATGATTTCATGTTAAAAGCTCTTTTTTTTCCCTCCCTATCAAGTCAACCTGAAACTAATATGCCCCCCGCTGCGCTGCATGAATGCAACAACATCATGATCAGAAGCTGTACCATCATGCCATTAAACATTTACACTCCCTGTCCTAATCCTTCCTGCCATCGCTCTAACCTTCATTTCTGACCCTGTTTCTGCAAATCTGTTTCTCGGGAGCGACTGAGAATGAAAGGAATTACTGGAAAAAACTGCAGTGAGAGCGGTGACTCACCGGAAATATCCTAAGATGACCACAGCCACCATGAGTGATCCCAGAGAGATGGAGTAGCCCACCGTGTAGATGAGATACAGACGGTGAAAGACCTCCTGTTGGAAAAGGATCATTTGTTAGAATCTCAGCAGGAAAGTCAAATGAACATCAAAGCTTTTCTCTTACTGCAGTTTATTAAACATTTTTTGTTTTTTAACCAAATGATCTGTATGCATAGTGCCTGTTTTGGCAATGTAAATAAAGTAAACCGCATGAAAATTAGCAATTTATGATTCATTTTCAATGTACATGTATTGCCTTTATTAGGAACGATGCTCCCACGAGCTTAGCCTCATCGTAGACACAGAGATCAAAGCGGCATGTTGTATCTACGTATTCATATCTGTGGTCTATACGATCCTGGTCATTTTTTTTTTTCTGTTCGTTATCAAGATGAACGCTGTAATTTTATTTATTTTAACGTTGTTCTAGGGCTGGGCAATAAAACGATAACAATATATATCGAAAATTAATTTTATCAATTAATAAATTTCCCTCAATATGAAACATGGTCAATATCCTTTTTGATAGTCTGCATTCTGCCATGTTTTGGTAGAATATACGAATAGCCAATGAAAAGGGGAGTTGCTCTGGGTCCGCGCCACGCTGAACCAATCATGTGCTGAATTAGAACCAAGAAGCAAACAACTGTGTAGTAGCAGGCTGCCGCTACACACAACAATAGCACTTTAAAATGTGAAGTCGACAGCACTGTCAGTGAGATAAAAAAGGAAAATGAGTGCCACCCCCGGCAGAAATGCAGATGAAGGCTCAACAGATGACGACATTGTTGAGAACACTGACACTAAAACGTTGGTGGTGTGGAGGTATTTTGGTTTTTTTAAGGTCGGACATGAAGCAGAGTAATGTGCACTGCAAATTATGTTGAGTACATGTTCTCACAAAGTTGGGAAAAACCTCAAACCTCACAGATGCAGTAGCTTATTATACTGCAAAAGACATGCTACCAATAAACACTATTAAATTTCATTTTTTATATTGTGATATATACATCGATATTGACTGATATGAAAAAAATATATCGTGATAAACGTTTTCCTATATCGCCCAGCCCTACATTGTTCAACTTAAATTTGTTGCAGTATGATGTTGTTTTTGTTTTGTCAGTTCTTTATTAATAAGGTTTTATTGTCATGTGTTTTACTTTTTATTTTTCACGTTGTACGGCATAAATCTTCTAAGAGGAGTAAAAAGTTGTGGACATTAGTCTGAAGTGTGGACCGTTAATAACCAACAGTTACATTGATTGCTAATAGTTAAGAGGATTTCAGCAAATCCAACAAATAAAAAAAAATAATAAAAAATTCAATATTCATCTTTTGAAAAATAGATTTTGGAAATTAAAAACACACATTTGTTTATTTTTGTTGCACATATCCAAACTTTGTTAAATGAAGTTTAATTTACAGAGTCTTCTTTTGTGGTAGCTAAGAGTAAATAAGAGCAAATTCAAGTGAACGTTAATAACCAACAGTTTCATTGATTGCTAATGACAAGTTAAGAGGATTTCAGCAAATCCAACAAATTAAAAAGAAAGAGTTCAATAATCATCTTTTAAAAAATCGATTTTGTAAATTAGAAACACACATTTGTTTATTTTTATTGCACATATCCAGACTTTGTTAAATGAAGTTTAATTTACAGTGTTGTCTTTTGTGGTAGCTGAGCGTAAATAAGTGCAAATTCAAGTGAACATTTTACTTCTAGGCCAAGTGTCTTACAAGAAAAATGGAAGTGTTCATGTTTTATTGGCATGTATTTTCCTCAAATCAAAGTCCACTCCAAATACGTTACATCAGTCAGTTTCAAAACGCGCTGCCTCTTGGCGTCCCAAATGTCTCAAGCACCGAGAAGTAACTGATGGAAACAACATTTGACACGGGTGGTGGAGCTGAGAAAGGCTGGGTGGAGCAGTTTGATCTTCCAGCAGCGAGCTGGCAGCCAGAGGACAGTGTAAGGAGAGCCACTAACCAGACCTCTCTGTGCGTCAACAAGCACGAAGAGGCCAACAGCCCTGTGTGATGTAACAAGATCCTCCACTGCTGTTATCACTTAGCATCAGGATCCCGAGCCAAAAAACAAACCCTCCGAAAAACTGTGTGCGTCTCAGATGTGGTGGTGGTCCGTGGTATGGCAGTTGATCTGTGAGGGGCTTTCGTTCGTGCATATGTATTTGTCATTAACTGCTGCAGCCGCTCTCTCTGAAGCCCATCAACACAAACATCTGATGTTAGAACAGAGATTGAAGGGCGCCATGATGAGGTTATACCCACATCCTTCGCTCCACATGCAGGCAGGGGAGAGGAAAATGTGTCTGTGACAGCTGATGCTTTATTGTTTCATGAGAAAATCTAGTAAAACGACAACTACAACAGCCTTTCTTTTATTTTTGTGAATGGGTGACTGATTTCTCTTCTGTCCCACGCCAGCAGCGTGAAGAGCCTATTTTAAAACAATAAACTCCATATGATGACACCCTGTAAGTGTTACGTATATGAGATCCACATAATGCCTCCAAGACTACGCCATAAAAATTCTTCTATGCATCATTTCTGTGCATAATGCAAAATTGCAAGACAAACTTATTCATAAAAACACAAAGACAGCTGAGTAAGTGTTGTTTTTTTCCCCCATAGCCAGGGTTGAGCTGTTTCCACTCTTCTTACAATACCCAGTAGTCCCATTCACTCCAAGTGTTATGACATATAACGCTCACATAATCAGACAAAGAAGCACTGCAGAATCACATCCACCTCTTCAGTCTAATGGAAGAACATGGGAGTAACAAGCCGCTGTGTTTGCTTCACAAAACAATTTTCTCGACATGCGCGCTGGCGTGACGGTGATGTCAGTGCTGTTGGTATTTATGATCCCAGGTTTGACTCTCTCATGCTGATTTATGTTACAGATGGTTGAGCTTAATTATAACGTTTAAATAGTAGACAGTGAAAAAAAAAAGTTTGTGGTTTCAGGCGTTGTAGTTATTTTTAAGCAGAAGATTTTCATTTGGAGAGTGTGTGATGTTTGGCAAAAGCAGCGACCTGGAAGAATAATTGACAGTCACGTGACCCTCATTATGAGGTACTTTTCTCCCGAGTCTCCTTTTTTATTACACTGGTTTCTCCAGCACGCTGTACAACATACTGTATGGCATCATTAAAACAACACAATGGGAAAATGGCGGCAATGGGTAAGAAAGATATGAAATTAGCACCATAACCTTACTGGCTGTGTGGCCATGGATAATTATTTAGTAACAGCAATAACAAAAGATAAATTACAGTACATATCCTGGAGAGTTTGGCTTGACTTTTGGCTTATTAGTGGTTATTCATGGTTATTCAGCCATCCGTCTCAGTAGACTCTGTCAGCTGGATGAGGCTCTGGTAATGTGCAGTCTGTTTTTTTCCCTCTCTCTGCCGTCACTTTCTTGAAGTGGCCGCTTTGAGGATCATTAGAACATCTTATCTGACTGTTAGCATTTTAACAATCTTTTTAGGCTGATCATCTTCAAATATAACACCCTGTGACACCACATGTCTTAGCCTGTTTAATGATTGCTGCATTACTAATTATCATTACTTGAAATCAGCATCAAATCATCACCTTAATTGCTGAAAAATACTTGAAAACCACTTTCCATCTTAAACCCACCTGTCACAGTGGCTGTGAGTGGTCATAACAGGTACACCTGCTTTACAGAATAATAGTGCTGTCTATCATTGTGTATAACAACTGGAATTAGTGAGTCCATACCACCAAAACAAGACTTTTTCAGATGTTTATGGAGGAAACAATGCATCAAATACATGGGTAATTACATTTAACTCATTCTATGGTGTTAGTGGACATTTTTTACCATAATAATAAAAAGTATCTTCATGAGTTGTTGTTATATTTTATGAAGAAAATTAATATAATTAAATGAAACAGCCAGAAAAGTGTTTATATGGGATAAGATGGTCTCTGATTTGTTATTAGCATAAATGTTATTGTCCATTGATTCATCTTATTTGGAAATTCTATTAAACTGCATCCTTATGAGTGAATTGATTCATTAGCTCTAGAAGAGTACGGTTCGCTAAGAGATTACAGTGAATTCACCCTGACAAAATCTGATAACCCACTGATGACCCATTCCACTACCCCCCTCCCTCAACAACCATAGCATGTCTCCGAATCTCTGTGTATGTGGTGTCAGTAATGTGCTCATGTTGCTGAGGGTTTTTTTGTCACTACACTCACTACGCTATTAATGAGAGCAGTCTCTTTTTTTACCTCCTCCTCTCCCTCCCTCTTGTGTGTTCCTTCCCCATCTGTAAATGCAATCTTGATGTGCATAAGTGCAATGACAATAAAGCATCTTGTATCTTGTATCTTGTATAAGGCGACATGAGAGTTTGTGCCAAATTTGAAGAGGCTTCCTGAAGGAATCAACAAGATAAGTGGAAAACACAAGTTTGTGTAGGTGCGTTACACCTGAGCAGTTTACCAAACATTACATAAGTCAACGCCAGACTCCAGTGAGCCAACTTATAGGGCTTTGTCATTACTGGTGGGTACACATGTCCCCTGAGTGGAAAACTTCCTGGCAAGTTTCACAGTTTGCAATTAAAACTAACGAGACCCTGTTTTGAGTTTGTGTCTGAGTGGACATTTACCTAATTGCAGCCTCAAATTATCACAAAGTGACCACATTGCCATCCTGTCATTACCTCCAGCTGTCATCATCTGGATGTTTTATTAAATATGATTAAAGTTCACTCACTCTTTCTGTACAGTACTGAGGAGGCATGTCTAAAAATGTGTGTTGTAATGGTGGGGTAAAAGTGGTGTAATAAAAGCCTGAAGGGCTGTAATATGGAGTGAGACTAGTCACAAATGCTGTTGCTTGTAATTACGGTGGAGGAAGACACTGTAAGTGTGGCAATGAGCGTGTAAATGGTGATTATGTTCTCCTCACCTTTTCATGGCTGTGATTGTAATGGTACAGGAATTTTGCACACTCGTTATAATTTGCCCACGTCTTGTTGGTCCCAGCCAGCTCCCACGTTCCGTTGTTGTCACACCGACGGTATGCCAGTCCTACACACCGCCGGAAAAGTGTTTTTTTTAATTACAGATTCTGCAAGTTGTTTGTCAACACAGTCACTTACTCACCCTCAGCTTCCTTCTTAATTAAATCTGCATAATTACATACATTTCAAAAGAGGGCTCAGTGATGAGGGTAGAGATTACAGCCGCACAAGAAGCTTGGCAGTTTTTTCTAAGAGTGAAAATCAGCATCAGAGGAGAAGTTATCCATTGCCAGTCTCACCTTTGTGGTTGAAATCGTAAATATACTCTGGACAGGCTGTAGATACGAGTTTTCCCGGAGCTCCTTCAGGCCAGCAAACAATCCCATCCCATTCTGGTGAGCAGAAACCGTCTGGGGAGACAAAAGCAGAAGTGACTGTTAAAACAGAGAGTACCCACTGGATAGCAGCATCATACAGCCACAGGCGTACAAAAGCAGAGAGCGGTGCGTTTGCTGTTGTCCTTTAAAAAGCAGGCCGGATACATGGACGTTAAATTGCACAGAAATGAGCACTGCAAGGCAGCATGGTACTACGTAGTGAGTCTGACTTCAAATTTGTGCTGTTTTTGTAAAGGACTGCATAGGTAGCATGAAGAACAACCTCCTTAGCTATTGCTTTATAATTAGAACTGGTATTCATGAAATTCACAGCAGGCTGAAAACAAGCTCTCCATTGGCTCATTAGGGCTTGTTTGTTCCCACAGCAGGTTCCCACACTGTTGATCACTACATACTGTTTTTCATCCAAGCTTGTTACTGTATGGATTTCATAGGGTGCATGGTCGTGTTGTTTGCAGCCCACTTTAAAAAAATACAGGAGCTGTGATGAAGAGTCATATATTACCTCTATCATACTATGTCTTCTTCCTCAACTTAGAAAACAATCAGTTATTGACTACTTTGTTTTATTTTCAATAACATTTGGGTTTATTTTTGGCTCTGACTTTACTTCTGAAAAAAGAAATTCAACTTCAAATAGAGAAACAAATCTTTACTTTTTATTTCAATGTGTACGTAATTTCAACATTTTTACAGGAGTTCATAAGTGTATCAATTCTTAAACTAAGTTTTGGTGAATTTTTTCATTTTTTATTAGGAAGCCCTCATTTTCAAGAGCCCCTTTGCGATCACGACCCTAGGGTCTTATTTTTTCTTTATTTATTTGCATACACACAATATTTATTTAACGCAAAAATATATAAATAAAGTTTAAACAAAAAGTATAAACAGTTTAAACACGTGCAGGAGAGTTATAAAACTCAGGAGGCCATAAAACGATGAAATGAAAAAAGCAAAAATAATACAACATAAAACAGAAGACACATAAAAGTAACAAAACAATAATTAAAAAACCTTTAAAGTATCGTTTAACATCTTTTTGCAATTAAAAGATTTAACGTGCAAACTACTTTAAAAAAAATAATAATAAAATAGTGTGTGGGTTTGTAGTGCGCTGTCCTGTAATAACACTTCAAACACAGAAATCATTCATCTAAACTACAAAGAGAAATAAATCAGTGCAGCTGGATTATTATGTGGTGGACATTACATTTTAAAAGTACACTATTGTTCCAAGAACATCTTTTTACTTTCTTTGTACAAAACTGCTGTTGGTGCGTTTTTTCTTCTGACGATCGCTGAAACATTTTTCATCTATTTTTAGTGAGGACTGTATAATACTGAGTAATTACGTTTAATAATACATCTCTTAGTTCACACAAAGAGCTGCATATCTGAAGGGGGAAAAAAGCCATTTGCAAGAATAGAGCCCCATAATTGTCAGCTAAACCCTGGAGCTCAGCCCTCTGATAGTGGGAGCAAAGTCTGTTTCCCCACAGATTCCTGGCAAAAGCCTCCTCATGGTTTGGCATTTTATGTTGTATTATTGAAACCATCTGCCCCACTGTGACCACTAATAAGTAGCTGAGGATAAAACTAAAACTATCCTCTCTTTGCAGTAGATCCATTATTTTCTCATTCCTGTAATCAAACTTGCAAAGAAACATGCGAAGCAATGACGACATGCTTTTTTTTTTTTATTTGCCTGTCACTTGGAGCGCAAAATTAAAGAGCAGACTGAGCGGAGTTGACTGATTCTCACTGATCTTTGGAGGAGAAAAAACACAGAGTTTAGTTTCTGAAAATCACACTGACCACACATCCTGAGAGTAAAAGTAGAATTGCTTTAGGTTTTGTTACCATAGGACCACCTACTAACAGGCTCAAATTAAACAGCGAACACACACAGACACATATAATTTCCCGTACGTTTCTTGACCACATTTAAATATAAACGTGACTACGCACGGACTTTGGTATTAGTGATGTCAATGGGGTTTTTAAAAAAGGTTTTTTCCCCCCCAACTCATTTGATTCTGACCTGCAGATGTCAAAACACATATTGCACTTTTTCATGATACATGCAAGCTTTTTATAATGATTGCTGATGTTGTTCTTTACCCAGACCACAAACTTGAAGGCTGAGCTATTTTCACACTGCAAGGTCTGGGGCATTGAACCCACATCCCTCCACTGTCCTCTCCAGGCAAACCTCAGTGTCTCCCTCAATGAAAACCTTGTTTCAGCCACGTAACGGAGACTTTTGTGTATTTAAAGCACAAATGAGAAATAAAAACAAGGGGATTAAATGTTGAAATCCAACCAAGATCAAGGTTTTGAGTTCACACAGGGCTTAATCTTCTCTAAGTGAACCTGTAATTGCAGGATCAATTCATTACTCAGCACAGATCCCACATTTCACACTAGTGTTTTTTTTTTTTTTTTTCTACTGGTGCCATATCCTGTAATAGACCAAGAAACCACCAGTTTACAGTGCAAGCAAAGAAAACAAAACTCTAGGGGAGGTAAGGAAAGACAAATACAGATAAAAAGACAAATTCAACAAAAAAAAAACACATAAAGCCGGATTATTCTTGTATTTTACCACAAGCCACAATAAAAGAGACAAAAAAGGTACATTCATTTCAAGGAAAACACTTTCACGGGTCGACTGAGTGTACAAATGTTTTCTCAGACGTTATCTCAAATCTCGACAGTCTCCTCAATCTTATTCAGCATCACACGCAACCACGACCCAGATTTTTTAATGATCCCCAATTTGCATAATCAGGAACAAACACTGAGGTTTAAATCAGGTTCAAATTAAGTGAATTCAAAGCGTTTTAAATGCCATTAAGTCGGAAAATCTCGTATTTAAGTGGGATAAATGACTACATATGTGTTTAATCAGGCATCTGTTGTTTTTGTCTTTATTAAGCCAGTATGTTCACCATGAATCTTGATAAACTCTAAGACGAATGAACACGCGTGTAACCTTTCGAATGAGGTCAAAACAGCCATGTGATTAAGAATCAGCCTCATACGGTGTGTGTCCACATCATCAGGTAAGCAGGCCAGCTCTCGTGTGCTGAGAAAACCTCCGAACAGCAGCTCAGAGAATCAGTCAGACGGTCCTGATGGGCTCGTTAGAGTCAAGATTCAGCGCTAATACCCTCCCTGATGTACAGGCGGAGAGCGGTGCCAGAGAGAGGCGGTGCGGTGCACTACAAGCACAGCAAAGAATTATTACATAAATTTACCAGTTTGCACACTTTTTCTTCTTTTTTTTTTTAACAGATAAACCAAGCAGACATGTTGTTTTAATATTTGAGCATGTGAGATCTTTGTAGGTGGACCTCTGCGGGAAAAGCAGCAAAGACCATTTCTAGTGTAAATGAGAAGACGAAGTGACTGTGTGTCTAAGTGCTGGCTGAAGTGTGACACCATGCACCACATGTCATGATGGATTAAGCTTCATGGAGGTCAGAGGAGCAGCAGACTCTTATCTGAGAGAGAGGGAGTAATGTTTGACCTGCTGCTCTGCATTAGCATCTCTGATAGCACCCTGTTAAATAAGCTTTGAAAAGAAAAAAAAGGAGAAAAAAGAAACGCACAGCACTGTTATATAAACCCTTGACATCTCAGACAAGCTGCTGTTTGGCGCCTGAAGTTCTCAAAAGCAGCGACTCTGTCAGATTTTTTTACATGTAATTTCAGATTTGTGGACGCTTTTCAAACCATGAAAAATTGGAAATACCAAATGTAACCAGCGGTAACGCTCGACAAAAGCTTTTGTGTTCTTAGCCGGGAAGTAAACATTTTTTAATTATGTGTTTCATTTACAAGGGGGTATCGTTTGGAGGGTCTAGAAATCCAATGTGACCGCAAGGCACTGGGGTTAAAGAGAAAATAATACGATTGGTTTGGCTGTGGAATTCAAAATCCGACTCTGAACAATCAACTGAAAAGACAGAAACCACAATGGAATATAGTTGATGCTGGGGTCGTCTGGAAAATGAACATCCATAAGTACACAAATTCACCCGGAGATCAGCTTCACATTCAACCCCATACCCAGGGAGCCGCAGCGAGGACAAAGGAAACAAAGGAGCGTTTTATAACGTTGCTTCACATAAAAGGCACAAAAGGCCCCACTTTCTGCTGACATGTTTTAAGAAAGTGTTAGTGTGAGCTATCTGAGAGGGGCTGTGAAGGGTGCGCGATAATCAGCTGATTAGTTAAAGCTCTTGTAATCAACAATCACACTGAAAGAAGTCACCAATCAGGTTCAATCAGGGCTGACAGGGTGCTTACTTTCACTTTCACTTTCTTGTGATCACCGTGGCTGGCTGCTGATTTACGCCTCACTACCACAGCTCCTGGTTATCTTTCCTGTTAGTGCATATTAATGTTTCCTCTGTCACTGCAGCTATTCACTCCTCCTACATCTGATTGGCGACCCCCTGCATTTTACACATTTTCAAATCGGCGTTTGTAAGGTTTCCTCCTGCACAGCGCCAGGAGATTGATCACTTTCTTATTACTATTGAACCTCTGGCTGGAATTCATGGGGGAAATCCCACAATAGCTGAGCCCATTCTGGCAAAACGAACCGTTCGCCTGCGATAAATGTTTCTCTCTCTCTCCCTTCACACAAATCTTTACACAGTGCAGCTGGAGACAGAAATCACACTATTGGAAACCTAATCCAGACAAATAAAGCCGGACCTTGTGGTTAAATAAGAATCCCAAAATCCCACTTTTGAACATAATTTGTTCGCTGTCCGTGTCTCTAAACACAGCAGTGATCAGCCTTATAGATTTTATCTGTAATCCATTCAAAACACTAATACTCACATGTTTGGCATGTCAAACATCATCATCACCTTAACCCCTTTTTTCCTTCTATCCGGACAAATAACAAAAATCCTATTCCAGTGAAATCAGCGAGCTAAAAAACCAAAAGGGCCAAGTAGATATTATAGATGCCCATAAAAAAGGGTAAAAAGAAAATGTGCGATTCTCACACTCTAGCTATTTTTGGACATGTTAGCAGTTCTGCAGCAGTGAGCCTTGTTACATGACATATTGTTCAGATACCCCTGGCTCTCTGAGGACGAATCCTGCAAACCTTCACTTTTTTATCTGGCTTAAGTTTGCTCGATCGCTAGATTAGGGTCCTCTCATTCAAAACCTCCTCAAGATTAAATGATGATCCCCTCACTCTTTGGTCCTAAGCTGTTATCAGATTAATATATGGAGTTTAATATTGAGTTTATTAAGATAGATCTACAGAACTAGCAGCCTCGGTTATTGACCCTTACAAACTCAGATGGTAACAGCACTTTTTGGATGTCTTTTACTCACCAGGAACTTTGTGCTTGGACTTGATGTTTCCCTCACACTTCCGTTTCGCTCTGAACAAAAGGCCAATCTGTTCCTCTTTGGTCAGCACGTCATCTGCGGAAACCTGGGGAAACAGAAAATGGCTCATGGTTAAAGGTGGAAATGTGTATGCAAGTGTTTGACTGTACAAACTGATGAAAAAAACAACAGGATGTTTTTAAAGTGATATTTTTGTGCTCCCTCTACATTCTGAAGAAAAAGTTTTCTAAAAGCAAGTTTTATCAGGTTACTAGAGGACAAAACCACAAGGTATTTTCGTATTTTACCTGTTCGAGGATTTGCTCTTTTCAGGGCCAGTGTGGACAAAACCACCTTTGCTGATTTTGTGACTAAAGTCTCTTCAACATCTGAATAATCAGCCATTAATTAAGAGGTTTAGCGTCCAGCAGCGTGCAGTAAAATCACTCGGTTTGACTCCAACCCCCTGACACTGGTTAGATTAACAATAGAAAAAAAAAGAGGTCTCTGCTCACAATGGGACTAACCTGGCTAAATAAAAATCAAATAAATAACAGAGATATCTGCTATACTATATATATATATATATACTATATTATATATAAGTATGATATCATCTATGAATTTTGCAGCAGATTAGGCAAATTGTAAGGATCTTGATTGTCATTTTTTTATGTGTACTAGTCTGGAATATCATAAATGCTTTGGCCATGAACAATCGCTGTTGTGTGTGTGTCTGTTTTTTTTAAGTCGTTTCTTTTAGGCATTTTCCTTTATTTTAGGAGAAGCTGCAGATAGACGGAAAAATAGGAAAAGGGTTGTGGGGAGGACACGCACCAACGAAGAAAGGCTACGCTTCTGATCATCGAGGACCGAGCACCTTAACCTTTTCGTGTCCTCATCGAAAACTTTGCTCTATTTGTTTTGTCTGGCGCAGAAGAAGGGCTTATATAAGTCAAGTGTGTCCTTGTTATGCTTGTTCCCCGGCGTTTGTTTAATTTGAAATATTTCAGTGGGAAAGTTGGCCATAAGACCATTATGTGCTGCTTTTTAGTGTCAAACAATCCGTCTAATTTATTCCACTTCACAAAGCGCTGAAAATTCCCCCCAAGGACAAATATACAAGTGTCCTCAAGAAATAAAAGAAAAATCCAAGCGATTGTTTGGCCTGGTGGCTTGGCCGAGTGCCCCGTGAACAGAGGCTACAGTCCTCAAGCGGGCAGCCTGGGTTCAATTCCTGCATGTCACTCACCACCACTCTCTCGGTTTCCCGCTCCACTGTCCTGTTCCCTCCAAAAAAAGGGGACAGGAATGGTTGACCCCTGTGCGCTTAATCGAAACTCATACATGTCAGAATCTAACAAAAGTAAAGTTACTGTACATAAACTCTCCTGACCAGAAACATTTTTCAATCTCAGGGCAATTTCCGTTTCCCGGGTGCCTCACAACCCACTGACCACTCTTTTACTTTTCTCCATCTCCGGTCATTGTGCTGTGGACAGCATCTTCTAAATCCAGTTTCCTCCAGCAAACCGATCCTCAAATTTTTTCACCACAGCCCTCTCTACAACGGACTCGAGGCGAAAGAAACAGGGTGGTCTTGGATGTAAGTCAACCCGCTCTTTATCTTGAGGGTCAGATTAGGTCATGCTTTGACCACAACAGTGTTTCCAAGCACAGCGGTGCACCCTCCTCGCACTGATCTTTGCCCTGTCCTGAAGCAAATGCGGTTAAAAGAGACCTCGTTTTTCTCTCTCAGTGTAGTTTTTAAACTTTTGGACATTGTATTGAGAGCAGACTGAGACCTCAGGTGTAGTTTCCAGTCAAGGAAACATTTCCCCCCTAATGGGTCACACTGATTGACTCATGTTTGTGGATCACTACTGACCAATTACATAAGCGACAGTAGTAAAAATGACCTCTGTTATTTTTAACTGAGTCTGACATGAAAAGAGGGAACGAACACACAGACATTCAGGCTGAGTGCTAAAATTAAAGCTCACAGATCAGCTCACAAATCGACAGGATTTTCTACTTCATCAAAGAGAGATGTTTTTATTTTCAGAGCGCAGATTACCGTCAATGAAACAACCTCGTATGTATGCTATTGATGGAGCTTGCCTAAAGGTACGGCTAAAAAAAACTCTGTCTTGTTTTTTTGCTTCAGTGATGCAGAGCAAACAGCGCAAATGAGAAACAGATGTTTGCTCAATTTGCCACAGTTGTGTGTTTGCTCTAAACAGGAATCGCCCATGTGGATGCAAAGAAATTTAATTCTTCTTAAATAAAGCGTAGGCGGGAGGGATTTGTTCACGAAGAGGCCGCCTGGTCGTGTTTCAGAGGAAAAGAAGAAATCGAAATGAGAAGGTAGTTGACTTTTAGTTACACTTCCACAATTTTCAGGGTAAATCCCTTTTCAAATTCAATACATGAATAAGATGAAATTCAAGATTTTATGGCAAAGAAAGACACCTGTAGAGAAAATGAAGTACCTGTAAATCCTATCGTCCTGCATCTACAGCAAATGTTCCGTCAAAGATAGTTAAGTATTAAAAGTCAGGCCCCTCACTGAGAAAAATATACTTTATGTATAGTTTTAGAAAGGGAGTACATATTTCTAACAAATATAAAGGCATAAACACAACTTCTAAACTTTGAAGTGTGAATGTTGAGACTTGGATGGTGCAGACGCGCTCACATTGTCTGCACAGTTTTGTGCACTCAAACTCAGACGGCAAATACCCACCCGCCATGTCGTTGCTGCTGCGCACAAAACCATACCACCTCAATATTTTCACTAGTTTGAGTCCTAAAATAAGGATGTCCAGTCTGAGGCTGAATGAGGTTACAGAATGAAGACGTTTATGGCTTTGCACAGCAAACAACCACAGATGGAACAACATCGGACCGCAGGCGAACAAGGATAGATACTACCTGTTTGCTCGACCAACTACGCCAATTTAGAATATTCCACTGAACGCTCCTGAGGCATCAACGCTATTTTCATCTGAATGACTGGCTGGTGTTACTTCAGGTGAAGCTCAAACTGAAGAAAACTAGAAAAACTGCACCTGTATGGAAATGACTAAGAAGATGCATTCATATCATTACTGTTGAATGCAGCAAAGTGACTTCAATGGAACAAGCAAGTATTTTTCTTTAGATATTATGTATTTAGATGCAAAGAGGCTCATTTTTATTCAGGACAGCATTTCCAAGATGCAAGAAATGTCAGCCGCTTTACTAAGCTTCTAAATCACAGAGTGCAAATGAGTTACAGTTTGCTTTTTCTTCTTTTAACTTCCTCAAACTTTGTAAGTGAAGCAAACATATTAAGAACAAACATCCTAACCTTTGCTGCTCAGTTTGAGCCCCGTTCAAACGTTTTACTAAAAGGAGGAACAGAGTTTTGAGGAAATAATTCCTTCATGTGCCGACTCCCTGCTCGCATAGACGCAGCCGAGTATCATTTACCATTTAACGAAGAGAATCCTGGGTAATAAGTGTGCCCCCTGATTATTTCTGAAAACTATTCCTCCTCCACTGGCCGGGGTCCAAACCTCCAAAGTAAACACGACTCTCACAGGGAGAAACATGGACATTCTTATTTACAGCATTTCATTCAAAACACAGTAATCTTTTTGTTTAACGCTTTCGAGTGTGTGCCAAAATGAAAATAAGAAAAATACACAGTGTATAAATATGTGTGTTTTCATCACTGCTGCCTAGAATACAAACTCTGCTTGAATAAACCACAAGTTTGTATTTGTCTCCTGCAAACTGTGGCTGGATGGATTAAACTGGAGCTCTCTGCAAGGATATAAGACCAATATTGGGAGAACTGTATATAGGAGTTAAACCGCCGAGACTACATAATGACACTATATAGTATGGGAGGAAAGGAACATTTTAATTTTGGTCTGACGTGACTTATTTCAACATTTGGTCAATGAATTATTTTAGTAACTCTATCCCCTGTTATAAAATATCAGCACCGTCGGTTGATTTCTGAATATTTACCAACCAGGGGAAAAATACACAGATTAAAAATGTGAACAGACATTTGTGCATACATGAAACAGAGACACTGGGTTTCTGGTACATTACCAACAGCCCTGATTGTGGACTGCCTTGCACTCTCTCTCTTTCTTTTTTTTCTACAGAAAGTTGTGGTTAACCAAAGTCATTTCCTGAAATACCCTACAGTGAATAACAGTCGAATGCTGGAGGTTGTGGGGTAGACTTTAACACCCCAAAAACTGGAGGACCCAAGAAGTCTAGATGAGCTGCAACAACTCAGCTCAACTCAACTCAGCTAAGCTCCATGCAATGTAACTATCTTTAATATGTCAGCAATGAATTTTCTCATAAGTGATCACTCAGATTATGAAAAAAAGAGGCTTCGTACAAACAAGAACTTGGTGGATCAGACCAGATGTAAAATCATCCATCCATTCATTGAACCGTCCATTTTCCTCCCCTAACTTAGGTTGCAAGTTGATCAGGTTGACCCTAAACTACCCTTTCCTAACACTGTTTTCCAGCTCCTGTAGAGACACGGGATTTGAGTCCATCAAGCCAACCCTATCTTCAGTCAATTGGATGTGCCTGGAAAACCTCAAAAGAAAGTCCCTCATTCTCATCTAGTGCCCAAAGACGCACCTGTATTCTCACAGTCACTGCTCAGTACTCACCAACTGGTCCAAAGATTTAAAAGATGAGTGTTGGTACTTTGTCTCAATCTTCTAGATCAAAATATTGTCTATTTCTACGCCACGCCCACCATCAGTCATCTGTGCTTGTCTAGAACATTGTAGCTCTATGGCAGGAACTATTGATTTCTGCTGCAACCCAAGGTGGCTGCATTAAATCCATAACATGTAACTGGAATTTTGCGCTACAATAATATAAAATGTATTTTTAATTAGTCTAGTCGACTTTTAATTCAAGGGCCGACTACCAAAGGTGACAATGTTCAATCAAACGTGCACATTTCCATTACCCTTTATGACCACAATGTCGGAGCATAGATAGTCAATCTGACAGCTTCGCCTTCAGGTTCAGCCTCTACTTTAACACAACAGTACACAGCTTGTATTGCACCTGATCCTGCACCAAACCTTTTACTTTCCTCTCAATACATTTCACTCTCACTAAAATAACAAGACCCCAAAATACTTGACCTCCCGCTGAGACTTACCGGTCACTAAAGGAAGTTATCTACCGTTCTCCAGCAGGGAACAGCATGGCCTTAGACTGAGTGGTGCTGACCCTCATCCATTGCTTCACGCTCTGCCATTATGTTTGGTTGAATGTGTTACAGTGAAAGCCCTAAAGGTTCGACATATTTCCTTGTATGAATGGCTCTGTGATGACTAAAACCTAATCAGCAGTTTCCACATTTTCTTAAAGAAAATTAATTCTCGTTTATTAATGAATACATAGATAAAGCAATGACAGAGGAACGGTTATGCTAAATAACAATTTCCACAGTGCCGTTGCTTAATTACAAGGTTTCTGTGAGACTGTGATTGTGGGCTCCAACACAACATGAATTATCCAACACAGAAACTCTAAATCACTTCAAGGAATATGCAGCTGAATGGGCCAAGCTGTGGTCATTCAAGGTAGTGTCCTTCAGTCACACAAATAACAGTGTGACCAATATTACACTGTTAAAGACCAGCAACTAGTATCTCATCCAGGAAAATTAACCACAGTCTATTGAAAGTGATGGATGGTGCGGATTGATCGAGGCATTTTCTTCAACACAGCGGTCCGACTGTTTAAGCCTAATGGTGGCACTAGAAGGGAAAGTTGTCGGATTAAGAGATGAATTCATTGGAAAGCTGAAAGGCAAGCTTAATGGTTTCAGCACCAGATGACCACTTAGAGTCCAGGGAATGACTTCAATGGCAGAAACTGGCCGATGTCCATAACAACAGTTGGTATTTGGACAGCCTCTCCATCTCCATCTTTGGTGAGAACAAAGAGCGCAGATTGAAACCACTGGCAGAAATTCTCATGAGCAGAAGTGATTCACTTGAGAACTGTCGCAGAGTGGACGTTTCATTTGTCTCAATACTAAAATCAGACGCTAGCGTTCTGTTTGATTGAATCTGGCAAAACCAACACTGTTGAACCAGTGCTTGATGAATACTCCATTTTTGCAAACAAGTTCAATGGTCGATGTTGGTGTAGTTCATTGAATGAGCATCCAATAATAACACAAGTAGTCTAAATTGTACCATACACCTGTAATGTAATAAGAATATAGTATGAGGTTTTATTTGCTCTTGTAGATGCCTTTAGTATCATGACTTACTCTTCTAAGCCTGCTGTGGAGGCATGTGGGTAACTACTAGGAGTGGGAATCACTAGTGGCTCCACGATACGATATTCTCACGATACTTGGGCCACGATTCGATATTATTGCGATTTTTAATATTTTGCAATACAGTGAGCATTGCAATACAATATATTGCAATTTATACAATTTTTTCAACTGTTCAGCTAATTCAGCATTTGGCTTTTCTATATGTTTGTCTTATTTACGTTGTATTTTATTTTCACATAGCACTTATTGCAAACCTTATATAAACATTTGTTGGACTAACTTTCTCCTGCTCTATAATGTTACCTCTGCCAACCTCACTGGACAAACAGTTGATTTTGTTTCTCCATTATCATAGACTTGACTTCATATTAGCAATTAATTTAAAAAATCAATACTTGAGGTGATACAATATATCACCAGACAAAATATCGCGATACGATGCTGTATCGATTTTTTCTCCCACCCCTGGTAACTACTATCTGGCAAATTTCAGTTATGTGTCATCCATTCAAAGATATCCTGTGTATTAAAGCCTGTGTAATTAAACATTAGTGACCCAGCTGGCTTCTTCTCACTATATCACCAACAGAGAGTGACGAATTTCACTGTCATTAAATCCAAAAACTGCAAAATAAGCAGTCTTCAATAGTTATCATAAAAATCCTAATCCAATTTTAATATCCTTTCTCCCTGAAGATATTTTTCCATAACTTTAGAGACATATTTCACTGTATCAGTTTCAGGATTTTCAATAAACTTTTTCCTTTTTATTTCAGGGTCAATTTCACAAATTCAATAACATAAGATTGAGTAGGAAAACTACACACACACACACACACACACACACACACACACACACACACACACACACACACACACACAGTTTTAAAAGTCAGTACCTCCAGGCATTATCCTCTGATAACATCTCTTTTACTAATTTGACTGGAAATACAAACCATCTAAATTTTATCACCTCAGAGTCCTCCAATAGTGTCTCTGTTTGCACGCTCATCTAGTCACCAGGGATGAAATTTTTTAGCTAAATGGTCGTATTAAGTGAGACTTTCCTCTCCAGATCACACTTCATCACATGGATGATAAATAATATACAGTTAATATTTACTCTGCTCACTGTAAAGCGCCTCTATTATGGGCATACAGTCCAATGTTTGTTTTATGTACTTGTTTTGGTCAGCTGCCATTCTTTACACCGAAGGCTAACATTCACTTCCTTGTTGTTGGCATATTTTCAAATTTGGATCCCAAGGGTTTCTGGACTTTCCTGTATGTTTTTTGCCCCACAAAATAGGGGTGGGGGTGGGGGGGGGTGGGGTCTAGAAAATTATAACTCTGCTGAATCTTGTTTTTAATGGCCCGTCTGCTATCTGGAAAAAACAGGAATATGTTTCTTTTGACATATTGCACCACATGAATGTTTTAGCGGATGAGGTTCCTGGATATTCTAAACTCTATGAGTCAGTGCCACTCCTCTTCAACTGTGCAATTTGCATTTGATGATAAAAACCACAAACCACAAGACTGGTTGTCCTTTGGAAATGCTTGTAGACCACATTCTGACTTAAAGCAGCATTTAGCTCCTAATTATACCCCTGCTCTGGTTGTGAGGCTGAAGAACAGCACTTTTGTCCTTGATGGAAACATTGTGTGTGCTCACTCTAAGAGGCAGCAAACATCTCGTAGAGCCCCGGTTAGCTTCGATTGTGTTGTCCTCTCAAATTAAAACACACCATTTCTTCGTTATGTAAGTGATTTAATACACAAAGTATGGAGCCGTGCAAATGCAGCATTTTAATTTTCATCACAAGCTTAAAAAACTACTGATGGTTATGCAACAATCAAATGCAGCAGACATTTCTTAATATCTTAATGGATGGTCACAAAAGTGTCAGGGACAAAGGGTTGCAAACATTCAGATACAGTCATTTGATATGTGGATTATGATGATTCTGGGTCAAAATGCATGATTTAATGTGGATTTAGCATCAATAAGAGCTTTTTGTCAGCTGTGGTTTGACTACACATACAGTTGCATTAATGGTATATCATACCCTGGCAGTCACAGCTTGCCAACATCTGCAGTAATCCTCTGAATCACTGCAGTTGAGGATAAAACACAAGATAATGTCAGAGTTCATTTTAGCTTTTAAAGAGCATCCTCCAATCACTTTCAGCAGGAGAGAAATGTCAATGTGATCTCTATGTTATATTTTCAGCCTTTGAAACAACATAGATTTAATTTAGAATCTGAATAATAATTTATGTTTTTCCTCATTTAGCATCAGCTGCAATAATACATTTCACATTTCTGGGTTGATTAATTTGACGGCAAATTGCCTCGACTTGTACAAATGTAAAAGGTAAGGTCAGATGAAGTAGGGCACTTCATTATTTATTAAAAGCGACAGCAGGTACATTCTGATGGAGTTATCAATTTTTAAACCAGACTTTCTCTAAAATACCCAACGCTGAAAGAAATAAATGTCTGAAAGCTTTCTAAAGATACATAGTTTTTTTTTAAACACAAGGTTTTCATAAATGAATAATAACACAGGATTAACCAACAGGCCACCGTACCTGAGCGGCTCAGGTGGAGTGTTTCTGTTTATGCATACAAGCCTCTTTGCAGACGACATGGTTGCTTCTGTTCCTAAAGTAACTCACATGAACTCAATCTTGAACATCGTCACTGGGTTAGATCAATATATCACCTGTCTATTAATCTGCTGGGAGTTTTCAAAAGCTGATGTCTCGTTACAGTCCCAGTGCTCTTGGAAATCTAAATGAGTGTGAGTCTAACACCCACTGAGCCACCAGCAGCCATTTCAACACAGACATCAGTCTGATTGCTCATGCCTGTAATTCTCACACACACTGAGTCAACTGCAGACACAGTGACAACTGTTATAGGAATACTACACCTCACCACTATCTCCATGTACAGAGATGCAAATCGCATCCATGTGGGAAGTATTCTGAACAAGGCAAAAAATACAGGTTTAACAATCACAGTGTGAATTTGAAGTCTGCTGCACTTAAGAGGAAGCCATTGCAACACTTTAAAGTTGTAAGTAACTCAATTATTTCTTCAGGTACTTCACACTTTGTAGGTATCACTGCAATATATTTGGATAATGATCAGCATTATTATTAAAATGTTAAAAAAGAAAGGATATTAATTATTAGATCTTTTATAAGAAACACAATAACTGGTTTAGCTCCTTAAGTGTGAATATTTCCAATTTGCCTCATTTTATGACAGCAAAATCATTTTTTTTCAGTTTCAGCCAAACCAGGATATTTGACAGTGATGCTCCTTCAGGCTTGTGAAAATCACAGTCTTTTCTTTCACTATTTTGTCTTTTTATGCTCTGATTAATTCACTGCTTATATGACAAAATAACTGACAAGTTATTGAGTAATAATGATTGCTTCTCACGGCCCTATAATTTTAAAGTCTTATTTCATACTTCCAAGTCAAATGGCAAAATTCTCATGGTAAGAAATAGAGGACTTGACCACAGAAAGCTAAAACGCATGCCATTAACCTGCCAAAACCTTGCAGGAACGCCTGATCCAAAAACAACATGCACACTCCAACCATGTTTGACGCAAACATCCATGATGGTGTGCAAATAACTCTATCAGTTTTACTACAGGGACGAGCGCACACTGAAGCCAACGCAAAAAGCTATAGCTATTCTTGCCCCTCAGACCTCAGGAGCACCTTGTGTACACTCAGTGCTATTATCATTGAGAGCAAGGCACACAACACAGCAATCAGCCCTATGGCTGTAATTTATCAGCAGAATCCAGAAAGAGCCCAGTGCAAAGACACGGCACATGACAACAACACTCCAAGCAATCAGTGCCTTCTCTGTTGTGGAGAACTAAGACAAGGTCACTATCTGTATAAGGCTCCTAATTGTAAGTGGCTTTCTAATAAAGCTCCTAAATTGTGGTTAATCACCCAAGGTGTCTCCCATTGCCTGCTAATAATACACCTTTCTGATTGGCTAATGTAGGAGGCAGCTGAGAGTGAACTACACAGAATCACCTTGATTGAGTTGCTTAGGAAAGGTCATTCAAGCACAGACATAATCTCACTAATTATATAAAACAGCATAACAGTAATTATCACCAATAAATAACTTATACTGCCTTCAAGAATTTTTAATAATGCGACAGGTGAGACCATTAATTAAACATACTTGAATGTATTTTAAGTGCAAGGTGAATCTTAACAGTGTTTAACGGATCTTCTGCTTCATAAAACATGAGTAAAACATGACAGCAGAGGCACAGCTATGACATTCAAAATGATATCACAAATTTGCATATGTTGTGTTTTTCCCTGAGGCTCAGCTAAAAGGGTTGACATGAATGACATGAAGCATAATTTCCAGGGTGACTTCCCGTCTTTAGCACATATCTGTGACACAGATGTTAATGCACACACAGTTGAGGATTAAGATGCTTCAACTGTCAGCAAATGCACATGGACCACACTGTTTAGAGCGTACCGAGAGGCCCCGCAACTGACCTGTCAACATGGGCTGTCTGATTTCCACTTACTGCAAGGTCACCGGTGCTGAGGTCTTTGAACCATGTTTTTATTTGACTAAAAATGACTTGAACCCCCCTGGGTGAAAGGCAGAGTCTGTTGCAGAAGGCAAACAGTGTGCAACAGAGCAACGGATAAGAAGAGCACAAGCTCATATCATAGATTTTAAGCTTGGTATAATAAAATAAAGTATGCAAAATATTTACATTTTTTAATTCCTATACCTCAAATTACACATCTACCTTACATGGGAGACTATGTTTTGTGCAAAATAATACAAATGATTGTACAAGAACATACAGGAAATCAATAAGGATGTGCAGGATGAGTTGACTAAACTATTACATGCTGTGACCCTGTAATCTTTGAAATAATGAGGGTCTTATCAATATTGTGTTATGTATGTGCACTGACTGTTATGAAAACCTGTACCCTAAAGTGATGGAGCAGGTCGATGTGCCACTCTCAAAAGCTATGCTGACCTTCAAGTCACTGTGTGAACAAAAATGTCCAGTCCTTTCAGTGAGGAAAACAATGTGTGTGTGCCTTGAGCACGAGGTATTCAAAGTAGATTAACTGCAACATGTAATTGTGTGAAAGATTAAAAATGTTCATCTAGGCCTCGCAGTAATACTTTTACGTTTTTATAGTTTATCTTATGGCTGATCATGTTTTATGTATGTGCTTTTTTGTTTTTTGTTGTGTTGACTGTTTGCTAACTACAATGGAGTGAAAATGTACTTAAATATCGGTTTCTCAAACAAGGAGTTACTTAATCTTTTGGCACATCAGCACCACATTATCATAAGTATCCTAATGATTTTATCATGACTTAAGTCTTGCAAGTAATTACTTTATTACGACTTTATTCTCGTGAGTTAATGACTTTAATCTCTAAGTCTTAATTTTTATATTTTCTTTTTATGTCCAATAAGCACTTTGCAACAGGCCACCTATCCTAGCGGACTTTAATTTATCTGTGAACTTTAAACACTAATGGGCAGTCATGTTTTTCAAGAGGATATGCCATGTTAGTAATGAATCACACTCTTCGGCTGTTTAACATTCGATGTGCTCGTCATGTTTGTGTGTGAAAAACAGCTTCAGGGAAATTTAATAAACTCCATGTAAACCGGTTTGAGGCATTTTGAGCTAAGTTAAATAAATTGTGCTCGATCATAACAGTTTTCTGTCCGCCTTTAAATCAGCTTAACCGTCTGAATTTCAGTTTCCATTTTCAATGAAATTAGTCATTTGGAAAACAGCAGCTTCCTTCTATTGGTATTTTTATCTGCGCTTTAGTCCTTGTGGTTCAAATTATCCCTTCAAAAATTCTCAAACAGACAGACTAGAACTAAACTGGTTTCAGTCCACACAGAGGTCTGCTTCTTCCTAAAACCACTGCTCCACATTACATCACCAATAAAAAATAATTGCTGTCGTATGCCACAAACACTCGTGGATGTTTGAGATTTAGGGTCCCATTTGAAGTTTGATAAGTTATGAAAGTCAATCCTAAAACATTGGAAGTCCACGTTATATTATTTAAACAACAGAAAATCCATGTGCAGGGCCTTCAGTAAGTCTGGACAGGCAGGCAGAGAGCACGACTGCTAAAAAATGAGATGTGGAAGTCTGAGTGTCATGTGACGCAGACAGTGGAAATATGGTTAACTTGAATTTTCAGATTTTACCGGTGAACCAATTCATTTAATCATCAGCAGCAACGTTTTTATTCATTTCTTTAATTCCTCTGAGTATACAAGGCTCCAGAGAAACGGCTGGAGTTTGTCTCGACACACACGTCATCAGACCACCAGGGGAAAAAACATGAACTTTAACCAACGAGTAATATCTTGTAGAACTAGAGAAAGAAATTCTGTAAAATATCCAGACATGACACTAAGTATTGATCATGAATCTGACCTTCAACACCAAATATTACAGTTGTAAATATCAGTCCAGTCCAGATCAAATCCCTACAGTCCACAATTCTACAGCAGAGCTTTAGCTTTGGATGTGTGATGATGACTTAAAGTCAAACTTTACAGCCACATTAGAAGTCTGTGCTCGCACTGGCTCAAGAATAAACATCCATAATGAAGGAAAAGTTCAGCCAAATTGTGTGCACTTATCTGAATGTGAACTGGCTGTTTCCCATGAACTGCAGTTTGAGGATTTCTTACTTATTACTGGAAAATCTGGAGCTGTGAACTGCATACTTAGAAAACCCATAAGCCCCAGAGTTTTGCAATGAAACTAATAAAGGTCCTTTTAAGCAATGCGGCCTCCTCTCAGCCGTGAGCCATGTGCCAGGGGAGTATTCCTGCTGAGGTTTGAGCTGCTTCCAAATAACCTAAACAACTGGATCAAATGTGTGAAATCCTGCTCTTTTTTTGCTCCTGATCATGCAAAGAGTTATCTGCAAACTGGATTCTTAATGCTTTTCAGGGAGTATAGTAAGTCTAAGGGATTCTGTGTATTTGAAACTCAATCCCTCCAGCAACAGCGGGGGCAGGGCTGACAGTCAAAGGCATCTACATAGCTGAGAGTTTTCATGTCAACTCAACAGAGGTACTCTGGGATTCCAAGCATATTCCCTGTGAGGAAGTCTGCATCACAGTATGGATGCAGTGATTGAGAAATAACCACATCGGGACAGTCGTCACAGCCATCAGCGACTCTCTCGCTTCTTGACTTGCTCTGTTTCATCAACTGCTTTTCCTGTCACACAATTCCTTGGAAAACTTTTAAGGGAAATGTCATTTTTATTTGACATTCTCGACACTGAGAGGCGCACAGAGGCCAGACAACCTTATCAAAGACTGTCAGGGAGGCGGCTTATCACTGTGAAAGGTGGAAGTCACAAGTCAAAAATCTGACACAAAGCTTTAACTTGTCTGATAACCATCATAACATCGAACATGGCTCAGGTGTTTAATTCGAGCGGGGCCCTGTCCTCAACACAAAGAAACATAATCACTTCATTTATCTCCGCAATCTGGAAAGAAATAAGGTGAGGTGCCACAGTGAGACGGTCACAAGGAATGTCATCTTTGGCATCATCACTTTTAGTTTCCCCTCAAACACAAACTTTTATCTTTTTTTAATTTTGCTCTTTTTTTTCATATCTCATGTACATATTTTTGGTGCTTCATAAAGCACTTGGTACCTGAGGTTTTAAAATGTGGTTGTTATAAAAAAAAAGGCTTTTTTGCGTTTTCTGATCTTTGTTCAACAGCTTCTTATTAACTTTTGAGCGACAATATTTACAGGTTCACTCAGAGCCAAAAAAGAGAGAAACCGTAGGTACCCTCGTTATTTTTAAAAAAGGCACAAAAAAGCCAAGGCTGGCTGACAGCGGATCTGTATGAATGCTGAAGTTCATAAGGCTGGGGCACATCATTAAAAGTATGTGATAGAGGTGCGAGTTTTTCACTGAGGTGTAAAAGTGGTGTTAAGTTTCACATTCTTTGAGTGGAAAAGTTAGAAAGAAAAAAGTTAGAGGTCACAGTAAGTCAAGAAAACAAGGCCCTTTCCTGAGACAAACACAGCCATGGTTTAACCTTACCATGTGGGTGAAACTGTAGACCTTCCTATTAACACACAAGTTATGAGTCTGACTCACAGACCCTCGAAAAACAAGAAATGTGTCAGTCAATACAGGATAATGGTCACCATAACAGAAGATTAAGGAAAGATCTACTAATTGGATAAATATGCAGGTATTCCAGGAATCCTCTCAGCTACTGTACAGCTCTGCAGTGAAACACACAGCATAATGATATGCGTGTGAGGGGCTTTTCCACACTACAAGTTGCCTCTGTGAGCTGCTGATCCCAGGAAAATTCAAGCAAACATGTTAACTGACCAGTGACGACAGCGAGTGACTCACTGACAGCGACGAGCCGTGTAGAGCAGCAGCTGATACAGAGTTTACACCTCCGTGCTGCTTAAATCCACATTACGTGCTGTAAAAGTAAATTACAAAACAGGATGTCTCAAATCTGCCCCTTTGGGTGGAGAAATTACACCTCAGCACGAGGGGTATAAATACCATCTGTGGACCAGAAAACGCCCTCCAAGATCCCTCAGCTTTGGGCATTAGAGTGGATTTCCATTTCCCGACAGTCAATCGTACACATATACAGGACACTCTGAGTGCAGGAAAAAGGGTTTGAACGTGTTATTTTGGTGTTTTAGTGACTCAGTGAAGTGACATTTCACTCTAAGAGCATGTAGTCCATTTCAGTCGTAGCTTCCTGTAGTGAAAGCAGTGATTTGACCAATAGACTGTTTTTAAAGCTTTCTCTACCCACTGTTACAACCCATTTATCCATTTTGTCATGACTGTCCTTCTAACTACTTGCTGACTTCTTCACTGTTGGAAATGGTAGGACTGAGCACCCTGCAGGAGTGTTCGCATGCTCTCATCTCCAGATTGTCAAAGTGGTCCCAGTCAAGTTAGCAATCAAAATACACAGCGTGTGCTTAGACTTTGAAAATACAACCAGAGTAAGAAATCACAGAGAAATATAAGTGATCAGATTTGCCATTGCCAGAATTTAAACTAAGCTCACAGAGCCCCTGACACAAGAAATACAGTTTCATCAACAGAAACAGAGTACTGCCTTTGAAAGTACAACAGTGTCGCTCTCACTGTCAAATATATCAAAGTACAAAATGACACCATGTAATAATGGCCAGTTGACTGACACTGAAAGTGGTTTTATTACACAGTTGTTATTTCCTAAATTGCCTAAGATGTCTAATTGGCTTTATGATAAGACACATGCAAAGAATCTGTTTGATTCTGTGCCTTTGCTTTTCTATCTTCCTCTCTGCTGGACCGAATAAATGACCTGATTTTACTTGATATGCATTTGCGCTGGCAGCAATGACTGTTGAGCGTGCGAACGCTGCATCCGTGTGTGTGAGTGTGTGTGTGTGTGTGTGTGTGTGCTTATGTGTGTGTAAGCCTTCCGGTGGCACTGCGTGTCTGTAAGCGCCAACAGCGGTTGTGTGACATATTCCATGTGTATCCGCTGATGGGTTTTTTTGTTGTTGTTTTAGTGATTTGTGCAATAACATAGCAGTTTATTTATGGTTTTGATTTTTGTTATTGCTGTGATTCACTGACTTGACCTCACCAATTAGCAGTCCTGCATACATAATTCAACTTTGCATAAAGCATATGTTTAAAGATGGAAAACAGTGAGAGGCATTAGGGCTGGGTGATAAAATGAAAATTTACCGAAAACGAAGTTTGCGACAATAACTGACATAATTTTTCCCATATCGGTATATTCGGTGTCAAAATAATAAATAACTAAAAGTTGGTTTTGGATGCATGTAGGTAGGCTATGGTCTCATGTCCATTTAAGACGCTGTCCTATGTCAGAGACGTGACTCCACCCCATCCAGTCCGCAAAAAAGAGGGAAAGACAGGTGAGGAGATGGAGGACCGTTCAAAAGTTGTAGCAGCTGGAGTAGATGAAGTTAATGTGAGTGGGGGTGAGCAGCTTGTGGAGTAGTTATCGTCCATTTATAGTTATCGAGGTGAACTGCTCAATATATTATGATATCGATTTGACGCCATATTGCCCAGCCCTAAGAGGTATGTCAACTTTAGCTTTTTGTTTTCTTTATTTCTATCTTAGCCAATCCACACTTCAACTGGACCTTTGTTCGGCAATACGTCAACTAACCTCAAAACTGTAAGCTTCAGGGTGTCAGGGAACACCAGATAAAACTGGACTCAGCAAGTTAGTGGCACGCTGCAAACATAACAAGGCTTTCTTTGGAGATTTATTGTTATAACCCCTGAGGGATGAATGGAAAGGAACACAAAACAAAGTTGTTGAGTAGAATATGATTACGTCATGCTGGCCAATGATGACGGGAATCCTCTTACCTGGCAACTAGATCGCTACAGCAACTTAAGAAAGTCGTGATTACAGAATGACGCTGTACCTTTGCTGAGGAGGCAGTTTGTCCTCTTGGATCTCAGATCAGACAAACAAACTTGTCACTCATGAGAAGAAAAAACTGGATTATTATTGAAGTTGAACAAAAGAATAGACAAACTGAGATGGTGAGCATAACTTCAATGATGTTTTTGCATACTGGGTCAAATGAGTCTAACGTTTGGTTATTTTACAGCCAGAGGCACGAAACCCAACATGTTGTGCTGACTACTAAAAAACAAAGTAAAACTTCAGGAGATGCTTTAATTGATCAGCAGAGGCCAATTATCAATCAAGCCACCCCCTTGGCTTCATTTTAAATATTTATTTTTTCTGTTTGATAGGAGTCCTGAAGGAGAAAACAGTCTGAAGCGGCCCCGACATAAAAGCCTTTTGCGGTCCTTGTGGGGAAAGATGGACAGCAGCTGCGAATGAACAGTTTGTATTGAATCCTAAATTTAATTAAGTTGGAGGAAATTATTAAACATTGTGTTGCTCCTATCTCAGAAGAGCTGTTTCAAGATGTAAAAATAGTTTCAATAAATAAGATGTTCACACAAAGGTAATTACGACTGCTGATAAGGAGTGCTGTCTGTCAGTGCCTCAGTCAATATGATTATTTCACTGGACTTTCATTTCATTCATTTAGGATGAATAAGAAATTATGAAGTAGCTTCAAGCAAAGATGCACACAGAGTATCTCTAAAAATAACATAAATATGTCTTATCAGAGGCTCTGCTCTCTGTCAAACAGGAGTTCTTAGTTAGATGTCAAGGATTTACCTAGTCCGATTTTAGTCTTAACTGGAGACTTAGTAAGTTTGCCATCATACCAATGAACTCAAGGATAGTTTAGTGTTTTTACTCAAAAGTACAAATAAAGAGGGGTGGGAGAAAAAATCGATACAGCACAGTATCGTGATATTTTGTCTGGTGATATGATATATCGTATCGTCTCATTTACCAAGTATTGTTTTTTCAAATTAATTGCTAATATGAAGTCAAATCTGTGATAATGGAAAAACAAAATCAACTGTTTGTCCAGTGAAGTTGGCAGAGGTGACGCCATAGAGCAGGAGAAAGTTAGTGCAACAAATACATATACATATATATATATATATATTAGATATATATGTAAGGTTAGCAAGATGTGCGACATGAAAATAAAATACAGCGTAAATAAGACAAAATAAAGGAAAGCCAAATGCTAAATTAGCTGGACAGATGGACAGATGGCGTGTTTCCCCCTCGACCTGGTCTGTCAGTTGACGTCAGCTTTCTTTCACATTTCACAAACCAACAATTAACCAGCTCCTCAAGGGTTTTGCCTTTTTTTGCTGGATTCATATGACCTGAAATGCCTGATTTAGCAGCCTCATGCATGTGAGGCATGTTTTAGTACATGGACCTGTTGACCTGCTGAAGCTGAACTAACTGAACTGAGTTTTTGGAATAAACAGTATAAGCAATAAAGGCTTTCTTACAGCGTTTTAAAGTTTTTTTGAAAGAAGTGAGACAATCTCGAGCAATTTGAGTGCTGTTACATAAAGGAAATAAATGAAAATGGGTTACAAAATGTGCAGTATCTACACCCCCCCCCCAAAAAAAAAAAACTATCCTGGTCACTTTTGACTGAAAATCAGCCGGCTGCTACTTAATCATTGGTGACGCACCCTCCTACTGCTCCTGCTCTCACACTTAGAAGGTCAGAATACAAAGTCTGACCCTGCATCGTTCACCCACACATTCACAGACGAGAGAGAAAAACAACACAAACTGATCCTTGGATTTATGAAGTGAATGCACTCCACGCAGCAGACTGAAAGTCCCTATAGTGTGAGCAAAAACACAGTAAGAGAGTGTTTCCTTGTTAATGAAAGGGAGAAGAAATGACAGTCAAGCCCTGCTGAGGGAGAACTAAGATGAGCAGATTGATCCTGGCAGGCCTTTGTTGTCCCTCTTGTTTCTTAATAGGGCCTGATAAGAGGGACTCCGGATCAAAGCCACATCCAGACTGTCTGAACTCACACACCAAATGCAGCATGAAAAAGTGGTTACGTGTGCTTTGTATCACTCAGCTTGTCCTTCAAGGTGGGCTTTGTATCGATCTACTTTAAATAAAAACTTGACAGTGATTTAAAAACCTTTCAAGCTTTTTCTTTTACCAGCTCTGGCTGAACACAGGCTTCTTTGTCAACAAAAATCTCATTTAGACAAACAGCTCAGGTCAGAGGTGACATTATTAAAAAAGAAAGAGACTGTTTTGAAAGAGGTCCTATTTTCATGCTACCTGTAATTTACTTGAGGAGGTGTTATCTGGTAATCACATGGAAATGAATCAGTGAATGAAAGACACTTTAACTGAGACTGGATTATGAGCCATTTCTTTGTTAGGATGATGATGAAATAAGTTATTAGTGCACAAGTATCCTAATAATAAGATATGTTTTTCTCTTGCAGACAGTGTGTCAGACACTAGAGATAATCAGACTACAGGAAGAGAGCCATAAGTAATTGATCTTATATGAAAGAAACTATAAATAAAAGAAAGACAAAGGTAGAAAAGGTCAGTGATAACACCGGGGGCGTCAAAGGAATACATTGGTAGACTGTGGAAAACACTGACACTCTCAGGGCATGGTTTGTGAAAAATGAGTGATGTATTGATTTCTGTCATACTCACATGGTTCAAACAAGAATAAAGGTGTTATCTTGGACCACTGGTGTAAAGGGGCTAGACTATATCTGCACAGGTGCAATGGGATGGTGCAGATTTCATCTTCCTTAATGCATCTAGGATTAAAAACTTCTTTATACCTGAATCCCACTCAAACTGAAGGGGAGAGTGCTCTACACACATCACACGCCTTTAAAGCCGTAACAAGGGAGAGGCAAGATCTTGAGACCCATCTCTACCATCAAGGTCCATGTGGAAACACAACAATGAACAGACAGATGCTGCATCGTTTTGCGTTGATTGAGTGCACTTCTAGCAACATTTCCACCTTGTTATTGCATTTGAAATGGAACCAAACAAACAGGAATATTACTTCAGAAAGCCAAAAGCCGCAGCTGTCTTTGGCACGTCAACAACCTTCTGCTGGTAATTCCGAGAAGGTCGCAGCAATGACCAATCCCATTGGTGCTTTTTCTGGCAGTAGATCTACGGCCATGCCCAGTTGTTGAGAACATCCAAAGTCACCAAAGCTCTTTTAGGTTGTTTCCAGTCTGACAGGGCTTTACAAAGAGGTGTTTACTTATGAAGCTCAAAGGTGTCCGCGCTCGTCCCAACACAAGACCTACTTTAAAATGTCTAATGTATTTGGCAGTATTATTCATCCAAGGAGACCTTTTATGAAGTATGTTGCATTATTCTTCTATTTTATTTTGATTCTATTTTTATTCATTTAACTGTGCGATCATCTGTTATTTAAAATGTGACAAAAAATGAATGTGAGCTGGCCAACAAGCTTGTAAAATGCTGATGCTTCACATTGGACCAGAACTGACATGCTATCACGTTTTTTTTTTTCTCATAATTATCAAGGCGAAAAACTTAACCATAACTCTATTAAGGAGATATTAAAACTAAAACTTTGAAACTATTTATAAAGATATTCAAAGTTATGTTCAGTCAGCATCACCAGCCCTGAGACAGAATCTTAGATTGACAATGTTTTTGACTGAGTTACATTCAAGTTGCTTTGTTTCTTCTTATGCAAACCATGCTTTTATTTTGAAAAAGAGGAACAAGCTCTTACATACATTTTTTGACTCACAACATTATTGTCAATATCTGTATATTATGACAGGAATTTTGCAAAAGAGACGATTTAAGATCCTAAAAAAGGAAGGAAAAAATTATGTGTTGTGTTTGTTTTCTTTAATGAACCAAAAAATAAATAAACTGAACTGAGACTTTAAAACGGAGGTACATACTGTACTGTTACACCCCAAAGTATGACCTAAATATTCAGGATAAAGTACAAAGAAAGGTAAAAAAAATTGAGTTTTATCATGCCTGTTTTACATTAAATCCTGCAAGTGTCACAAAATTTCATGATTCATTTTTATGTCATATCTTGAAATAAAACAGAAAACTCTAAAAGTCTGTAATTTACACAGCGTGTGTTGATGACAAAAATCCCAGCAGTGTTTCAGCCTTGCATGTAACTCTTGAACTTTTCTAAATTGAGGTAAATCTAAAGCATTTCGCCGCATTGCTTTATAAAACTTGACAACTGAGAATAATACATAACACCATGAGCTTTCACTCTGCTTCACACAGCAGGGTAAACTGCATCGTCTCTTAGTCTCTGCGTGGTGCTCAAGTCTAAGCGCAATCAAAAGAGGCAATCAAACACTATAAAGACTTTATTTGATGTAACTGCTCAGCAACAACCCAATTTGCTAACTGGCTGTAGTTAAGAGGAGGCTCGAGCTTATACACCCTCAGACTCCAACATCGATAGAAAGACATTTTTCAGAACTCCTGCAGTTCAAAGGGCATGCAGAATGAATTTCACCATAAAAAGCCCAAATGTACCAGCAGCTCAGATGAATTAGCGAGAAGTAATCTGCTGCCCCTAATTACTGGAGACAGATTGAGATGAGATTATCCCACGCTCTAATCTATGTTATGAAGTCCTATTTAGGGTAATTTGAAATGAATGAAGCTACTCTAAAAGATTCTTCCAAGAGTCATGCAGTCAGAGCATGACTTAACAGACCTTTTAAATAATAAAGTGTTCTCTATTACAGACATTTGTTTGTGTGCCCTTTTTTCCTTTCACGTTCATTTAGATTGATTTGTAGCAGTCTTGACCCTGCAGTTTCAGATTGGTTGATAATGCCTTTGTATTTTAGCAAAACAAATGTGAAATTCCACTTTAAATTTGAGGAATGAAGAAGCCACGTGTTCTCTGCAAAATATTCAAAGATTAAGCCAAAAGCAAAGTCCTTTCTTTAATATTCATACATTTGTCTTGTGCACGATTAAACATGACAGTCTTTCCTTCAGATCTGCTAAAGCACTTGTCCAAATCGGAAAGGTACGTGTTACAGTCCTTTCCCTTGATGATAAGGACACATGCAAGTCATCAGGGAGGAAAACACAGTCATGAGGTAGAAATTAAACACTCACTGAGCTCCCTGCGACACAGCTTCCGCTTCATAAATGTAATAAGTGAGTAAGTGAGGCAGCCAGTCACAGTGAACCCAGATCTGTGACGCTGCCCTTTGTCTGTGAGCTGTCACTCCTGCATGCCTGCTGAGGTATAAAACTCAATGCGGACAGATTCCCTGCCTGTTCCTTTATCAGCCAATTTCCCAGAGATGGTCATATGAGTCACTAACTCTTCCACTTACTCTCATGCTGAGCCTACAGAAAGTGGCACAGTCCTTTAATTTGAAACTGAGCGTCCCCATTTAAAAATGTACTTTTCTTTCTTTAAACACAGACGCAGAGTTTCCACGGTTAATTTTAGCTTTCGGTGAAATCTTTGTCCCCTTTGGTCACAGTTTGGGAAAAAGAAATTGCCTTTTTGTGGAGAGAAAGACTAAGCAAACAGCGAAGTTAAAAAAGCGGGTAAACATCCTTCACAGACAGAGCTTTTTAACGGCTGAATGTTGAATCAGCTATAAATACACAGCTATGTTATAATTGTTTTCCTCTGCCATCTAAACCAATGAGCCTCGAGGTCCACTGCGGTGCAGCGATGGACCACATCAGTGGGAAAATGCACCATACCTCAGAGCCTGGGCGAACTGCCTGTTGAATGCACAACAGCCTCAGCCAAAACACACACAACCAACTTGGTACTCTGCTGTGCCTGCACAACTGTTCATGTGTGTACGTGTGTGTGTGTGTGTGTGTGTGTGCGTGTGTGTGTGCAGCAACAGGCCTTCTGAATACAGCTACGACATATTTTAGAGCGCAGCTACAAATCACAATGAATGCCTTACAGAAATGAATCATTTTAACCTTCAGAGTATTGAATTTTCAGGTGCTTCCCCTGGAGTAATGAATGCGATATTGACCCTCATTCAAGCTGCAGTTAGTAGTACACACAATACTACTCAGTCTATTTATCACCAGAGCTGGGTTACAAGGCTGTGCTCAACACTAACACTGTGATATGACGCACAGAATAAGAGACAGACAATCATAGAGAGTCAGAATAGCTATGTATGCTAACACAAAACTGTTTCCATCAATCAAATCTCATTCATGAATTTTAACATGCAGCACAGATTCTGTTCTGTAAAATCTATTCTACCTGTTTTATATTGCTGCTGTTTTAGTATGTAAAGCTCTCTCTCACATAAAGTCATCATCAGGAGTAACATTAAATCTTATCTTGGAGTCCACGTGGATTAGTTTATCAGTTATCATGAGCAAACTCTGCATCAATCATGATTTGCAAGATATATTATGTGTGGTTTCTGCAAAACTGTAAAGGGTGACACTGATTCTTGCAGGTCAACATGCATTTGTGACATTTTACATAGTCTGTTGCAATGACAGCTGCTCATCTCTCTGCCCTCTGACATTCTGCACACAGAAGCAACACCGAGGTAGTAGTTTACTTATTGCACAAGTTGCATGAGTGTACAAACAAAAAAAAGAAATGTCTTACCAGACACAAAGTGCTGAGTAGTGAGATGAGCAGAAAGTCCAGTTTGTGCATCAGCAGAGCGGGTCCCATCCCGTACCTGAGGCAGCTCCCTCTCTGGCGCTCGAACAGACGCTGATGATGCTCAGATTGAGATGATTTAAGCTACTTAACTCTCTTCAAAGTGGAGCGACTTCTGTTTTTTTCTTACTCCATCTGGCCTGGCGATGTTTACGGCTGCCTGTGAAATCATAACTCGGTAATCGCCTCTCTCTCTCTCTTTCTCTCTCTGTGTCCTCGATTTAATTTCCTATAATCTGACTATATGCTCCGGCTCAGACCGCTCTCTCTTTATTTCTCTGCATCTGTCCCCTTTTTTTTCCTCTTCTTCTGAAATTACATCCACATGTCAGAACTATTTATGTCGCTCTCGCTCTGCGGTGGGAAGTTCAAATGATTCTTTGTAGGGGGAAGAAACCAACACTGTATTTTTAGGTCTTTTAAATTTCCCCTCAGACTAACTTAAACACTTCAGTATGGAGCTCAGCGCCTTATGGTTTATTCCAGTCTCCTTTTCCAAATGTTAGATCAGTGTTGGACTAAAGAAAATAAGCCCGAAATGTGTCACTCCATCACTAAGTCGCTGTTGAGTTTCCCCGTTTGATTCACTGTGACTCATGTCACCATAAACGCAGCATCTACCAGCATGCAGCGAGCAAAAACAGGCTTTAAATGCAGCATTTAAACGCAAAAACAGCATGAAATCACTCACTTCTTATTCATTTATCTGTTTGGTAAACCTAAACTTACTAACACACACTCTCCACTGTCACAAGTCAATGTAAAAACACAACTTTGAGATGTGTAATGTGTGTTTTTCTCGCAGTAAAGTCGCGCTCTGCTTCAACTCAAACTAGCGTGGCAGCTGATCAGCAACTGAATGTATGAAACTCCCAAACGGAGCCAAAAAAGGGTCCGACAAAAAAGGGGACAGAAACGCCAACTTAACTTCAAAAAATCTCTACTTACTACCAAGAGAAAAGCCAAAATTTCACCCTGACGACTCTCACTCCGCACACGCCTGAGTGTTGCAGTAAAAAGTCGAACTTAGTCGTGTAGTGAAGCGGCTCCAGATGTGGCAGGCGGCAGGTCGTGTTCACTAGTGAGTATGTGGATGGAAAAGGGGGGGCGGAGAGGAGGCAGGTAGGGTGGAGCGTAACGGCCTCTGATTGGTGCGCACTCTCTTACGTGGGAATAAACCACGACTCCGAAATGACATATTTTCTCACCCCTCAAACAAACTCTACATTCAACAGATCGGAGGGCCTTTGCCAAACCGCTTTTTCCCCCTGCAGTCTCTCAAAAAGTTGCATCTAGTGGGATTGGATTACCGAGACATAATGCAGGAGATGACCAATATATCAGGCAATTTCTGCTGCTTTGCTGTGAATCCAATCTAGTTTTCTTAACAGTTTTTACCAACATCTTTTCACTCTTGTTTGGATATTAAACATTAGATTGTCATAATAAATAGTTAAAAGAATTTATGAACAGTCTCATGGCAGGGAAGTGCTTTTTCTGTTATCCGAACACTTATTTTCAGACACGTCTGAGCCTTGCCTGGTTTATTTCACTCATGTGTTATGTTGACTTTGGCCTCACTTTGACACTAACTTCCTTATTGTTTGAGGACTCACAGACCCTATTGCAGCATAGGTAAAAATAATAATGATAATAGCTGCATTAGGAACCCAATTTACATCACTCTTTGTTATCTTTTCTTATTTGATCCACCATGGTAGAAAATAATGATTACAAGGAAATACACGTTTAATGGCCTGTCCAAGAATATGTACCTGCTTTTAACCTTCATGGTCAAAATTTAAAATATTTCATAATACCCAATGAAGTTTTTAAAGGGACATTCCAGCATAAAAATTAAGTTAGGGTCAAACACGCCGTAACACAGAGTTAGACGCCCCGTTGAGGGACGAACGTTGCCGACCGCTTGCTTCTCTAGTTATACAAACTTTAGCAATGACCCCACAGCAATACAGAGAGCCACAAGCTCAACCAAAATGCCACCATATAGCCACAAATAATGCTCAAAACAGCACCCAACTTAGTCAACAGTACATATAGGGTCCTAGTCACAGCACTAGCCACCAAACATCTTTTTAGCTTTGCCTGATTTCTTTAGAAAAGAGACTAAGCACAATTCACCCACTCTCTTCCAGCAGCCGCTTGTTCTGCCGAGTCCATCGATTGCTGTGGGGTGACGCAGCTCGAGGAAGAACATTTATGATCATTTCCTCATGGAAATGCAATCAGATCGACACGCTAAGGCAGACGAACTACCGTGTCTGCAGTGCGAAATGACTAGTATGGTGATTATTACTTCAAGGAAATGATACAGTAATGATCATAAATGTTCTTCCTTGAGCTGTGTCACCCCGCAGCAGTCGATGGACTGACCAAGGTCTCGCTACAAATAAGCAGCTGCTGGAAGAGAGTGGGTGAGTTATGTTTAGTCTCTTTGCTAAAGAAATTAGGCAAAGTTAAAAAGATGTTTGATGGCTAGTACTGTGGCTGGGACCCTATATGTTGTATTGATGAAGTTAGGTGCTACTCTGAGCATTATTTGTGGCTATAGAGTGGCGTTTTGGTTGAGCCCATGGCTCTCTGTATTGCTGTGCAGTCGTTACTAAAGTTGGTATAACTAGAGAAGCAAGCGGTGTAATTTAATGCCGGAATATCCCTTTAAGTATGCCCTATAAACAGATTCTGCATTCTGACGCATTTACATGCAGCTGAGTTCCTCCACACCTACTTCTTTTAACCATGTCTCTAAAGATGACTCTTTGTGCTCAGGAGGGAACAGCTCCGAGCTAAAATGATTGTACCTGGTATCATTTGACTGAACCTTTCACTCCACTGCATATAAATGTATAATCTGTTGGCAAGTGAGACTTTGTTGGCTTCCAAGTGTTCCTGTTTGTAGCACAAGTAGCATCGCCCACTCCAAACACGCACTAGTTGTTCACAAAAGAAAACTGTCTGAGGAGACTGTTGGCGTTCATCCGCTCATAAATTAGCTCAAATCTATTTCTGTGATAATATAGGCACAACTAATCTGCTCTGTAGATGCCATGTCAACTGCAAACTGCAAGTGTAAACAGTGGGCTTCTGCATTTTGTTGAAATAATAAATAAGGTTATGCTTTTTTTGCACCTTTGTTTATTCTCTCCCACTGGTAAGAAGAGTGCAAATGTGGCTTAAAGGAACAAAAAGCTATTAGAGAGGGTAAAGAACGTACAGCTATTTTCTATCCCCCAAAAAGCAGGCACTAGAAAACAGTGGGAAGTTTTTATGTTTCCAGGACATCACCAGCCACATCACAGCTGTTTGTACTTGCCACCTCACCCATGACACCTTTGTGCATCTCATACACAGACTTTATATGGCGGCTTGAAACCACAAGTTTTAAGCAGCAGCCAAAACAAAGTGTTTAAAACGAAGGCTGCATGGAGCTGAAATGAGGATTTTTATATATGCCAGAACCAGATAAACAAATTTTTTGAGCTGCAAATAATGCAAAGTGACTGTAGGTGCCCCAGACTGGTGTCATGAAGGGTGGAAATTAGTATAAAAGGTCTCCATCAAGTTAGCATAACTTGCTGTGTATGTAAGGATTGGGATGGTAAATGTTCTTAAGTCCTGAACCGAGAACCACCCAACAAAACTACTTATAAAATACCATTTAGTCAGAATAGCTACAGCTGCTCTCCCCACTGCTCCCCACTTTGGGTTCAAATCCGACTCAAGCATCAGCTCTGAATACTTCTTCCCTGGTGTGTCCAGTATAAAATGTTCTGTCAACACCAATCACAGACATGGGCTGTGTGAAAAGCTATTTCACAGTTTGAGTTTCTGAGGACCTAACAATAAGGTATGTATTTTTTTCTTATTTCTAAAAAAAAAACCTCTTTTCTAGGTCCGATTCATGAGAAGTTCAAACACTGGGAGGTTTCCAGTGAACATTTCTAAAAGGGTGATAAGGCTTCCATTGTAGAAGAAACTTTCAAAATCGTATGCTTTTACTACCTGCTGCTCTGTGGCCTGAATCAAGAAGTTTATCTATTTTAACTTCATGCCCAACAAGAATGCAGACAAAGCCTTTCGAGGAGATGCAGATTATGATCGCTTATGATTCTGAAGGAAATGTGACAAAATGAGACTGAACTAGCTTTGTACTTCTTTACATTTGACATGATGACATAGCTCAAGGAAGAACACTTATGATCATTACTTTATCATTTCCTTAAAGTAATAATCATCATATTAATCATTTTGCAAGTTTTGTGTGTGGCCCCTGAGACCTCTGTGTATTGCTATCGTGCGGTCATTACTAAAGTTGGTAAAACTAGAGAAGCAAGCAGTCGGCAACATTCATCTCTCGAGGGGGTGTCTAACTCAGTGTTATGGTGCGTTTGACCCTAAATTAATTTTACGCCAGAATATCCCTTTAAGGGGTCAATAGTCTTTACATGCATGTTCTCAGTAGTCAACAAGCATTTAACTGCTGCAAAATGAGTAATATATTCCATCTACTTAACCTTGCAGAGCAGAGCAGTTGTGTAATTCACTCATCGCTTTTCGCTTCTGTTGGTAACATAACAGAAAACAGCAACAGACAAAGACACACTGAGAAAAGCTTTGGTGCATGAGCTTTGACAGTGATGGACTGTGATAGACTGAGACAACATTATCTATAATACAAGGAGAGAATGATGTTTCAGCTTCACAGTCATTCACCACCATATGTTCCTGACACACTCGCAGAGCGCAGATTCTGCACAAAAGTGAGTTCATTTGAGTGCCAGTCTTCCTCGTGTTGTCGACACATGACACTAAATTAAACTTTCATCCCTTTACACTCATTACATGTTCAGCCAACAGTGTGCACATTAAGACATAGAAGGGCCTGCACTTGACATGCAGTTAAATATTAATGATATAGGCCTCTTCTGTCAGCAATCACAGGAAATGCATGTCATTGGAAAACAAGTGTACAACACAATGCTTATTTGTGTGTAGATTTCGACAAATACTTTTGTATTTGTTTATACATGGAAGCTGGTTTTATAATGGGCTATATAAAGACTCTACAGAAACTGACTGAGCGATGCCCCCAAGGTTACATCAATGTATTTTCAAAATTCGCACAACTGCTAGTCTCTTTCTTATTTTCTGTATCTGAAGTTCAAGTTTGTTTCCTTTTCTCTAAATATGCTTCTGTCATTGTTTTCTTCTTTGTTCGCCTGCAGTAGTTGTTCACTCACACTGCTCACAAAGACGGAAGAGAATTGACTAGAAAGACTACAAAGTAAAGGCACAACAAAGTGAACTCAGTTTGACTTCTCCTTGAATCTTCAAACACCAACACAGATTTCATTTAACTGCAAACAGAGCATTGTTATAACAACAAACTGTCCAATTCATGTTTTACATTCATTCATTGAAGGTTAAAACTTCATGAAAACAGCTGCTAAAGTTGACTTTTGCTTCACACAGGAAACATACAGTGCTCAGCATAAATGAGTAAACCCCTTCAGAGTTGTCAGAAAACCTTGAGTTTCCTTTCAGAATCAACTTTTTCTGTCAGACTATACAACAAAATACTCCCCCAAATGTAGGCCATTGATCGCAAACAAGATTTTTTTAGCTGCATACAAAAAAAGTATTTTTTCAATTTGAAATCAGGATGCTAAACTGAGTACACCCCAATCAAAGTTCTGGGAGCAAAGCTAAATTTTAGTTACCATATCACCCTTACGTTCATCTTATGCTAAATAAAATGTTACGTTAAACTCAGCTTTGTCCAAACTTTGGAAATTGTACTTTTGCTCATCTAGATATTAAGTAATACATTACTTTTAATAGGGGGTGTACTGACTTATGCTGGGCACTGTATTATCCACAGGGAAAAACACGTGCTTTTTGGAACATTTACTGGTTTCTGCTGCCCAGGCAGACCCTCTCAGTTATTCTGCTTTGCCAAGACCTTTTGCTCAGAGAGCGTATCATTGCAGCGGGTGGGCAGGAGTTCTTTAAAAGCCAGGTGCCTCTCTCGGCAACATGCAGGTTACTCTGTGTATCTGCATTAAATGCAAAAGGCCTTTAATGGTGCGAAAATGAGAGTATGCTGATCTACAAGAGCTTTCGTTGTTGCTCTGTGGAACCTCATTAAATGAGTGTGGTAGTCTCTGAAGAACTGCAGAGACTAATCTTTGCGCTGATCCTGCGTTCCCTGTTGAAAGACTCTTTCTGCTTCCATAGAGCAGGCAAACATACTTTTTTTTTTACCATGACACACTGCCAGGGAGGATGTAAACAAAGGCTTTTGAGGTCTGCATGCTGAAAATTGCTTTGCAAATCCAACACGATGACAGCTTTTCCAAATAAGTGCAGAAGGACCATCTTCACTGATGGTCTGCGTTGCTTTTGTAGGTCACATAGAAGCATCAGTATTACAGTGAGACTGTTTCGTAATCATTTAAAAACTGGTTATGAAACAAAATTAAACAAAAGCTTCTTACTTAAAGGCAGACTCTAAATAAAAAGTAAAGATTCTTTTAAATCGAGGTTACATCATGACTTTTACCAAATCTATCAAGATTTACGAAGATTAATTCTCACTCTGTTTTGGATGGCTGAAGCTGTAAATGTGGAGAGAAGAGAGGATGCTGTGTAGATTATGTGTATGGATGCATGCTAAGCCATCAGCGTTTCCTTTCATTTTATACATGTGTGCTTAAAATGCAGGAGGGGGAGGCATTCTGCGGAGTCCTGAATCTGGACTTTGATTTAAATGATATATTTGATATCAAATTTGAATTTTAGCTCTAGAAATTTGCAATTTGAAAGACTTTTTTGATTGCAATTTGCACAAGTTATAACTTCTATCAACCTGAAATGTAAAATACTTGATTCTGATTGGTTGAAACCGCATAACAGTGATTTATTCTCAACAGCAAAACTAATGCCAGAGGGAGAACCTGACTACACGCTGGGCCCCAACTATCTCTGACAGAGGAAACAGGAGCAAGATCTTGTTCTTCAATACGAACGTTGGCAGCAGAGCTGGTGAAAGCATCAACCAATCTGTTTGACTAAAGACAATAATAACTTTGCCTATACGGCGCTCTTAAAACTGATGTTTACAAATAGTACACAGAGAGCAAAGGTAAGAACTTGGGAAAATAAAGACCAAACATGCAATAATCAGGCCAAAGAGAGTCAAGAAATTTCGAGAAAAAGGGCAATGCAAAAGGTCAACAGGTATAAGTGCAAATAAAAGTAATAAAAGGCAGATCAAGAAGGATGTTAACATAATTAAAAAAACAATTGCAGGTATAAATAAAAGCAATAAAAGGCTGAAATGGGATTATGGGATATAAGTATAGGATATAACATGAGAGGAAGCAGAGGTAAAATGAAAATATAGCAACAGATGAATAAGGAGATAAAGTAATAAGGAAGCATAAGAACAGGACAAAAAGACTGATAGTAATATGACACAGATGAATAGAAAAGAACAGTAAAAAGACTAGGAGAGTGAGGTAAAATCACAGAAAAGCAAGCCTTTAAAAGTGAGATTTTAAGAAGTGTCATCAGAAGTTGAGACACTGATTCAGGCTTATCTTTTCGTTCAGGTTGCTTAAAAGTCGAGTTGCCCTGATAAGAAAACCACAGTCACCTTTGGATTTACACCTCAGCTTTGGGACAATCACAAGAGCCCCATCTGAGGATCCCAGGTCATGTGGTGGCCCAGAAAAGGTCAGCATTTCAGAAATGTATGGTATAGAGCAGAACTTATAATTGGTACAAAGCCTAGCTGTTACATTTTGGACAAGACGGAGGGAAAAGAGTGATGCATGGAGGGAGGAGAGCTGCATGAGTAACTTTCTCCAAAATGACATGTGACAGAATCGTTTTGACTTTGGGTTTGACTCTGAATAAATGAAACAGGACTGTCTCGATGTGATGCATTTTCAAAAGGAGGGAAAGAATCAGTCTTCTTGCTGCAGGTGAAAAACGAGGCTTTTTCCGCTAGTCTTTTATAGCACATAGTGCTTGGATAGTCTGTTAATGTGCTTGAAAAAGCCGTACATTATGAAATTTCTTTTATAAGGCACTCCAGTATTAATATACCTCTTCTTTCCATTTCCTGTTTCCCTTCCCTTTTCCTACATATATTCATCCCTCCAAGGTCACATTATTTCTATATTTCCTTCACCTTCATCAGCCCCAGATTCCCTCACACCATGACTGCATTATTCCTGTGGTGAGAGACACACAACAATATGAGAGCTGCTATAAACAAACAGCATAATATACTTTATTTACTCGTGCAGAAGATTGCACCCTGCTGCTTCACTATGGGAGCTCAACATACTGACGCTACTGAGGATTAATGAAAGAGGGCATGTTCAAGACATGTACAAATACTCTCTGCTCCTTTTCCAATCCGTCAGGGTCTCTATTCCTATACCCCTTTTCAAAAAACAGTTTCTCTTTTTTAAAAGGTTAAATGTGGATCTAAGCTTGTTACTGTATATCTGTGACAGCAGAAACCTTCTGATCCTCAATATCTATCTGGGATGCTTAATATTCACCTCTTGCAGGTTTCACAGATGCTTGGCAAATGTCATCCTCTGCTGGCAACAAAACAGATAAGAGTTCAGCAAAATTACACAAACGTGAAGGGGGTGGGTGAGTGGGTGGGTGGGTGGTAGACTCTATACTTCCTTTCTGATTCCTTTTTAATAGCATTACATGGTTTTCAGATTTTAAAAAAAGCCTCAAATTTTGTATGTTATGGACTGTATATGGTCTGTCTGTCAACTGTATATAGCATGGACAACATGGCTGCACCTCCTGTCAGTACTGCGCAGTAGCATTCAGCAAGAGAGTCACTGTGATGACACTTTGTTTTAACAGCGAACCCCCTTGATGTCCTACGCAATCCTCTTACAACTCCCAATAACTTTAAAAAATTGAGCTGCGCAGAAAAATGAGGACTTGAGCGTAAACCAGTCTAACAATAACTACATGTCAACATCACAACCAGGGAGAGAAAAATGTATATTCTGTGTAATTTATTTTTAAAGTTTGTCCACAGCCTCGTTAATTTTGCTGGAGGAGGCGGGGTTTATGACCTATACTGTAACCAGTCACCAGGGGGTGCTGTTCTTGCAGAGTCTTTACCCAGCAAGGAGGTAGAAGATGTACATTCTATATACAGTATATATGGTGTCACTTCTCAGATGTAACAGTAAAGAGAGCCTGTAATTCTTATGTCCGAATTTTAGTAAATCACACACATCAACTATAATCTTGCATTTGTCCGAGATTTAAGCAGTTTGCATCTATTTTGAAGGATTTCTAGGAAACTTTGCATACATCTAGTTTGGACACCAAACTTTGCAACTTTGCATTTTTTGTTGTAAATATGGAGAAGCACAATACCCCCACTTTGAGCCTATTTGAAGGTGTTTAAGGGGGCTGTTCATTCTCTAAGCCATTTGCAGAAGCTTTGTATAAAATAAAGGCGTAACTGTCTGAGAAAGAACTCCGCAAGTCCTACACAATAGTAATCCATTTGCAGACACTGATTTTCCTGCATTTATACCAACTGAATGGTACAAATGAGATAACAGCTGCAGTAACTACGCTTGGGAAGACGGTGCAATTTACACGAAGGTTGATGCAAAATTGATAGTCTGCAAAACAACATCCCATATTTCATTTACAGAAAACGAGTTTTTACATTTCATGCTCTTTTTTATCATTGCCCTGAGGTTTGGGTTTGACAGGGGGTGTTGGATTTCGTCTTGAATCCTGGCTTTTCATTGAATTTTATCATCCATCTCAGCTAGTGGGCATTTCCTGCTTATTTATTTTTTCCACACCTTTCACAATCAGATAAACAAGCAAGCAAAGGCACACTGCATTCTTGTTTTTGAGAAATATATGAGATATAAATGTGACTTTTAAATAAAAAAAGAGGGGATATCTGTGTGATGCATCCCCTTAAAGTCGTAAAAAGAGAAGGTTGAGATAGATTTACCACTCATGTATGTTTTTGTGTGAAGATTTGGGGTGACTATACTTTTAGTTTCCAGGAGCATATGGAGTTTGAATGCTGTAAAGACTTCCATATGTACTTTGAGTTTTGTCTTCTATGTGTGAACTTTTATGTTTCCACTCACATTGCACCTTTGGCATAACCTTGAAAAATGCATTTCCCTACTCACGTACTGAGCATGTGAGTGTTTTACATGCATGGGTGAAATATAATGAGAAATTTCCCCTGATAACGCTCAATGCTGGATATCACTTGGGATTCCAATTGCTTCCAATCACTTTTCATTTTTGCTCCATTTTTAATCATTTCCATTTCCTGTAGCTGACAAAACAACACTGACGGTACAAGGAATAGTCTCCCTTTGTCCCAGAACAATCCACAGGAAGCTTTTTCCTCCCAGCCGGATTGGGGTCAGCTTGTCCTCCTCAGAGCCGCTCATGTTGTCTTGACAGCTCACCCACCGGAGTCTCCCAAAGGTGTGGCTCAGAGATTGAGTAAAAGGAACACATGTAGTCAAAGAACTTTCATCCCTGGCATCCTGAACATGGGTTACACAGATATCCTGCTGCATTTATGATTGCAAACTTCATTCCCCGGAGCTGCTGTCTGTTGTGTTTTAAGCAGGCATATGGGCTCTGTAAGATAAGGCAGCATATCGAACCCGTGACTTTAACCGACCTCCAGAGATAATGGAGAAATTCATTTCATATCAACAGTACTCTGATTCATTGTCCTTTGGTCTGCAATCAATACCAAAGCTAGTCATGGTAGTTTTCTGCCCACTGAGGCTTTGAAAGCTTAAAATGTTGCTAACTGCATATGTAAGCATTGAGTCAATAAAATTTATGTTTTCTTTTTTGCAATCAGTCTTATAAAACTCAAAGGATATCCAGAAGTGACTTTACTATCGATGTTTAAAATATTAACCAGAAATTTAATATAAAAGCCAAACTGTGGCTGGACCTCGTGTCCTTGAGCGTGAAGGGGTCAGGTGTAACATAATTTGGCCAGAGGGTGACACCAGCCAACGGCAGTAATCAATTATGATGTGCTGTGCATGAAGTAAATCATGTAATTGTATGATTGTCACTCATGACCTCCTTGCCAATAGGTGGCACTATGAGTGTAACTAAAATGTAGACATATTTTGTCGATCAATAACCCATTGAGCATTTTTTGGTCTAAAAGAGGTCTAATAGATGTCTAAATGTAGCCTAGATGACTCGTCTAAAATCAGGTTACCGCAGGTCTAAAAATGAAAGTTCTTTTAGACTTCTAAATTTAGACCAAGTTTAGACTAGCTGGCTATATCTATACTACATTGTATATTGCCCAACCACTATCATAATTATATCAGTTATGCAACTCACAGTTGCTTTTTGAAATACACAATTATTGAATAATGGGTTAATGTACAACGTCTATATTCCGTCTAAAAATATACAGAATCTAGACGGTTGAAATTAGGTCTAAAAAAACTAGACATCTAATAGCCGTCTATTGCTCAGTGGGAAGGAGCCATTAAGACAATGGATTGTGAAAACTGAGTGAATCAGCCTGGTACAGGCTCTACTTATATCATGTACTGAGGACTGCAACTCCTTACTGGTAAATCTCGGCAAATGAAAAACCATGTGGTCTTTAACCAATCAAAAACAGCACATTACTCAGCAGTTCATCTCTCTTCACTGACTTCCAGTAGCAACCCACATCAAATATATAACACGACTTTTTGCCTACAAAACTACAACAAAATCCGCAGTCCATGCAGTTCTACTCTCTCTCCCTCCAATGAAAGGCGCTCCAATCAAAACAGGGTCTTAAGTCCCTAGCCAGACTCTTCCTCTCCATTGTCCCCCCGGTGGTGGAATAGATCACCAAACTTTTCTCAGGGAAAAAAAACAATGCAGCCTCTATCGGTGCTTCAGGCTCTTAAAACAGGAACCACATGCATAAGTACTGAGTGTGTGGTAATCTTTAACCGTCAATAACGTCCAGCATTGTCAACAGATTCCAAAGAAACCAATATGTTTTGCAATAAGACTGGTGGTAGAAAAAAATGCATCCAACCAGACATAAACAAAGCTGAGGGAGGGTTCAGCTATGCCTCTGTCCAATGGGAAAGTCAAAGAGAGAAAACAGTTAGGACAGTAATGAGAACAATTTACTGTCGTTGGCAGAACAGTCTCAAATTCAAGCCAATTTTGTGGCTCATCTTGTCACATCACACAATCCTATTGTGGGAATCTCAACTATTGTTGTGATCATAAGTTTTTAAAAAAAATGTCTCAGTGATGTCTAATAATTGACTGTTTTGGAGGTAAACATCCACTACATCTACCGCTGCAACCCACAAACCTGTCATAACTCTGATCAAAACTCAGCGGTGAGAGAAACAGTGTGTTTGAGCCAAGTCTAAAGTAATTGTCAAACGTAGCCATACAGCCAGCATCTTGTCCACATGATCCTCACAGTGTGTAGCCTCACCTGTCAGATCATGGTGGGAAGATGAGACTTTGGAGGCAGGACATGACATTAAAAACAAGCTGCCTAATCCTCACTGTAATGTTCACATGATGGTGGATAAACAACAAATAACTTTGCCCTGGAAAAATGTCAACGGTTTGCATTCACACATGCACAAAACTCCAACATTTCTGTTTCCAAGGAGTCCAGCTAATTTTAGAGGTGCAGCAAGTATGATTAATTAAATTGTACCTTTTCTCTCCCTACATGATCAATCAGGCAACCAATTTTGAAGAAGCCCATAAGCTTGACAACAAGTAACAGTGTCCAAATAATGTCAAAGTGTTATAAGGGACTAATGAACCCCAAAGACAGCGACTACAGCACAAATCTGTCTTATAAACAAGTCTCATGTGGACACAGCAGAGTGGGTCATTCCTCTGATCAATAACAAACTGCAGCAGTGGGCCGGTGGAGAACAGCTGTAATGACAGACTTGTTTGAAAGTTTTGCTGCGTCTGCACAGTCACACTGGGATCACAACCCAGTGTGCAACTTCAGGATAAATGAGAGTGCATGTCACAGTAATTCCGTGTTAGCTCTACACCTTCACAGCAAGGGCATTCTGATGAGTGGTGGAGAGAGACACCCCAATCCTCTATGTTGTCAAACTCACTGGATGGATGTCTTCATGAAACTCAATACACTTCATGAAAGCAAAAGAGCTTCCCTGTAGGAGACAGATGAATGCATGCAGATAATCACAGGACACAGGGCAAATAAAATAAGGGTGATGTGTCATCCACTAAATTTAAGAAAATCCTGAAATGTCACTGAATGCTGCGACTCAGCAGGGAGGCAATCACACATCCAAATAACCCCATCATCTCTGTGTGTTACCAAGTTCACTGGAGGAAAACCATCCAAGATGGAAATTGTTGACAGCGAATCTGTTGGGTTCGGGACACAAAAGGTTTACCCTTCGTTGTTTGTGTCAGGTCCAGCTTTTTCTTTCTGTGACCAAAGGAGGGCGCTGTGGTGCTGCTGCTGCTGATGAGGATGTTCGGGGTTTGAAAGCACAGATGTTGAAAACCCATAATTTAGGCCTGCGGACTCACATCCTGCACCTGAATAAATCATATTTTTTTCCAAGTCATCCCTCAGCTTGTACACTTTGATACATGAATCTTTCTTCACTGAACACTCAGGCTGATGTTAGGGATGTTTCAATGAACTGAACTTCCTTTTTTAGCCCTTTTTCTTTCCAGTTTGTTCCTGCTATTGATATGTCTGACCATTTTCAGCTCCTGTCCTCATTACCATCCTCATGTTTTACATTGTCCAGCTCCTCTGACTTTTTTAATGGGAGTTCGAATCTAAAGACTTGTCCATGCATGCACAAATTAAGCGAGAAAAATCAGAAATGTTGTTTATTAGTGCTAAAATGTTTTTACGGAAATCCTGCTGTGAGTCCCAAAAACCAGTGTTTACATTATCTTTGCTAAATGAGGATTTCTGCCAAGCAGCATGGCAACGCAGTGTATGTTGGAGTCCTGCCTGTACAGACTGGCACTGTCACTAATCCTGCACACTGAACTGGATAGCACACGAGGTCCCAGCTGGATGGGTGACAGTATAATTACATGCTTGCGCTTTTCACTGACGGCTCTGAGGATTTGATAGTGAACACGTCACAACATCTACCAGGAATCCAGCTGGTGTATATTAACCCCCTTATTACTATTAGCATTGGCTTGGACACACGCTATATCCTGACTGCTGGTAAATGATCACAGTGGAACAGTGTCACCACAGCTGCACAGAAAGTTAATGCAGAGCTATACGAGAGAGTTTATGCCTGTTTATGCTGTTAAAACATATCAGGATATACTGCAGACAAGGTGGGCAAAGCTAATGCAACAGATTAGCTTTTCTTCGAATGTTATCGGTCTCATGGAGGGTGACAGCGCTCCAGGTATTAGAGTAAGGATGTCCATGCAGAGCAATTTAATGCAAATAAAGAAACAAAATTTTAAGAATATGTGCTACTGCCTAAAAAGAAAAAAGAACTACTACAGACATGCGTAGGCCTGCACTGTTTTGCATTCATAAAACCATGCATGTATAGATCAACATCATCTCCATCTATTTCCCTGTTTTTTTATTGATTTTTTAATTGATTTCTTTTTCTAATTTAAACACACTCGGCAGCCTTTCAAATCTATAAAACAATGGTCACAATGGTTTCTGTCTTTTATGGTATTTTAAACCTCTACAGTACTGAAGAGGAGAAATGGCATACACACCTCAACTTCAACAAAGGGAGGATCGGAAGGACAGGGCTGCAAATTCACAAACAGTGCAAACGAGTGAAAAGTTCAGAAGGCCAAAGTAAATACAGCTGCAGAAAGGACCTGCAAATGAAAAATTGTAATCGTTTCATAAAAAGTGAAAATTTAAAACATGAATACTTGTTAAGATTTTTAACATTTTTAAATCCTTTCATTTCTGTGCATTGCAGTAAAAATGAACCACAAGTTGTTGCAGTGAGTCATGGCCAAATTAGGAAGAAAATAATGATTTCGGATCGTCAATTAGTTGCAGAAAATAGTCTGAAAACGATGATCACAAAGGTCACAGCGAACTTCACATTTTACAGGCTTGTAAAGAAAAAGTTGGCTTTGTCTCCGGTTGCTGCTGAACTGTTATTTTAGAGACACAAAAAGATCATTAAAATAACTGGAGCGTCAAAAAAATAAAGCTTTCAGAGTTTAGTGGTTGTTACACGAACATATTAATCTTTGATCACAAAATTTGCCCTTACCCTATCCTATCCTATTAACTGCCAGTAATATAAGATCGATTGGAATAACTCAGAAAACATTAAGACTGAACTGAATGAATTGACTTTCTTGACATTGCATTGACGTGTTCAGGCAACCAATTTGGTTCAGGTTGTTTCTCCTTTTCATCTCCTCCTAGGACTTCTCTGTATCTTCTCTCATCTCCATGAACAGATTCTGCATATAAATGTGTTTCAATCTACAACAGCCTTACGCAGGAAAACCGAAAATCATCCTCTTTGCAATACAGCAATCTATCTGCAGTAATCTAAAAACTGATTTCCTTCAGTTCCTCTTGCATATGTAGATATATTCACGCAAGAAAAGCATGAATATATCTCCATTCTCCCTTTTTCCAACAAAGGCTGCACGTGAGAAGAAAGTGTCGACCTCAAGTCCTGGGGTCCGTTTCACGTAGGTGGTTCAACAAACTCTGAGTTAAATCCTTAACTCTGAGTTGATCTACTCTGAGTTAGGAAACTCTGAGTTTCCGGTTTCACAACACCTGATTTGAGACGGTTTTAACAACTCCGAGTAGTTTGACCTGTGCTGCGTCCGAACTGCCCGCTCGGATACTACATGCTACTGCTACGTGCTACTGCTAGATCCTACTCCTACATACTAAAAACGTTGGCCCAATTCGGACACACTAGACGAGCGGTGGGGAAAGACGACCCCCGCAGGCAGAGAGTAGGTACTGCGCCCGTGCAGACAGCGGTAACTGAAGCCCCTCATCTGCGGGCCTGGCTGTAGTACTGCAGCTGTGCAGTTTAATGATGGAATAAGTGAGCTTTACCTCCATGATGTCGCCACTTGCTCATAAAATGATTACTTGGGCAAATATGACACCATGACATGACAAAGAGATACAACCGCACATTTTTTAGGACAGTGTGTGAAGTTACATGAAACTTACATCTGTACTGCTGCTGCTGCTCCGACATGGTGCGCGCTGCTGTGGCCAGCCGGCGTTCGCGACACATTTAAATAGGCAGAGCAGCTGGTGGCGCTAGCATCACATGCGCTTCTACAACTTTTAAGAGGACGAAGAAGAAGCCCGCGGTGCATTTTGGGTCAGTAGCATGCCCGTAGGATGCACCGAGACCAACCTACAATGTGGGCGTGTCTAGCATCTGAAGTAGTATCTGAAGTAGCATGCTACTCGCTCCGGTGGCCAATTCGGACATGCTAGATACTACTTCGACTACTACTTCGACTACTACTTGGCAATTCGGACGCAGCTCCGGAGTTAAGCACGTGCACGCCAGACATAAACAGCCAGCATCTGTGGAGCGCAGATTCAATGATCAACCAATGGAAACAGGGAGAAGGAGGGGGCAGCAGCAAGCCAACAGCGAATTACAGCACCTTGCAATACAGCAGCAGCTGCAAAGGAGAGGGAGAGGGCTTGGGAGGAAATCGCTGCTCGCGTCAATGCGTAACTTTAAATCTAGTCTCATGCAATCACAATGACAGACTGTTGCAGGGAAACTGCTTGAATCATTTTGATCATGTTTTACATTGTCAAGTAAGTATTAAGAGGCAGTTTGATCCCTTAGAAAATGCTCTTTTCACACTCAAAAATGAATTTTACTCTCTTATGATGTTCCGTTAAATGATTAGGAATATTAAAGTAACTCTCAGTATGTATATGTACATATATTAAACTAACACACACTACACTCAATATTAGACTTTCACTCAGCAAACAGAAAGAGGGCAGATGCCAGAAAAACGGGTGGTGGCCCAGCAGCCCCACCTTTAACGGAGGCAGAGGAGCTGCCCCCCCCCCCCCCCCCTTCGACGATCGCAACCCCCACCCCGTAGCAGCGATCGTCGGACTGGTGTGCGCGCGTGTGTGTGTGTGTGGGGGGGGGGATTTGCGATCGGACCGGCCGCGATCGTCGAACGGGGTGGGGGTGGGGGGCAGCTCCTCTGCCTCCGTTAAAGGTGGGGCTGCTGGACCACCACCCGTTTTTGTGTTAGTTTAATATTCCTAATCATTTAACGGAACATCATAAGAGAGTAAAATTCAGTTTTGAGTGTGAAAAGAGCATTTTTTAAGAGATCAAACTGCCACTTAATACTTACTTGACAATGTAAAACATGATCAAAATGAGAAAATGCCGATGTCTCACCTGAAACTCTGGGTTTACTGAGTTAAACCTGCTCCCGAGCAGGTTAGGTTCACGGAGTCTGTTACTGTGGTAACTGACCGCGAGGTTGAGTTACCTCTCTTTGTGAAACAGGTTAGAGTTACCCCTCTCTCCCTGGTTTAACTAACCCTCCTTTGTGAAACGGAAAACTCAGGGTTTCCCTGATTTCAGGGTTAACAAACTCAGAGTTTCCACTAAACCTGCTACGTGAAACGGACCCCTGATCACTAACCCCTAACTTCACCAAAAGCACTTAGAAGTTGACTTTTACTCTCTGGAGTAGTATCATTAAGCGATAGCCTATGGTTTTTAGTATTACATTCCCCTTGGACTACATTTCCCTCTTATTCACTTGTCCAGTACTAACAACAGGGGATCATTCATTTTCTCATAAGTAATTCTCGTAGCAGTGACACTATCACAGCCTCTCGAAATATCACACACTGATCACAGCAGCTCCCTACTGGAAGGCCGCCCCGTATGCATTCAAACCTCTGCAGGTGATCCAGAACACAGCAGAACGATCTGTCTTCAACCAACACTTAACTGCACTCTGCTTCTTATAACCCTTGCACTGGCACACAGTCACCACTTAATTCAAAACACTGATGCTGGCTTGGAGAACAGCGATGAATCACCAAACTCCATTCAACCTTCAGAAGAAAAATAAAGACTCAACTTCTTCATGATGAAGACCTCACCACAAGATGTGACTCATGCCATTGATAATATCGAAGCTAATGTTGCTGTGATGGAAGCAACGCTACTGTTAATGCTGAAGTTGTTAAAGACAGTGATGTAAGTGATGCTGTCTATAATGATGTTGATGATGATAATTTGAAGCTGTATGTTGCTGATGTCATAATTATTGATGATGGAGATGATATTGTTGTAGTTAATGATGATGGTGATGCCCTTGTTGAATGTTGGTGTGTCCTTATGATAATATTGTTGCTAACAATGGAGTTAAAACTGTAATTAATATTGATATAATTGTTAATAATTAGGTTGATGTTCATGATGACCTTGCTGCTGATGAAGATAATGTCACTCTATATGTTGTCTTTGTTGATTAAAATGAGGATTATGTTTTTATTGATAATAACGCTGATAATTTTGAGGTTATGATGACATTAAGGTAATGCTGATGAAAGAAATAACTTAACTCATACCAGTGAAAGACACTCATAACTGCTGAAAGACACAATGATGATTTTGTTGTGAATGAGGGTGACGTTGTTGTTGATGATGACATGGGTGATGATGAAGAAGATGATGAGGGTAATGAGGACAAGATGATGAGGGTGATAATGACGAAGATGATGAGGGTGATAAAGGTGATGATGATGAGGGTGATGAGGATAGAGTTGAAGGTGATGATGATAAAGTTGATGAGGGTGATGAGAATTAAGTTGCAGATGATGATGATGAAGATAATGAAGTTGCTGAAGATAAAGATGAAGATGATAAGGGTGATAAGGACAAAAATGATGAGGGTGATGAGGATAAAGATGATAAGGATGAACAGGATGGAGATGATGAGAGTGATGATGATCAAAGTGTAGATGATGATGTTGGAGAAAAAAATGGGTGACAATGAAGATGATGAGGATGATGAGGACAAGATGAAGAGGGTGAAAAAGGTGATGATGATTAGGGTAAAGTTGATGAAAACAAAAGGGAAGTTGATGAGGAGGATGCTGATGTTGCTGATGTAGTAGCTGATGATAATATTGATGAGGATGTTGATGTTCTTGATAAAGATGCTGTTGATGAAGATTATGTTGCTGATGTTGTTGATGAAGGCCTTGTTGATGCTGTTGTCAAATATGTCAGGAAAGATGATCATGATCATGACATTGTGGATGACACTAAATGTGTTGCTGTGATAACGTTTATGATGATGATGAGAAGTCTGCTTTAGCATACCTAGTGCACTTATCTTTATCACCTCAGCCTGATCAGACTTGAAACTGTTTGTTGACGCTAACTCACATTTCTTCCTTCTTGTCCAGATGTATGCTTGTGCATTGTCTGTTGACCGGACAAATCTTTGGATGAAAACATTATCAAATCATCATTAAATTGTGGTTATTGTAAAATTGTCATATTGACAACTGGAAGACTTAATCACTTATTTTATCATCTGGTTTTTGACTCTTTCAGACTTTGGTTTTCTCGTGATAGGAAACAGCCGTACTATTTTAGTGACATTTGAATTGCACTACTACTTGCTGGGGTTATTATATAACAGCTGTGATTCTATCAAGCATGTTAAAAGCAGTGTAGAGCAGCGGCTGTGCTGAAGGTCGCCTCATAGTTCCAAGTAACAATTGGCATTGTCCACAGATTGGAGCCTTTCCAATGTACATGCCAGCCGAACAACAGAGTCACTCCAAAATAGCAAACTGCAGGTTTGGATGTCTCAAGAGCTTGTCTCTGTGTGGTTGGTCATGTTGTGAATTGTTGCTGCACCCTGTCAATGACAATCACCTGATGGGATCTGAAATGGGGTTGGCAGTGAGCAGCGCAAGGCTGGATCCATTTATACTCAGACTAACATACACAGTTTCCATGTGTGTCTCTGTGTAGATTAGGTCCAGCCAAACACTGACAACTTCAGTCATGTGCTCTCTGAAAATAATGAGGAACAAACCACAGCCATGACTTATTTTTTCTCCAGCATGCTCTAATTTGGGGATTATTTTATGCTCCACTGTCCCGTCTATTCCAGGACAGCCCAGGCCACATGAGTGAGAGCTAGAAAAGCATAGTTAGCTTAATTATTGCTCTTTATCATTTCCCTAATTGTGGTTGAGGGATGAAATTGTCTTGGTATAATGTCATGGTGTCATGTCTTATCAGGCATCAGTGAGCAAAATCAGCCCACAATTATGGATCAGAAGGTTTCTGTCAGTAACAATTACAAAGAATCCATGCTAATTATTTTTCAACATGAGACTGTCTCTAGCAGATCATCATAATACGAGCTACCATCGTGGTATAAAGCCTGTATTATCTGTAATATTGTTCCTAAGAATCTATATTTAATTCTAAAATTAGATCTGTTTATTCATTACATATAGCTTATGTTTGAGCCCTGTGAAACATTGTGTGCATCACTGGATTGTTAAGTTCATTAGTATCGCCTGACATCACAGAGCCGAGGGAATTTCAAGCTTATTCAATATAATTATGTTGACTTAAAGGTCTTTACTTTACCTCCAAACTCATTCATTTCCTCTTGAAAAACTTGGTTGTAAAGGGAGATGAATGGATATGAGAGGAATGTATGTGGTGTGGCAGTGAGAGACCAAACTCATTATGATGCAGGCCATACTTTTGATGCATGTCTTGCTTTGCCAAAACTCACTTGCCACTGTTGACTTGATTGGTTGCCACTTAGTCACATGGCACGGGCGAGAGTCCGGGCTCTGGCAGCTGGCGAGTCACATCTGTCGGCGCTCAGTCCATTCCATTATAGATGATCAATCTCTAAAAGGAAAAACAAAAACTGGGTTAAATAAGGGCAGGGAAAAATGCGTGGAAGAGTTTTGTGTTACTGTTTCGTGACATTCAATGAGAAATAAATATTAAACACATCCTAACACCTGCACCGTTTACTGTACCCATGACCTGTAAAGTCTAGTTGATGTCACCCATTGGTTTCCGAAGAGGTGTTATGAAGTCAAAGATGGCATCCATCACAATGGGAATGCTGACTCAATCTAATTTTCAATAAGTGTAATTTTAAGGCAAGCTGGTAGAGCCCCTAATCATACATGTTAGCCACAATATTAAAATGTGTGGAAATCACCCCTATAGAGTTGTCATGGAGAAACATCTTCTCAAGACAAAACCTTTTCTTGCACCGAGATGTTAAGTGCTGGTAAAAAGGGCAGTTTATTATGGGACTCAATGAGAACTCAAGTCAAGGAATTTGACTTTGATACGCTGCGGCACTGGCTTCATTATTTTAACAGTGGAGGTTGCCACTTCATTGAACCGTGTTAAAACTCCAAATATGAAAGGAAGGAAAAGTACAATAAAAATGTCCTTTAAGTTGATTCAAAACTGACTCATACCAATAAATCATTAGTGTTGCTAGACTGTAGTCAACAAGTTTCTCATTAGTGCTGGACCGTACATAAGCTGCATACCTAAAACAAGGCGATAAAGAACAGCCTATAGTGTCTTGTGAGAATCTGCATAGGTCACGTTTTCTTATGTCACATTTAAGTAGGAGGAGAGACTTGTTAAATCTAATATGGGTAATGGGAAATGAAAGGCTTACTCAATTTTCTAAAGAAAGTGAGGAGATCCAATTCAAGTCCAACGAAACTGGAGAAGAAAAGAGCCGTGAGGATAATCCACAAACCAGGGAGAAGATAAGTCCTGAAGAGAGAGCCAGCATAGGAACACAAGGACCGAATACACATGGGACAATCAAACACAGGTGACGCCAACAAAACACAAGTGAAAACAATCAGGGCAGAGCACACGATCACACAAAGCCAGGAAGTGCAGCAACCCTGGGGGGAAGTATGAATGACAGAATAAAACAGGAATTAAACACTGAAGTCAATTAAACTTAAAACTAGTCAAGAAAATGCACAAAACAGTCAGTGTAGATGGAGTGTGAAAAAGTTACAACTAACAGGCGAGTCAATTTAGCAGGCCTTTGAATTAAAACCTCCCATTGTAAGTGTGATAAGATATCTGCACAAAACAGCTCATGATTATGAAAAGACCACAGAGCATGACTTTGGGAAGCCATAGCTGTCTAAATTAATTTGCATATTAATTGAAAATTTTCTTAAATTACTTCCTCTCAAGCAAACTGATGTATATTTCATAACAGTGGAGAAAAAAAAAAAAAAAAAAAAAAAACATCACTCTTGCTGACACCCTGTTTACGAGCTCCATCCTGATTCTAGTATGAGCGACATCTTCACAGAGTGGCACTTAGTGTCATCTTGGATTACGTCCTTTTTTTCTTTGTTCTCCACACTCAGTTTTCAGAGAGGCTAAGACATTTCGCATTACTCCAAGAATACAGAGATCAGACCGAAACAACACCCTGTGACCCTCCGGTTTGCAGCAGATTTAGGTTTGATGCTCTGCAAATCCTTCTGATTAGACCAGATTCATAGTTAGCAGGAAGGCTTGCCTGAGTTATTATGTTTTGATTAATTATCAAGGATAATTACTGAGGATTAGCAGTTCATCTTGTGTTATTGTGGCCTTGTTTTTTTTTAAACAAATTCACCCCTCACTTGTACAGCAATTATCCTTCTCCTCCTCACTAATAATCTGCACACTTCACTGACCAAGGTCAGCACTGCAGGATTAGGGAGCTAACTCGGGGTCACACTTGTGTTGATGAAAATAGCCTGATTAACAGATGCTTCAGGCTATAATTGGGATTTAGCCAATATCGTTTTGCATCATCCATATTCTGATGACGTCCACACACTCTCTCACACACACACTCAACAGCCTTTGTCTTAAATAGAAGCACAAAAGCATATCCTTTTATAGTCCTCCCACTATTGTTGGCACCGTGGTCTGGCATTGGAAGGGGGGTGGAGATGACACCTGTGGACAGTGGATAAAGGGATGTGACCCCTGATACACCACCTCTACCCGCACTGTGCTGGATCCCTCTGATCCCTCTGGTGTGTCAGGCCTCGCTTTGTAACTTCTTGAAATGGCCCCTAAGAAGAAGGAAGAGCCAAAAGCTGCTGCACCTGCACCTGCACCCAAACCCCCAGAGCCTGAGCGTCCTAAGACCCCGGAGTTTGACCCTACAACAGTAACGGTAAAAAATACTCCAAAAATATGATTAGTCAGCGCAGAGAAACTTAAAAAAAACAGCAAGAAAAGAGATTGATTTCATTTTTTAATATTATTTAAATTGCAGGAATTGTTATTCAGATGGATAGTGGATGGCTATCATTTGCATTATTGTCACTTTTAAGGAGGATTTCTATAAAAACGAACAACAGCGACCAATTGTGTGACTGTTTGTAGAGCATTACAGACCCCGTGTGGCATAACCCTGATAGTGCAGCTAAACCAGGTTAAGTTTTCAAGGGTTGCAGTGCTGTTAATATTGTTATTCTAGCTGTGTATTAAACTTTAAACATGCATTAAGATGTCACTTATCTGAAGGAGCTGTGACTCTATGAAAGTGGGAGCTCCGGCTTTAAAGTAGCTGATAGCAGCAGACATCATGGAAAGATCTTCTGCTGACTCGGCCCCTTCTCATCAGCTGAATGTTTTCCTGCCATGTTACAATGGAGTGCGGTTAAAGCCACAAAATATGATTTTCATTATGTCTGCGAATAGCAGACCACCCGCGCCATTCCTCTGTGGGCAAAAAAGAAAAAAGAGGGGTGGAAAAAGTCGGGAGGAAGAAAAATAGAGATAATTACATCCATCACCATCCATCTTTAGACATGCTTAGATAAGTGTTTGGATAATATTTTTACAAAGCCTCACCGAGGGTCTGGAGACACTCAGACATCAGACCAACAGTGAGGGTAATACCATGGAAAGTAAAAAATATACTTAAGGTCTGAACTGTTAAATTTATCACAAATACAAGAAAAATTATGTTTTTCTTGCCTTATAATAACACGTGGAAAGATTTTGTAATGCATAAAAAGGCAAAAGCTTCAGAGAAACAGAAGTAAGTTTATATTCAACTATTCTCTGGTGCTGAGCCTAGAGTCCTTTAAATCCTAAATCTTTAAAGTTATAGAGCTCTCATGATGAACCTTCAGTGTGCGTCGACACTTTCAAAATGCCATTCACTGTACAGGGGTGTGTCTAAAGACATGGTTAAATGGCAACGGCCCCCTGATGTCTGAATGGCCACCCTCCCAAGTTATGACTGGGCGTTTACCTTGACAAGGGCAGGATTTATTTTAGAGTCAGCTGTTTGTGTTGTACTTTCTTTGAATTCAGTATCGATGATATTCTTTTGATTGTGCTTTAAATAAGAAATAAATTATGGCCTTAGTTAAATATTTTCATTTTAACCTTTTAACCTCTCCTCATTTTGTTAAGATTTGTAAACATGATAATAGAAGCAGTAGAAAGTGAAAACGAGGAGGATTAATGCTGTTAACTTGTGTGTGCCTCCTAACCTCATGTCAGTGCCCTCATTAGGTTACCATAGTGACTCACCTTTTTTAAACAGTAAAAACCATCTGTCACTGAAATCTTAAGAAAAAGAAAAAAAGTCTCTTTTTGAAGCTGTAACTACCTTGCAACAGCAGGTTCAGACATTAAAATAACTACACAGGTACAGCCATTCTTTTTCACTGGTGGTTTTTGTTGCTTATCTACAGGCACAAAGGAAAATTTCATTCTGTTTCAAAACCAAATAAAAGTCTGCGCAGGAACTTTGATATGTAAAAGTTTAGCAAGGTGTCTGAGCATCTTCATGTTTGTTATTTGTCAACCTCTACCTTGACCCCTCGAGATTTTACTCGACACTATGGGGGTGTTTATAGTTTTAAAGATACTTATCCACATATTGCATCTAAAAATAGTCTGAAATGAATCTGACTGCAGCAAGAAAAGAGTCACAATGAAAGAGGAGCATGATAGACCCAAGGTCATTATAAACAATACACAGACAGTGGAACAGCTGAGCGTAACCTGATCAGTGTGTGAGAGACAAATGTAAGTGCAAAGGTTCTGCTCTCAACCCCTGTAAACTCCACTAATTACTAAGTGATCGTCTAATTCTCTTGTTGTCTGTTTTTCAGCTTGAATTCACCCCTGAGCAGATTGAAGGTGAGATCGTTGTTTAAGTTTTCATGTGTGTTGCTATTTTTAGCAGGAATGGATGATTTATGAGATCAGGCACCCCATTAGTGGGTGAGAAACCTTCTGCAACAGCTGATGTACAAAGGTTAAGGGATATGATATCGTAATGGGGTAGACGCATCCAACTAAGTTGATCTCTTTGAAAGGGTCAGAAGGCATCTGTCAATCTGAGTAATGTGGTGGCCTTTGAGGTTTTAACCTTGTGTGGTTCTTTCTTTTATATTTAGCTTTTTTTATCAGTACGAGACCGACACTTCAAAGTTGTTTCTCATGTTTCTGCATTGAGCTGAATATAAATTAAAAGGAATAACCAGTTTGTATTTGCACACAGACTTCAAAGATGCTTTCCAGCTGTTTGACAGGACACCAACTAGCGAGATGAAGATCACCTACGCCCAATGTGGTGATCTGATTAGGGCTTTGGGCCAGAACCCCACCAACATAGAGATCATGCATGTCCTCGGAAGGCCAAAAGCTGAAGGTGGGTTTTCTTGGACGATGAATTACCAGCTGAGCACATCTCATTAATTCATTCTTACAATAAAATTTGTTAGATTTGTCTCACATCTTGCTTATTATCTTCCTCAGAAATGCAAACCAAGATGCTAGACTTTGAACAGTTTCTGCCCATCCATCAACACATCTGCAGGGCCAAGGACCGTGGGACATTTGAGGACTTTGTGGAGGGTCTGAGAGTGTTTGACAAGGAAGGGAACGGCACAGTGATGGGGGCTGAGCTCAGACACGTTCTGGCAACACTGGGTGAGTTGAGCAGTCTCATAAAGCAGATTTTTGATGTCATTTGAGTGAGGATTTAGCTGACTAATCTCCTGATTTCTTCGCTCTGCAGGTGAGAAGATGAGGGAGGATGAGGTGGAGCAGCTCATGCAAAACCAAGAGGATGCAAATGGATGCATTAATTATGAAGCTTTTGTAAAATACATCATGGCTTCTTAAAAAGGGTTCCTCATCAGTATTCTGGTGCTATTTTACCCCTCATGACAAACCCTTCAATCTTCCTCCACCAGAGGCTTAAACCCTTGACCACAGCAGATCTCCAAACGTTTCCATCCTGTATATTTCTCATCTCCATACTTCGTAGAATGACACATCAATATCTCAGTGTTTTCCAACACCACGTTTGTTGATGCTGTGCTCGTATTTGACCCTACCCCTGTTAATATTGTGGATCATAATGAATAAATAAATCTATCTGATCATGTTCTCTTTTTCAAATCAGTGCTCTTTATGTGCTTTTTGTTTGTTTGTTTGCCTTGCTTCAAACTGATGATAGATATCAGCAATGACATGAAAATATTAAACCAATCAACTTTTAGAAGTTCAGTAAACTCATATTTTAAAGGTGAACTTACTGTACATATAAACAGTACATACATATACTCTCAGAATAATGATGTGCTGTTGTGATTTTGCCAGTGCCTTGTTAAAAAAACAACCAGGATCAGAAAAAAAGGTTGTTTAAACAACATCCAGCAGACAGCTGAATATTACAAGAGAAAATCCTAGTTTTATTGAGCTTTTTTTAAACTTTTCTCATCAGAAAATTAAAATTAAAAGCACCTGTCAAAGCAGGTGTTGCCATGCTAACCAGCAGTGTAGTGGTTAAGGCTGCTTCCTCGCCATGAAAGGACTCTTCCAAGATGGAGGCACTCCATCTATTGCTTTTTTCCAAGTGGTCTAAGCTGTTGTTTAAGCTCGCAGTTTCAGTCCAAAAGTGGGTGAAACAAGGACTTACAAAAGCAAGCACTGCTGGGCAAACTTGTAGTTTAATGGTGAAGGCTGCTGCCCCTCTACGAAAGGATTCTGGGCCCTGACCAAGGACAGAGGTGCTGCATTGAGAACTTACTGTTCTCTCATGACATTTTAAGCTGTGATTATTGAAAGAAGAAATTTAAAAGACCTAAAAAAAGACAAACAGGATCAGGCCTATCTGTGTCATAGTGCAGAGGGCCTTGCCTTTCAATCAAAGATCCTGGGTTCAAATGTAAGGCTACAGATGAAGGAGGTGCAGGGGAGAAAGTAGGAAGAAGAGGGAGGACAGAAAAACAGGAATAAGAAGATAAAATGGAAAAAAATCAACAGGTAGGAAACCAAACAGGTAAAAGAAAGAAACTTATAATTTTTAATTAATATTCAGGGTAAAGGCTACATCAGACTGGCCCCAGAACACAGGCTGCCCCACTTAAGTTAGCAGGGGCCCCAGCAGAGGGCGCTCATGTTAGCCACAAAACACCAGTTCCAGTGGAAAGCTCACAAGACTACATTACAAATCGTATTTACACAGTGAAACAGTGAAAAACAAGGAAAGATTATGGCAAGTGGAATTATTAACACATAGTCCCTGGATGGTCAGTCTCACTTTTACCAGCTATGCTACAAATCTAAGCATGTCTGCTTAACTCTCAATGATGTTTATGTTACACTGCCACCTAGTGTCCATAAGTGGTGGTGGCATAAAAGACTGGCCAGTTTGAAATTTTCAGCTGATGAAAACATCTTTTAAAGCTGACTTTGTTAAGTCTGTTTTTCAGGAGTGTGAGTTAGACAAGTCACCGAAAAATCCCATTGTGTGGCGGAAACTGAGCATCACTTTAATGATAAACTGTAAAATACATTCAGGCTCAGTTGAGTACAAACTAACCTCAAGCACTGAAAATGATTTATCCTCAACATTTTGACTTAATTTGGAAACGCATTACACTAAAACTAAAACTCTTACATAAACATACGACAATCAATGTCATTTTGCACAAAGAAAAGTACAATAGAGTTGTTTTTATGGTTGATGAGTTGGACAAGCAAAAAAAAAAACAATTTAAAAGAAGGGACTTTCTTCATTTATGGATCTTTTAACTGTATTTTGGTCCTGACAGAAGATATTTGCACGAAGTTTGATTTACTAAAAGGTCAAATAGCTCCTTTCTGCAGATTCAAATTCCATATTCCGAGCCTTGAAGTAAAAAATAATGTCAGGGAATCATTATCTGTGGCACATCTTTAGTAGTAATTTGACCTCTTTGCCAGCAGGGTGAGCAGTTGTCAAAGTAATGTCTGCCAGTCTCATTTCACAGATCCTGTAAACACAGCGGGAGCTTCTATAGGCTTACTTTGCAGATTGCTGTCCAGGTTTTTACATTAAAAGTTCTGTTCATGTCTTGAACATATAAATAGAAGCATAAACATATGTCTAAATCCCCCTGTCACAACCCATTCATCATACAAATGAAGGGTTTCATGTGTGCATATGAATCATTATTCTGGTCATTAGGTTTGCATGTGTATGTATAGATTGCATGTGTATAGGAGTGTATATATACATAGACAGAGTAGGAGTGACGGTAGATACAGACATACATTTATCACTCTCCTACTGTATTTTTCTCTTCTCTTTTGTACTTTTTTGTATTGTTAAAAATTATTCTGTATATTTCTGGGCTGAAGAAAAACGTCTTTTTTGATTCCTGTGCATGTTCGCACATATGGCAGAAAAAGTTTAATCTTAAATCTTCAGTTTTCTGTTAAGTTACACTCCTGCTTGTTTGAGATTTTTTTAAAGCTACAGTGCGTGATTTTGACTCTTTAAAAAGGGAAATATTTACACAAGTCTTCTAAGCTAAATTTATTTTTAAAAAACGTTTTCTGTATCATTTCATAAACTTTTTAACAAGCTGTGGCACTTACAATGACACAAGCTCTACTGGGTTTAAACAGCAATTCATCTCACATCATGTAGCTCAATACAGTTTAAACTAATCTGGAGATAAAGCAACACAAACTCATACATAACCATTGCATTGACTTACCTTTTTAAAGCATATCTCTTCTCTGCTAAGCTGACCTTCATCCCTCTACATTATCTTTATCACTCAGCCCTCCTCTTCCAGCCTTTGTGTCAGGACATATTTAGCCTTTTTATTGTGCAAACCCATTTCTTAAAGGACCTCCAGGATGGCACCAGTTTGTTGTAGGGACAATGAGCCATATGTACACCCGGAGTCATTTAGCGAACCAGCTGTATCATAATGGAATCATTTCCTTAATGTGATTCCAGGTAAATAGAAAGGCTGTACATATTAAAATGCACTCAAATTGTACGCAAACCTCGGCTCCCACAGGCCAAACCGTATGAGAGGGAATATCATGCCTGAATGAACTGCTCTGATTTAAAGCTAGCGCTCTGATTTACCTTGATTAGTCTGGTAAATTAGACAGGTATATACAGTCAAGCTATGCATCTCATTAGCCAAATGTTCAGGCAACAGTATATCAATCTGTTGCCATTCCCCCGACTCTGAGCCTCATTGATGCAGACAATCTGAATTACATTTAATAATGCTTTCCATTACTATATAATCATGTGTGTTCTCATCTATCAGCGGCACCGAATTAGTATGACTGGGGGAGCTGAAATGTTAACAGCAGAAGCTAACTAGTTTGAGCAGTACACAAAACAAGTTCAACTTTAGGACTAAAGTTTTTATATCAGATACAGAACTGAAATGCATGTGACTAAAACTGAGATTCATTTTTATCAACAAGTACAAACAACTCCTGAAAACTAGGAGCTGCCTGCAAGCAAAGGCTCCCAATAGCAGCAGGAAAATTGACAGTCTATTTATAGATAAATAGTAATATAATGCACATGGATACGGTTTTCGTGGGTGAAAACAATAAATAAAAGGGATGATAATGTTGCAATGAAACAGCAACTTGCAACTTCTGCTGGCTAGCAGCTGCCTGCCAGTTGTAAGTAACATTAGCTGAGGCTCAGGCTCATTACAGAAGAACATTACTAGTATTTTCAGCTCAAGAGGCTACTTTACAGTATAATTGAAGTTTCTTCACACAGTGGTTGTCGTCTTCACCGCCTGTTCCAGCATCCTTATTATTGTACACAGCATCAAAGTGTCCCTCAACACATTAGCAACCTTTGCAGGCTGTGAATCATCTACTATCCACAGTCTTGTCACTGAGTAACAGAGTCCATTACCTGCTGATTGGCAAGAACCTCAGTGAACCAATTCAACACTTGTAGTTGCTTCTAGACTGGAATCATAATGAGTAACATAGCTGTGCTACGTACGCTATAAGGCTTACAGTGTTACAAACAAAAACTAGATTTGGCTTTAATTACATAAATTAAGCCATATAAGTGTCTGCCTTTGCTTCCTCTATAATTTTTTCTATTAGAAAATCATCAAAATCCGACAAAAAAGTGACACAAAACAAACATGTTCAATACAAACTTAAGCTGATTGGGAGACCACTCAAGACTACTGTCTTCTTGAGTCTTAGTCAATAAAAATTGGCTTTTGTTTTACTTTAAGTACAAGAGAGTGTGATAAAATGTTTCGACAAAGCTCCTTCAGAGGCACAAAGGATGTGAAAGAGGCTGTTCTCCAGCTGAACGCCTCCAATACAAATAGACCTTCAAGTGTAAGATCAAGAGTGCTCTACAAATAGTCTTTCATATAATCAATCACTCTTTAAATGTAAGATGCATTACTATGTCAATATGAGCTTACTTGTGTTGTTTTTCCATTTCCAGAATGATGGATAGTCCAACAACTCATCATGGCATTATAAATGACAGTGATTACGAAGCAGCACTGTGACTGTGGTGGGAGCCTCGAGCTGTCATGCCAGTCATTTATTCCTGGAGTAATGACTGGTGAAATGCAGCTTATTAGATATTAGAGGAGCTCGGGGCAAACCATTCATGATTAAGTGCAGATGTGCTGCTCGCCTCAAGGCCTTGGTACACGCTAGAGAATCATATCCAGGGTTAGCCTTTCACCATGTTATCAGGCATCAAAAGCATTAATTGTAAAAAGCCTTTATTAGACTGCATCAGAGCCTTGGCTATGTGTTTAGGGCTGCATAACTCATACAGTCCTCAGGCAGCAGTTTCTGCTCCACTTCACTCCAGCTCAGTCTGAAATGAAGACAAACCCTCTCAACATTCATATTACATAACGCTCTCCAAGGGTATCTTCCCTTGCACTGCTGAAAACTATATTTACAAATAAAACAATTACATGCCACAGTGTCGGTGACGCTGAATTAGTTAACTCTATCATGAGAGAAATTATTTGATTAAGTCATAACAACAGAGCTACATTTATCTGATTAAGCGCTCCAAGATAAATAAAATGGATAAACTCAGCAGATCCTATTAGAGGAAGATGCTAATGTCAGACTGCTTGATGTAACTGCTGAGATATTAGGCAGCAGTGATCGATGATTTTTTACACGCTTCCTGAAAGTGAGGCTAAAACATGAGACGACCAGGAGTTAAAATAAGAGTATATTATTTTTTTAATCAAATGAATATTCAACCATTCACATGTGCATGTACAAATGTATATCAATAACACAGTGAAACCTTATTTACAGTGACATTAGCTTCCTTTTCACACAGAGATGGTTTTTTATCATCTGTAAGGCAACATAGGTGGTTTGAGTTGGTCAGATGTTTACGGGTACAGTGAAAATTAACAAATCTGACTTCACACCGCTTTTGATATATTGAACCATGTATAAAATAAAATAAAATACAGCCAGTGTGGGAAATGAATTATATGAGCAGTAAGGACTCTGGATGCTGGTAAACATGATTTGTCTCTTTGGTGAGTTTGGATATTTCTGTATGAAAATAATCCACATCTATCAGATTAGGAGCGAAGTGATACAGCAGCAGAAACTGTGGCGCTGATGACAAACACGTCCATGAAGTATATAAAACACAACAGAGTATTTACAGTAAAATCACTTTGGATGATTCACATTGAAGTAATAGCTTCTGTCAGTCCAAAAGACAAACCAGTCTTCTATGGTGTACAAAAAGAAACAAAAAAACAAAGTTCAACTATGATATGTACATGTAACGACAAAAGAGATCAGATATTTATGCGTTCACATCACAGTATAACAAATTTGGTCACAGCAGTTCTCTATTTCCTTCTAAAATCCAATTTTCACAATAGATCCAGTGGATTTCATTTCTGAGAAATAGAAGTAGAAATATTAACAGGAGAAAAACAAACAGAAGAAATCAATATAAACATTCAAATCATTACAGTTTTTAAAACAAAATTTGACACTTTGGGAAAATGCCCTCTTGATGAAAGTTAGAGGAGAAGATTTGTACTTCGGTCCTAGTTAAAATTCCTGTGAGTTTAGCGCCCCCTCTGGGCAAAGAGGTGTAGGACCTCTCACATGCTGACTGAAACTGTTGTGTTTCAGCGCAAAAAGATTAAATAATGCTGTCTTACTTTGAAAAGTTTTTAAACCTGTTGTTTTAGCATGCTGGTGATTGTCTTGCCTCACGGGAATTACAAATTACAATGTGAAAGTCGTCACTCTTGTTGGTTATGGTCTTATTTACTTGATAGAACATAAAGAGGAGTTACTGTCAATTTCAGTCTCTTTTATAACCAGTGAAAAGCTCCTGACAAGGGCTTCAAAAATTACATTATGATTAACTGTCTGTTAGCTGAGCATAAAGACAAGAAACAGCTAGCACAGATCAGTCTAAATGTGACGATATTAATTTACAAACACCTTTAAAGCTCTGATTTCAATGTGTTACTTGCTCTATGTTCAACATATCAGTTACTACAGAGTGAAACCAGTCTTAATGTTTGTGGTGACTAAGTGTGAGCTGTGTGTCTCCATGTGGCTCCAGGGCAAAGGGAAGACTTCTTTGGTCAGAGCCAAACCCATTTATGTTTCTAGTCTTGGCTAACAAGTGACATGGACATATGGTCAACCTTCTCCTCTAACTCTCAGAAGAAAAGAAAGCAAGAAAATTTCCCCAAATGCCAAACAATTCTCTACAAGCGGACGGATAAAAATCTCCTCTGATGATATGAGACTCAAATTTGGGGCCACAGAAATGAGCATCTGTGAAATCAGGCTTGTCGCAGATTTGGACTCTTCTTTGTCAGCCTATATCGTTATCCTTTTGCTGAAAAGGAAAGCACTTCTGAGTTTAAGATTGCAGATGGATGGCTGTTGTTCCCGGCATTGTGTGAACAGCCTGAGCAGATAAAAGAGATGCCATTGGAGCAAATTGGTCTCCACTCATCAAGCGTCTTTTCCCTTGAACCACCGGCCTCTTTCAGAGACTCATTAAAAAGCAAAAAGCCAAAAACATGTCATTAAATTCCTGCGCCTGTATTGATCATACATAAACATAACATAAATGAATGTGTGTGTGTGTGTGTATCTTCCTTCCTTTAATGTCAGACCTCTTATCCACCTGCCTCAGGGAGCTCAAACACTCCCTTGAAATTTCTCTGAATGTTCACATCCTTCATGACTTCAGAGCAAAACAAACCCGGCAAAAGAAAAGCAGAAAATAATAACCGTGGTAATCTGGACCAGAGAGGAAGCTCTGCTTGTGCACGAGTATTCAAACCATGTTTACAATCGTACATTACGAGACAAAAATTCAACTTTTGTATAAAATACCACAGAGCGAAGAGAGAAATCTCAGACTTATCTGAAGACACGTCAGAAAAGCTCCACTTAAATGGCTTGTTTGTATAAAAAATAATTATTTCACATTGACTAAAATGTGTCACCACATGTTGTTGGATGAGTAACAATTGCAAACTACACATTAAATCAATTTTTATCTCTTTTAGGCAAAGACAGCAGAGTAGTATTTGGATTTGATGTCTTCAGCCTGTCTAGTTTTTGATATTTTATTCAGGTGAGCCTCCATTTTTTCCTTAAAGCCTCTTTCCTTGCTGTCAGAAGCAGCTGTTGAAGCCAAAGATAAGTTAAGAGCATTCAGGGTTCACTACGCACAAATGGCCTTTATTTTTTTTGGCAACATTTTGAGTGCATCGTGGTTGATGCGTCTAATTGCACAGCGAGTATTCCTCATCGCCCACCTGCTATGTAAGAATGGAGCAGATGCTTACAAGTGTGTGTGCTGCTCAAGTATCCTGCAGAAAATCCTATGGGATAATCTCACGCCAAGCAGTAAGATGACAGCGATAACACCACGGTAAGATCAGACGATTAGATTTATTTTGACAGTTTGGTGATGAAGCCATAGTAATGATATTCTTCTCCCTCCCCAGTGAAATCCAAACCTTTTGCACCTCGTGTACCGTATCATTAAGACGATAAAGCCTGCAGGAATCTTTTTATGCAATCATATGTCATGTGCGGTTAAAGGAGTAGTTTAAGACGCTGTTTTTCCACCGAGACATCAGATATGTCCCCTGGTCTTTGCTAACATCTGAAACATTGTGGTCTTGTTCGAGGACTGAGTCTGCTCTGTGTAACACTTCAATATTAGCCAAGAACAGAGTCTGTTCTCATAGATGCTGCAGTGACGATGATGTACTCGCTCCCCTGGTCACACAGCGGTGGTCTGTTTGATGCTGTGGAAGCTGATCCTGGTCGGAGATGTTGGGATGGACATGGCTCGGGCCACTCGCACTCGGAGGGCGTGGTTGTCTTGCCAGCGATGCCACCGTTTCCTCACTGCAGAGCGAACCTAAAATGAGCAGATTCAATGATAAATGTTGGTATAAATACAAAATGTTGAAACACTCTGGTTTCTCATTTTTCAAAGAATTAAAAGTTGGTTTCATCACAAATGCAAAAAGAGAGGATTAAATCTGGAGAAACAAACTGATCCCAGTCTGTTTTTTTCTTTTTAAGTAGTCTAAAATGGTTGGACTTCACACAAATATACTGTAATTATTCAATTTCAGGATTACATAATTACAACCAAGAATAAAGAGCACATAAAGGATGAAAAAAACATCTGATATTGAGGATGAAATTGAAATATTACAAAAATAAAGTTGTAATATTATGAGAATAAAGTCATAAAAGAAAACAGTATGACTAGAGTCGTGATCGTACGAGATTGAAGCTATAAATAAAACTAGACTAGACTCGATTAAAGTCATAAACCTGCTCAAATAAAGTCATAATCTTGTGAGGAAACTGTAATTTTATGAGAAAGGAGTTGTAATTATAAGCGACCTGTACTAAAGTGACGAACATGGGTGATCTTGAGAAGTTATACTCCACAGAGGAGGACAAACAGTGGTTGCAAAAGCATGCAGAGGCTGTCTACAGGTCTGTCCTTCCTCAGAATTCACTTAGTTTCCTGTGCAGTCGATGCAGGATCATAATACTTGTGATTGTGATTGAATAATCAATCATTTATGAAACCTCTCCATGTGCATAACTTCACAAGATGCCAATTTTACTACAGGCAGGTGGCTACTCCTCTGATACCCCACTGTGTTCTCATTATATTACCACCTTTTTACAGTGAATTTATCAGAATTAAGTCGCAGGGAACTGTAATTAAAGTCACACTACGATCATTTATTTTTACTACTTAAAGTGTTCTCAGTGGTCTTTAAACTGTGATTTTGAAGTGTTTGCCCAAAATCGTGTTACCTGTGTCATTTTCAAGCGCTTTTCTTCTGCAGAGCTCCAGTAGATCATTAGCAATTCGCCTCTGAGTCGTGGCCGGAGACAGCGCTGCTCTGCACACTTCTTTTCGCATTAGCTTGTCGCCTAACATTGACGGTGTCGTAGAAGTGGCAGGTAACATAGGAGCTATTCAGCTCTCGGACACTAATGTCTTTAGGGACATGATGAAAGCTAATATCATAATTAGCTTTCTTACGAGCATTGCAATCCGCTAACGCACACGATTGTTCCGCGTGTTCTCGTTCTCCTGGCTTGCATAGCGGGGCTCCGGGGGTGGAGCTTGGATTTGCTACGTAGAAAATCTCACTGTATGTGAGTCTGCCGTTTGGTTCTACCAGAGATTCACAGTGATTTCAATGCAGAAATACTCAGAAATGCTACTTTGCACTTATCATTTCTCATGATACGTTCTGTAGCATCAGAAAAATGTCGTATGAACATGCAGACAACAAAAAAAACCATGATTTTCATCGGATTGGGTCTTTAAAGGCTGATTATACATGTATGAGTATGAATAAAAGAGAAAAGACAGAGACAAAGACCCACATATAACAATGAGGAAGTGATTACTTTGTGAGTATGATCAAGATAAAACCAAGAACAAAGTGACCACAAGAGGTCAAGTGCATAAGACAGGAGGTAAAGTGTGCGAGTGTTTGAACTCTGGGACTGAGTACAATTCTTGTATTTTGAAAGTCAGCTCCAAATAAATATACTTAGTCAGATTTGTCATATTTCATTACTAAACACTTTGTCATTAGCTGGTTGGATCTGCGCTCTCTGAGTGCCCTCTGGTTTGTTTATTTTGGATTGAAAATCAAATTTTGCTTTTGCATTGACACACTAACTACTCCCTGTCTTGCTTTTTTTTGCCTGCAGTTAAAGGACAACCATAACAACCCAAACAGCATTTCACACCCTTTCATTCCACGTTTTTTAAACCAGTGAAGGAAAACAAGATAATTATCTGCAGACATAAGAAAAAAATGAGATGTAAATACTCAAAATGTCCAAAATGTCACACTGTTCAGGGTAAAGCCACGCAATCTTTTATGCCAGTGACAATCTTGAACTAAATAAATTAACTAACTGTACTAAAGTGGTGACTCAAGTCATAGTTTCTCGTCAAATTAAGCACCTCTCCCTCCCTGATGTTTAATTATTTGAGGGCTGTGAGAGAGCAGTCAGAGGGCCCTTCATTTGTCACAATTACTGACAAATGTGTAATCAAAGCACATTAACCTCCTTTTAACAGCTGGAATTCAGGCAATTTACCTTCATTCTACTTAGATGAAAACGACAGAGCTCAGTGAAAAATAAATACTTTGGTCAGAACCAAAAACGCCAGAATTTTGCTCACTAATGGATCAAGAAGTCCCTCAGCGCTTTTTCCTTCATGAGCGCTAACTCATGCAACCCCTGCTTCAACTTGAAAGCGTTTTGTAACTCGGGGGGTGGTAAGAAAGAAAAACTAATCTATGAAATTCATTTGGGGGCTTTGTTAAGATCGTATATCATGAAAAACATGACAAGCTAATGGAATTCAGTGACTCACCTCTCCGTTTAGGAAGCAGTAAAACACTGACACAAAGAACCCCTGCAGAACGAGACACATTCCTGTTAGATCAGACGGTAAAACAGCTTTGAAGTGCGATGGCACTTTAATTAGACATCAGAGAATTCACTTATGCAAGAAAGAAAGAGAAAAAGAAACGGCGTATTACATTATGGGAGTAGATGTTGTCGTGCCTTGTATAACTCTATAATTTCCCTCCACTTTTATGCTTTTAATCAAAAAAGTGGGTGAACAAAATATCATGCCTTTGTGTCCATTAAATGTTTTAAAAAGGGCACAAACGAGAATCTGGAGAGTGATAATGTGTAAACACAGCAGGTGTTATTCAAATCGTCCCCCACAAAAAGGCTCGTCTCATAAAAAGGCCGCCCCAAAAGATTTCTTCAGACTGTGCGATAAAACCGTACAGAGCTCAGTCTAGATCACACTGTTCTCCCTGTACACTATGTTTGTCAGCTAGAGTCACACATCTCCGTTAGTCTTACCTGAAAAGACTGTAAAAAGGAGTTAAAATAGATGAAAACAATTTGCGAGATGTCGTCTTCCCCTGGATTCACGAAGAAGAGCATGTAGGTGATTCCCAGAAGAGGTAAGAGGACCAGTGTTGCTTTAACAGCTTTCCTGTGAAGGCAAGGACAGAATATAAACAGCCTCATTTCAGAAAATTAGTACAGTAAGAGGTTGGATTCAATCCGAGTTGGTTTGGGAAGATGCATGAACCTGCGTCAGTGGTGGGCAGAGAAAAACACAAACAAAAATACTCTGGCTTTACCTCACCAAGTATCAACCCATTAGCAGAGAGATGAAGCCTTGTTTGGAGATAAAAACAGCTTTTTTAACAGAGAATTACAGTCTGATAATGGATTCATAAAAACTTCTGGCTTTTACACGCTAACATGCCACATACTCAATAAATAATTCAATATCAATTATTTCCCAAATACTAATTAAGTCAATTTAATACTTTCACTTTTGGTTTGGAGGTTTTGCTGCTTTGCTCCAAGAGAGTTACTGGTCCAAACTAACACTTGCAGTATGTGAAGTTTTTGGATAGTTATGAAACAGGCTGAGGTTTACATTAAAGCTTTTCCATTACCTACAAAAGCGAATGAGTTTCAGCGAAAGTAAATGGTTTTTAAATGGTTTTTGTTAATGTCTGAAACTGCTGTCGCAGGATAGGATAGGTGTCAGACAAAGTGGTACGCCGCCAGCAGCTGAGACAGCTTTGTGTTTCCCAGACAGAAAATTTGGCCGGATGGTAAATTTGACTGTACTTGCCGAAAACAGAAAGAAAAACAACATTTCTTACACATGTATAGGACAAATCTGACAAATACCCAGACTGCTTAGTACACAGGGGTGTCAAACACACCGCATTGTTTGCACTGAACATACATTTTCAGTAAAAGTAGCATCATTTCCCAGCATTCATAATGTTCTATTTCCAGGTCAATAATTCATGCTCGACACTCCTGCTGTGCCCCCCCACATAAATCTGCATGGCTCATGTCAGCACATCTGTCAAACAACGACTGTAAACCCGGCTCTACCCTGCACAGCCTGAATCACCGTTGTCTGAGCTGACAGAGCAAACGCCCTGAACATTTTGAATAATCCCCAAAGGAGAAGAACACACTTGACAGAGTCGCCTAAAAGGAAAAGGAGCTCTCACAATTGAGTGGACACACATACAACAGAACAACATGGAGCAGGACCGCTCACAGCGAGCCTCTCTCAGCCACACAACAAATCCCCGTGTTTACTCACTCATCAAGTCTTGTCAGACTCATGAGAGGTTCTCCACCTCCTACCATGTCTGACTGGAGGAAATGAAATGGCTTCTTGCATGAAAGTACTGCAACTGCCTCCTGCTTGTTTGAGGTAATTTCTTTGTCTAGACTTCGATTTGTTTTTTTGCAAAAAATAAGAAAAACATCTGGCAATTCTAAAAAGCCATTTAACCATTCCCATGAATTTGAAACACAGTTGGCTTTTGAAGGAGAAATATATTTAGTTTTGTGACTTAAAATTGTGTTTTCCAAGAACACCAGCCTTGATGTCACCCATTAGCTGATGGTCTGCATAGACTGTATAAAAAGATCGGTGACATCTCCTCTTAAGGGAAGATCACAAACATTTGGAGCTTCCTCTACTGACTGGCTGCACCAGCCTCATCTCTTCCATGTTGATAGATCGGACATGGGTCAAGCTTTAATTTTAGAATAAACCATAGAATGTATATACTATGGACAACTTGGCTCCGCCAGTATACGGATTTGAAGCTGAAAAGCTCTCGGTATTTCCATGATTTTTCTCCATTTCCTGAAACCAACATTGCGCAGTAACGTTGTGCGCATTCGTCAGGAGAGTCGCTGTGATGACGCTCGACTCAAACAGCATATCCCCCAGGTAAGCTATGCAATCTTCGTACGCCCATAGGCTGTACTAAGTGTCAATCATAGAAAACATGAACCCCCTGATAACTTTAAAAACGGAGTTTCACAGAAAAAAGAGGACTTGAGCACAAACCAGTCTTACAATAACTACATGTCAACATCACAAGCAGGGAGGAGAAAATTTTATATTCTGTGTAATAAATTTCTAAAGTTTGTCCACAGCTCTATAAGGATTGCTGGAGGAGGCGGGATTTATGACCTAAACTGCAGCCCGTTACCAGAGGGTGCTGTTCTCGGGGTCGCTTCACCCAGCGAGGAAGCAGATGTCGTCCATTCTATATACAGTCTATGGAATAAACACCAAGCATGGTATTTGTCGTTACAGTTAGTTCATTTATCTAGTTTTGGTTGCAGCTATTTGATGCGAGAAAAAGAAGATGTGGCGTCATCACTGACGGCTATGTTAACAAATGCTGTTCTTTACCAGATCAGCACAGCAGAAAAGGACAAGGGAGAAAAAGTTAATCGAAATTAATGCAAACTTTGCACCAACACACAAAAGGATTTTTCACATTGTGGCCTAAACCAACCTAAAGGATCTTTGCTGCTTTTATCATTCAGTAAAATGTGTGATCTGGTTAACTGAAGGGGTATGGAGTCAGAGCCAATCCTGATAATACAGACCCAGACCTTCAACAGAATCACCAGTGGGTGTTTGAGCTTCACTTTTCAATGGAAATCGGTGGAGATGTGTCATCCATCTTTAATAAGGGAATTGTGCTGCGCTCTTGTGGGCCAGGCTGCTTTTTGCAGACAGAGAGAAGTGTCCTTGGATGACATATGGAGATAGACGACGGCTAAAGCCAACCAAGAATTATAGTTTTTCAGTCTGTGCTCAATGTTATTCAAGTAGTTGTAAGAAGTTAAGGTGGATATTGTTGGCAGTAACCTGGACTGGTTTGGCATAAAAAGGCAACAAGGGTAACAGACTTGCTCTTCTTTCCACACTTCACATGCAGAGCAGCAGGTGGCCTAAACAAAATCAACCAACTGAGCTCATCATTGCACTCAGATATTCTGCTCTTTGGTGGAAAGTCAACAGCAATCCTGACTCCTTTGAGCGAAAGCTGCAAAAAACAAACATAAAAAAAGCACAAACTGACAAGAAAGATACTGCTAGCTTAGTCCCTGATTGCACTTAATAACCTTTAGATTGGTCCGTTGAAATAATAACACCCTCTGTGAACCAGAAACCTGATGTCTGATGGGGGATTCAGACTCATCCAAAAGGCAGGACCACCACAAGCACAGTCAATATGTCCAGATCCATGGCAGCTGCCTGCTAAGAGGGTACCAGCCAAACAGCAAGACAAGGCCATGTGCTGCTTGCTCCACCATGTCACTGACTACTAAAAAAGGAAACTTCCATAACAATTAAAAGGTGGATCTTAGGGTATAAGTCACTTTAAAGTGAACGATTTAAGAATTGAAGTTTGTTTGCTTTGGTTCAGTTTGTCAGCACAGATGTTTGGGGCATATTTAAGCACGTACCACATTTAAACAAGGGTTATAGTAGGACACATCGAACAACTCAGACTAAAATATTCAGAAGATCAGGAAAGATGTTTCTCTCCACTTTCTAAATAAATATTTGCTTGCTTGGAAAATGATTTTCTGAGGGTCATAATTGGATTTTACTCCCAAAACGGTGCAATTTCTGGAACCACCTGGTCAGTAACAGATTTCTGCAATCCTTGTAGCTTCAGGCCCAGCTCTGTTTAGTGTTTGGTCAGAATTTTAATGCTAAAGTAATGAAGGGAAAATTAGTCTGCTTTCTTGATCTGCTGTTCAAATGTATCACTTCACAGTCTTTAATAAATGTTGTTTTTAGAGGGGAGCAAACAGGAACAGACAGTGTGCTCAGTATACTCACCTGTACTGTATTGTTTCTGATGTGGTTGAAGCTCTGAGTTTGGTCATAAGAATTCTGACGATGTTGAAGAGAAAAACAAAGTTTATCTGGAGGGGCGAAAAAAAGCAGAGAAATTAATCAGCTTTGAAACCTGTGTTATTAGCTGACAGTGAAATACAGCCAGAATAACTGTCTGCAGCCGGCAGACTCTGCTGGTTAAATACTGAGTAGGAGGAGCAGCAACACAAGTCAAGGCTCCCTCCTCTTCAGCAAGACTGAATAAGTTATAAAAGCACACAAGTCTAAACCAGTCACCACTGCATGCCGGTAACAGCTCGCACATAACCATTAATGAACACATACTATGCATACGATTCCTGTGGTTTTTATGAGTAGAAATACCTTAACCCATTTAGAAGATTAATACCACCGTTACAATAAGCTGGCTGCAGGATGAAAATGGGCTTCATCGAGAATCCATTTCATCTCAAGCCATTTTTTTTCATCTGTTTACACTGACATTCAGGCATTAGGGATGAATCATACACCAGTGCAATGTAGGTTTAGTGTGAAAATAATAATAATAATGCATGTGCAGCATAATGACTTTGCTTCTCACCAGGAGCACAAGAATAACTGGTCCCTGGTATATGTAGTCCATGTATTTCCCAGGTTCTTTACCAAACCAGCATCTGCAGACAGAGGAAAAGAGAGAATCAGAGAGGGAAAAACCTGAAAGGACATACTCAGAAACCTGAATGTGTTTTGTTATACTCACTGTTCATTTTCATAATACAGTTTTCCAATAGCCCAGGCTATTATTATAGGACATGGGATACCTGGAAGAAAAGAATACAAAGATTGCTAAGAAGTACAAAAGAGTCTCAGGAGCAAACAGCTTTTCCAATGTCACTTCACTACTTTTCTTTAAACATCTGACTCATATGAGGTTGTGCAGTTTTATTCAAGGTTTTAGGCTCCAGACTGCAGTGAGTCACACAGTAACTTTTTAGGGTTAAAGCGGCATCACAGTCATAGGATGCATCACTCAGGAGTCAGAGAGGACCAGCAGAGTTATGAGGGATTTGTGTGACTGGAAAACAAAAACAACTGCTGATCTTTTTTAGGACTTTCATTGAGAATTTGAAGATTTAGATACAAAGTGCGAAAAAAAAAAAAAAAAAAATTTTGTGGATGTTGTTTTTTTTTTTTCTTTTTGATTGACTGCAATGCCACTGGGGTGATATTTTGATGAAAAGTCATTCAAATCATCTAAGCGAGCACTCCCTGCACATATTTCAACCCTGATCGGTATCTCTGTGAAATGTGGAGGGCCTGCACTTATAAAAAAAAACAGCCGCGGGCCATGGTTGTCCGTCATGGCTTGGAGGAGTGGACGGCCTTACGCTAAGATCTGGGAATTTGAGAAAATATTAAATGCTTTTGATTTTCCTGGGATAAAATAAAACAATTTGACCTCGGTGTGCAGTTCTCCTCTGTTAAAACCAGACGGACGTAGCTGAGGGAGGCATCTGCGATTCAAAGGTCTTTTTTTACTCTCTATAGGCAAAGGCACCGTCAAATATTTTACAGTTTTTATGCAGAGTTGAACTCTTTTTTTAAAAAGCTTATGCTTCTTTTACAGTCTCTTTGAAGCTGTGCTGCCTACAAGAACTTTTGTAACATGTTGAGAGAAAAGTACTGGGAAGGCCTTTGGAGTATCTCAGTGACACCCCAGAGTATTCAGGAGAGCAGCTTGAGGGGAGACTACTTCCTCGAAACAAGAGGTTCATTCTCTATTTTTATTTGGTCTTTTAGGCTTTTACCTTTATTTATGGGTGTAGACCTTGTTTTAACTGTTAGCTGCCACTTTTAATTTTTTTATGTAGTCATATTGATTTGTTAAACACTTATTTACTTGTTTCTGAACGGTGCAATATAACTTTATTATTATTATTATTTTTTATTATTATCATTTGTCTTACTCTGTGAGTTGCCTAAAAAGCAAATAGAGGATCTCCCAGTTAATCATTAAGTAAATAAACTAGAGCTGACCGCATGGGTTCAGGGTCAAGGTTTGGTTGTGGTTGATCACAGTGGATCAGATTTTGGTAAAGACCAAAGATCAGTAGAGGACCTTTAACTTAACAGAGAGAAGTCTGAACTATTTCAGCCACAGTTTACTCTAGGCCTCCTGGTGAAACACGTATTTAATTTGCCCTACTTCCATCTCCTCCTAATGAATTCTAATTAAAAGTCTCCCAAGACAAATATCAGTGGCACAAGGAAAAGTTCAATCTCTCTCTCTGTTTCTCTCTCACTCTTTGTCTTTTTCCCCACAGGGCTGCAGCTCTGAATCTGAAAAGAGCATCATAACTTTTTCTGATTCTCCCTCATAGTTATATTTAGCTGAATAACACTGTGTGTGGTGCATATACTAAAATTTCAGTCTTATTTTCTATATTCAATGTTTTATTTTTATCATTAGCATTCCCATACATGCTGCCAACCCATTTTCATCTGTTTTGTTTTTCTGTCCTTTCTTGTCCTTCTTTTTGGCAGCTGTAACTTGTGAGTCATTCAATATTTTCCAGGGGTTTCATGTCACAGATATAACAAACAAAACTTGAAAAAGACTTTTCATGTGGCCATAGACAGATTCTTTCTTTTAAAACCAAAAGTAGATAAATCTCTAGAGTTGTTAGTCAGTTTCAAATACCGTCGAGGTCTCTGTCTTGAAAGAAACTGTTGCAGATGTTACAGTCATTATAAGCTTATTAAAGCTAAACTGATATGTGTTATATTTGCATTTGGTTACTTTTGCTTTGAAGCTGATATCAGCCTCCTGACTGTGTGTCAACACCATCATATGTCATCGGCTACTTATCTATTTATTTTTCACTCTTGTGTGCGTAAGGCTCTGCTGCGCGACCTAGATTTACTAAGGTGTGTGTTTATTTCTCTTTCTGCCAGGACACATGATATGACCTACACCAGACCTACTCAGTGTGTCTTTGTGCATTCTCCTGCCTCATGATTACATTTATTTTTTCCTAATAGCTTAAGTCAAGGTGAGCATAAATGATCGATGCAACCACAGGGTTACATGCACATGTTCAAGTTCACTCTACCACTGGAAGCAGAGGTTTAGAGAAATGACATTTTTTCTCTGCCTCTCTGTCCCCCCCATGTAATCAAAGACTTTTCCTCAGGCTGGGCACTGAAGAGTCTCCCTTGGCTTCCCTCGCTAACCAGACTTCATTTAATTCAGGCAAATGCTAACTTGGACTTGGGGAGGTGTGTTATATATCACTGGGGTCTGGCTGCTCCTCAACCCTGGTTTCATCAAAACACCAGCACATTTATACAGATAAATACTTTGCACAGATTATCTTTGATATCTACATGATTAATGGCTAACACACTAACACAAAACCCATAACTTATAAATGGTAAAATGACCATTTATAAATGGTAAGCAGATAGTTTATTAATGTTTAATCATCATTTATAAATAGCATATAGACCATTAATAAATTGTAAATTTTACAATTTTAAAAACCTAAACCTAACTTTACAATAACCATCTAAGTAATGTTTATAGGTGGTTTAAAAACCAAATATTAACCATTTACAAAGTGCTACTGACACACATTTTAATCTTGATGTTTTACAACCAATAGTTAAACCCTATATAAACCTCTGATGAATAGTTCATTAATAAATAATGAAAATTATTAATCATAATTTCATTCTTGTTAATGGTAAAGTAACTATTAACTTACATTAATTTATAATTGGTCTATATGCTATTTTTAAATGATGATTAAACATTAATAAACTATCTATTCACCATTTATTAATTATGGTTATTGGAAAGTGTTATCGATTAATGTTCAAAGTCAACCAGAAATCAACACAAACACATATATTTTCACACAAACAAAAGCATCAAATGATGATATTCAATCACAAATCATCACAAAATGTTCAACTTAAGCAGTGTCAACATTAGTATAACGCTCAGTACTTACACCAGCCGATGAAAAGGAAGACCCACTTCCTGAGTTTATCAGTGGAGTAAGTCATCACAATGGCTGTGTGGAGGTAACACCCCTCAACAAACATCCAGAAGAAGTTTGTCACCACAAAGTAGTTGTATATTGTTGTTATCAATCTGCACCAAGGCTGAAAAAGGCAGAAGGCTCGGGGTTACTTGTAATATGATTAACTTTTTTCACAAAACTTTTTTGGAACGTATTTTATATGCTAAAAAATGAATTTATTGATTATGCAAAGACCAAAAAAAAAAATCGATCAGGTCACCTCGTTGCTCTCGTGGATATTGTGGTCAATAAGCTGAAGCAGAAACCACATCACGTTCCTCAGTATGAAGGTGGTGATCAGATTCCAGTGGATGATGTTTCGAAGACATCGTATGCTCCTGTTTCACAAGTCAAACAACAGACATGTTTCATCGTCATGAATTCAAAGAGACTGCATCATGCTCATAATAAATATTGACTCCTGGTTAAATAGCCATGCTCTTTGTGAGTAAGGTTGGACTGCTGCACTATTTGGCTGAGAAATAGAGACAGTGTTTGCCTTAATTATCCTGCGCATAAGCTTTTGGCAGATTATGACAGTGGAGAGCAGCTCCAGCATTGCATTTAATTAAAAAATTTACAATCTCAATACCTTTTATACAAATGTTATTCATCGACTTGTCTTCTCTCCACTAATGGCTGCACAAATAGCTCTGACTGGATCATCCTGATACAGTAATACACTTAAAAAGTGGGTGTTTTCAGACCTTAAAGAGCAGACTTTTGGAAGTCTAAACAAATCTGACATCAGATAAGATGGGCTTGATATCCATGGAAAGCTCGAGTCAAGCTGAATCTAAAAATTAATAATTTCTACATGATCACTTCTGACTCAGTCATGACTAGCAGAAAAAGAAATATGATTTATTTCGACACATCTTGAGATTTAAGGACTCCCTTGAGGACTCTCATCGTACTGAGGAGAGACACTCAAGATAAATAGTTTTCCTTTTCTCGGGCCTTGTAAAGAAAGGTTGGGATGATGGTCACAGTTTTTTTTTGTCCTGTCCAAATATAACCTCTTTGGGTAAACACTAAAATGTAGATTGTTCCATCAAATCTGCAGAGATTAACCGGCTGAAAATATTGACTTTTTGTTTCTTTTACAGAAACGAATCAATATGTGCCTGTAAAGGCCCACGTCGATCAAACCACTGTGCACAACTCAGCTGAGGCTGTTTAGCCTCTGCTTGGCTCTGTCATGGCTGATGTAGGTGTATGTGTGTGTGTGTGTATGTGTGTGTGTATGTGTATGTGTGTGTTTAAAACAGGGCTTGAAAAGAAGTACAAAGAAAAGAGTGTTATGAAATGCTCAGTATGTCCACAGTGTTCCTCCCGAGCCAGTCTGCAGAGCAACATTCGCCTGACTTAAGCGAGTTAACGAAAGCAGTCAGAGGATATTACATGAATTCTCACTGATTGTCTCCTGTGAGGTCTCACGCATGCAGGACACATTTAGACGGAGACTATTTCTGTACTTGCCTTAAGCACAAGAAGAGAATGAAGGCCACGACTAGAGCTCCAACCGAGATACAATGGCCTAGGTAGTTGATGATGAGAGCGATTTTATAATGCATTGGATATTTTCTCTGCAAAGAAAGCATAAGAATTACTCATCAGTGCAGAAAACAACAAAAAGACACAGAATACATACTGTACGTATTACTACAGCAAAGGGGTATCTCAAAGCTCAGATGGACTGAGGGGACACAAAAAGATGCCAAAACATGAATATCTGAACTGTTCTTGTCAAGTTGTTCACCACTCTGAAATTCTACCAAACCGCCTGTGTGTGACGCAGTCAAAAGATTTTATTTTTTTAATCTAAATACCTCTTTACAAACTAACGTCTAGGAACCACATAAGGAACTAAAATCCTTCTAAAACCTTTTTGGATTACAGGAAAACTTAGATTACAGGAACACCATGTAATACGATACGATGCACAGGTTGCGTATGGTTTCGTCCTGCTATCTTCTCTGTCTTTCAATCAAATTCGCAAAGCCTATTGTGCTGACAATATTCAAGAGCAATCATATCAATAACACTTTGCATCTTCACCAGTTTGCTCCTGTTTTGTTGCGCTAGCCTGGCATAGGCAGACACATCAGCCAGCTCATATTCATTAATGCAGGCATGTGAGTTTGTCTAAATGACTTCTATTTAGTGTCTGTGTGTCTGTTCTCAACAAACCGGATGACGTACTTCATTGAAACAAGAACAAACAACTGCACATACAGGGTTCATTAGAGAGAGAGGTGTGTTCCGTAACTATGCGTGCCACTATGTGTTTACATTTTTGTTGCTATGGGCTATGTCATGTGCTGCGTTTATCTGATTGGTTGTAGGTCTGAACAATTGCTTCTAGGAGCACTTGTGATGCAACCAGTGCGTAACCTTCCCTGAAAAAATAGACAAATTGATTGGAACCCATTCAGAAAGGTGAATGGATCTGGTTATACCAGCATCTGCTCTACCTGCTGCATGGAGCTGCACTGTCAGTCTATTGGAGCTTTACTTTGTCCACCTTTGGACAATAAGCTATGAATGGTGGGGGCATGTTTTTCGGTTTATCATTGAGTTGATTCTTGACTGAGGTGATATCAATTTCTTGATTGAGCCAGGGGAAGCACAAACAAATAATAAAAAGCATACTTATTCCTCTTGTGAGTATATTTACCACAGGACTGGGTGATTATATGATCGTGATAAATTTCAGTTCGATCATGGTGATCAGCTGTGAGCATATTTACTCGATACATGGCAGAAATGTGCGTCACAACAGCCACTCAGAGTTGAGCTTTTCCTGCTCACCTCTGTAAGTTGCCGGAGAAGGAGTAAACAGAAGGAGTAAACAGGATGACTGAACGTGGAGCTAAACGCGGAGCCAAAGGCAGCCAAATAGATATCAGCCGTGACTTTGGTTAACCTTCAAAGATGTTATCGTTGAGAAGTTGTTTCTCGGTTGTGTGGCGGTGGTTCGGGTATCTCCAAAGTGACGTTGAGCAATTAAGCCGATGTGTAAGGTATGTTGGTGGTCAGTGCCCCCAAAAACTGGCAACACAACAGATCTATTTAATAATTTGAAGAAGTACTTCCAGAGTGATTATGCAGAAAGCATGAAAATGTGAGCGGAGTCTGCACAGCTGGCCAAGGCTAACGGCACGAGTAGCATTAGCAGTTTAGCTACAACTAGCGGTGCGGCCACCAGACCAAAGCTGCGATCAATCATATCATCTACGTTTCCATCATCTCATGTTTACATTTTAAGGCGTCTTCATTTGTTTATTTTGGGTCTTGCATACCTGCAGAAACACTCAGGACTGTAAACTAATTCACTGTATTATCTAGTATTTATCTACTTTTGTTGTTCCGTTTGAGCTAAAATGTTTTTTATATCTTTCTAAGTTTATCTTATTCAATTTGCTTTGATATCTAATTTGTATGTTAATAAAATGTTGAACTAATCTGTAGTTTCTTTAGTTTTTAGTACAGATACTTTAAAACTGGCAGTTTAAAAAAATCGTGATAATAATCGAAATCGGACGATATGACAAAATATATCATGATCTTTTTTTTTTGCCAAATCGCCCAGGCCTAATAAACCATGAAGTGAAAGTATTGAATCTAAATCTCGCTAGCGTACGTTTAGCCTCGTGGCCTAAAACCAGTGGAATATTGAGGGCTGTCCTAATGTCCCAATATATGTAGCTATTTGACCTTAACTGAGACTCCCACTATATCCTGGAGTAAGTAACAACCCTTTCGCTGCATCATATGAAAAATTGAACTGACTTTTTCAGGTATTAGTCAAACCCTCAAGCGCGACCTAGGGAGCAGTCATTAAATTATGATGCAAGTCCTTTATCAACTTTTCTGTAGCATCTGTTTGGCCTTCATGTTGATCATTAAAAACTCACTAATGGACACTTAGGTTCGACCAAAGTGTGAAAAAGCAGATGCTTTTCACACACTCTGGATATCGCAGCTTTGTATTATACGAGAAAAGAGGGCAAAATGCAGAAAAACACAGAATCAGGAGATGTAATTTTAAGGTTATCAGGCCTAAACTCATTATGTACAATACATCAGTCCTTGAGTGTGACCTCAGGCTTTGCTTAAAGGGACACAAGACTGCCCTTATACATTTGTCAAATCGTCTGGAAGCCATTTGTTTAGATGCTGCATTGAACATAAATAAATATGCAGTTTAATCAGCAGAGCACCGTCTAAACAGCACATGTTTTTTCACCACATATGATTGGTTTTCCCCATGTGCCATTAGTGTAATAAGACTTTGTAAAGAGCGCAAGTCTACAACTGTTGATGAATTGCTTGCAAAATGAAGGTTGTAGCGGGAATGCAAACTCACCTTCTCCTCTAAAATGGGCTCACAATTGGAGTAATTGCTCTTCAACGCCCACGTCCCATTATCCATGCATTCTCTGTAAGCACTCCCTGCAAGAGGAGAACAGAGGAAACAACAAAATTGAAGCATTGTTGCAAACATAGTTGAAGTCTTAAAAGCTTGTTGAACCTTCAGGTTTATCACCGTCTTAAAACCTCGCATCTGTATTCATTCTCCCTGCGGTTGAGGCCACTTGTTTGTTCCTGCAAGGTTAAAGTAAAGTGTTTGCCAAAGCAGCCAGGTGAGCTAAAACATCCTTGTAATTTCTTCAGAGCAGGGTTCAAACTTGAGCACTATATCTCTTAAAGTGTCACACAGAATACAAATTCAGCAAAACAAATTCCACTCCTGGCGGGGAAATGCAAAAGCTTCTTACTCTGTCACTTTATTTGCATATCTTTTAAAAACTGCTTACCACAATCAACTTTGAACTGAGTTTTTCATTTGCGGCTCCTCAGGATGTACTCAGCAAGCCTCTTTATCTCTCTTACACAGGGAAATGTATGGTGTGGGTGGGAGCAGAGGATTACTAAATGCAGGAGGGTTATTTTCTTCAATGATCAGAAGCTTTAAGTGATTTTGTGAATTACGCCTGTTTCAAGATACTCATCATTTATTCAGGTTTCAAAAAAGGGGTAAGAACACGCTCATTTATGATGTTTGCACAGCTGACAGAAGCTGCAAGCTTCATGTTTTCAAACTAAAAAGTCAGACCTGATCACCAACAACATTTTAGGGCGCCCAGGTCAGTTGTCCCAGAAACAACAGTTAAAATATCTTCAGTAAAAAACTACCCATCCTTAGTGGTTTATTTTCACTTTCCTTCCTCGTAAAAATGGATTGTTTTTTTTTTACTTTGTGTAAATTCAAAGGTCCCTGTCAACCTTCTTTTACTGCAAATTCAAAATAGCAAGAGCCCAAAAATCAGGCATGCAGAAAATACTAAAAAGAAAAAGAAAGAAAATCTAAAGTGAGGTGTCTGGGAATTTTTGGCGAATTTTGCGTAAAGCTGTGATAAAGACATTGAAGAAGTGACCTAAGGATGTATCGACAGCAAGGTAAATTAGTTGAACATGCACAGTATGTTCATATGCAAGCTATGATCATTGCTTGACTGGGCAACTGAACTGGGCTACTGTCCTTGTCCCAGTTTACGTGCACTGGGCAAGAATCGAGTTATTGACAGAAGCATGTTCACCTCTGCTTCAGTAGGTCGATACTGTCAGGTCATCCTGACAAAATGCATAAGCAAGAAGCTAACAGGTTGCCTAGCATGCAAACACTGAAGCATGCACAGAATGGTTAAGCCATTTTCAGTCCAATCGAGCCGTATACATGAAAGAGAAAATCGATCCCTAACCATGTTATCCAGGTATGTTAGTGCGACTATGAGAACTATTCGATTAAGTGTGATTTCGGCCTGATGTGTTTACATGATTTTAATAGCCTAGTTTCAGTGGGACTACTGCAAATTGATTTTTTTGAACAACTGAGCCTTGCTGCTCAGAGGCTGTAAGACAGAGAGGAGGAGAAAGCAGATGTATGATGGGCACTGAGCGTTAGGGCAGCAGCTTTTCCATATCTGAGGTAATCACAGCACACGAAACACTACAAATGTGCAGACCCATGGAAGAAAAATTTATTTTTGTTGCCAATGTGTTTTTAAGCTGGTTACAAAAACATTTCAACACTTGTAATTTAAAATTAATGTTTGTTTTTTCCTTGGACAGCGCGTATGGCAGCAGTAATTAATTATGAGATAAATAAATTAGTAATTAGTGAGCATGTTAAAAAAAAAACAGAACTCATAATTGATGTGCTGAGTCATACTTCTGCTAAAACGATACACTTACAATGGTGTCTGTGGTCTCATGAAGACTTGGCAATTTAGACAAAACTCACGCGGACGCACACAGATATTTTTAAATGTATTCACCATGACTCAACAGTCTTGTCAACACCCAAACACTCGGCTAGAAAAATAGGAAACTATCCACCTCAAAAACACCCACAGTTGCGCTTGAAGCAGTGGCATTAGCAGAGTGGGATCCCTCGCATTAGACTGAGTGTTACATAATGTGACATTTGTATCTAGATGCTTGTGAGAAGAAAAATGAATCTGGCAGCTAGAATCAGAGAAGTGGGAAAAAGTACATCCTCTAAAACAGACTCATTATATCCTGTCAGCTGACACTTGCTGTATTGTGACAACACAACACTTTGTGCAGCTCGTGAAGTAAAACCCCAATTCCCAGCTGTTTATCTCAGTGGTAAATCAGAGTTGGTTAAATCACTAAAGCGCTTGAATGAGCGGGACTTGTATTCCCATAGACACAGTAAAACATCGAATTACAGCACACTCTGGAACACACTGTGTTTGTTTGACTGTGCATTAACCGCCTCAACATGTTCATTGATCAGCTGCCATGAAGCATTAACAGAGCTCTTATAAAGTCCACACAGGCATGATGCAACAGTTAAAATGTTTGCTGCTTGGTTAAAATGTGAGTTTATGCAATTTAAAAAATAAATAAAGAATGAGGCTGGAGATACTCTGGAATTATCAGGAGTGGTGTACACAACTTTCCAAGAGGTTCACTACTGTGTTCACAACCATAGACTTAAGTTTTGAGCTTTTATGTGTTACACTGAATGTGGCAAAAATACTCATGTGCAACTAAATGAAGCTTATAAGGGGAAATGGAACTATGTGGTATATTACAAAGCCTGTTTTTTTTTTTTTTTTTTTTTGTAATTTTCAGCTCCTGTACACAATAATGAGTATAAACATGTTTATTAAGCTGTTCTGCAAAACACCAAAAAATACAGATTACACCCATGACTTATTACATGTGCTCCGTATAGAAGCATACAGTGGTATATGCTTTTTAAATGATTTTATAGAGTATTCATACATATCTTAATTTGCTCAGCTTTGTTTCTCTGTTTTACTCTGGGTTAATATTCTGAGAGAAAAAAAAATACATGCACTTTGCTGATAAATCTAGATCTAGACATTTTTCTTCTATGTTCATACTGTTTGCAATGTGCCTGCAAAATTTAAAGAGTAAACATATCCCTTTTAGATAACTGTCAGGGTTAGGGCTGGAGTGATCTGACAGCCTTTGGCAAAAAAAAAAACATTTAACTGTCAGCAGACAAAGCTAATGACAATGTTGGCATACTGGGGGAAAAGGTATGGCAGCCCTGTCTTTGAAAAATACACTGTACCATGGAGGGTTATCTTGATAGCATGCCTTTAAGTTAGCCTGAAAGAGTATCCATCAGGTCTCCTTCTCATAAATCTGTCTGGACTTTGGCACCTGGCTTATGCGATCACTCAGACACACTAAACATGATGTTTTTCTGATACCCCGCATTTTAGGCAGCCTTTGTCAAAACTGTCATTACATTTTTTCCACCTTATCGAAAATTTAACAACCCTTGACAAATGTTTTAAGCCACTGTGGCTTCAAGCTTTGATCAATCACACTTTATTTACAAAGCATCTGTCATGGAAATCAAATGCAAAGTGCCCTCCAGTGACGAAGAACGAGAAAGTAAAAAACAGTGATAAAACATGGCATATCCAAGTACAGGCTAATGCAGACCAAAATCATACAATATATGCAATTATAACAATAAAAGAAATAGAGTTTAAAAGAGGTAAAGAATAAAAAAATAACATGAATAGTTAAAAAAATAGAAAGGTTATGATAAAGGGTTTAAGATAGATAAGTGCACTAAACAAGCAGGAAATAATTGGAGCAGATATGATTGAGGATTAAAACTTAAAAGCTGAACAAGATTAAAATCAATAGAATAAATTTTAATCATGAAATGACATTACAAAACTTTACATTACAGTAAAAGCCAGACTGAAAAGACAAGGTTTACATTTGACTCTTGCTACCAAAGTAAGCCCTTTAGCTATCAGCGAAAGATAGATACTAAAAAGACACCAACTTATAGCTTGGCATATTTCTCACATCTAGCATGTGTCGAAAAGTATGCGTGTCTCTGAATCTTCACTGAGTAAAGTCACAGCAGTAGTCAGTACTATTTCGACTAGACCCTCTTTCTATTTCCTATTGAATAAGCTGAGATCTCTGCAGACTCTTGATCAGTTTTTAAGATTATAAAAATGACTTTCTTTATTCAATCTGAGCAAAAGTGAGGAACTGATGCAGCTTTAAAGAAGAAAGAAAAAAACTGAATAAAGGGACCAAAAAATTCTGCTTAACAGCATATATCAGGGAACAGCATGTATCAGTCTGACACAAGCCCTATAAAACACAATACCTAATTAGAAATGAATGCTTAGGATCATAATTGTAAGGTTCGAACCCATCATTCGCAGAGTGCAGAGAAAGTGAGACATGTATAGTAATTATACAGACTCATGAATAAACAGGTTGATGCCGAGGTGCAGATCCAACAGATGTGCAAGCTTCAAACTGCAAAATTATAAACACGTTGACTGTCGGGACCAAGCAGATGTACGGTGCATTATAAATCTTAGTGGTTCTATTCTCAAATGTTCACGTAACATCCCTTTACTGCAATTAACTCAGGTTGTCCCAGTCAGAAAGTTGTGATGATTGCAATCGATGTAAGCTCTAGTATACAAGCTGGATTTACTCAACAGAACTCAAACTGGGGCTGCAGCCACCCGAGCACTCTGCTGTGCGTCTCTCTGCATGGGGTAGATGAGTTTTACAGCTTGATTGCCACAGGGTGAATGGATTTCCTGTAGCGCTCTGTGGTACAACGTGGTGGTACTATAGCAGTCTTCTCCTGTACATGACCAGCTTATCTTTAACACTCATTGGAAGAATTGAATTTAAAGCAGTGGCGGCTGGTGTGTTTCCAGAATTCATGACATACAGCACGTATTACATACAATATATAATTTAAATAATCACACAGGTGGGCTGAGGGAATTAAACTGCATTTATCTATATTTGCTGAGCTGAGTTAAAGGTGGGGTAGGCAGGAATCCGTTAAAGAAGCATCTTTTTTTGTGGTGCATATACAAAAAGCTTTTAATATCAGTCAATAGCTATTAAATATTGATGATATTTGGTAATATAACAATAGTGCTGTGTTCTGTTATGTCTGTGTAGTCAACATTTTAAAATTTTTGAGTGGCCCGCTCTTTCTGACTGTAAACAAAGACATTCCCTGCCTTGGTTGGTTGTGAGGCAGACCCTACTCCCTTGTGTTGTGAGGTAGACCGGACAAGAGCTAAAAAGCCAAGTCAACATCAATTAAGCATAAACGAGCTGTGACGCTTCGGGATCTTACGGACCCTATAACCTTTCAGCTGGACAGGTAAACTGCTATAACAAAGTAAGCCAAGTGTAACAGAAGTGTTTCTTATCAAACAGGACCTGCTTTGTGTTGTAGCGCCGCTAAACTGTTGACCTCGGATCCTGGACTGTGTCACTTTATCCTAGTTGTAGAAGTCTTGCAAACATCGTGTTGTAGTCTGCTGGCATTTACAGTAGCACCAATGCTTTTTACTTTCACGTTGACTGGGCCTAATTTGTAATTATCTGAAGTATTTATCTGCATTATATCTGAATTTAATTAAAATGATACGAGCGAGCAGGAGCGTCTGCTTGTAGGCGGGGCTTGCTGGAGATGAGAGGAGGAACTGAGGGGAAAACTGGTTGGGAGGGGTAGTGTTTATATTCAAGAATTCTCCCAAAAACTGGCACTTCCCAAGATCCTGCCTACCCAACCTTTAACTCAGTGTTGACCATGTGGACACGTTTTGCTTTTTTTTTCATCTTTTTCCCAAAAATGTAAAACTTTCATACTGATCAGTATCCATGATGGTTTTGATCCTAATGTTAAAAAATAGTGATAGAAATTACAAAATAAAATTAAGCATTAGCATCACCACATTCAACTAGTCATAAACCCCACAGTGTGATTTCTCCCTCTGTTATTGAAGTTCTGTTTGATTTTGATGTTTGGCTAATCAGGTCCAAGCTCTTTAACTCTCAGCATCTCCAAACCACATTAGTCCCCGTCACTTTGGGGTATTATTAAATGCCTTTTATTGCCATTGTAGGTATACAATGAGAGTTCATCCAGCAGCTTAACATAACATACTACATGATAAATCTCTGACTGTAAAATCACATTAACACACCATTAAGCAGCTGAATCATCAGTAAGAAATATCATGAAACTGCATCACTTCTGTGGTGAAGGGATATAGCACTCCAAAGTTATCATTAAGCCAGTACATTAGGTAGTCATTTGCATTAACCTCAAGATCACGCTAAGACGTTGGTTTAACCCATTTCTTCAGACAGCCTGGGAAGGAGGGGATGGGGGAGGGGAGGTGAAAAGGAGCATATGGGACACAGCGATGGCATCACTTTCTTCCTGTCTCTGATGACACGACCATCTTCGTTTATCCACGCTTCGTTTGAGGTGCAAATCACACATCAGACTTTTAACAGCAAGACAGCCATGTATAGAGCCATCAGACAAATGCAGCTTCCTCCAAGACATTTATTCTTTTGAAGTTGTTAGATTACTGCCCTTCAGCGCTTTCTGTGACACTCAGGCCTCGGTTATTTTGTCTACAAAGAGAGTTAATGACTGATATTCACCACAAAACATCTATTATTAAAAAAAGGAGAAGAAAATCTGCACATCTAAGTTTGTATTCATATTTCCTGACCAGAAAGAGCTTCAGTGCTTCGTGTCTTCAGGGGAAGAGTTAGTGCCAGATTATCAGGCAATGCAGTTCAAATGAGCCTCTTTTGCTTTTAGCTCTACAGAGGTCAGTTTTATGGGCCAGAGGGCACGTAGAGAAAAACTCAGTGGACTGTAATCACTGACAAAAGATATGAATCTGTTCCTCTTTGAAATATTTTCATCATGACCACAAATTGTCTCCTGACAGGCAAAGTCTGTTTGGTAAACTTGCCCCAAGGCTGGAGGTTAGAAGAAAAGGGTGACAGGAGGGTCCCTGTAGTATCCCTTAGTTGCCTTGAGCAGCAGCCCTGTAGTCTGACACGCTCTGTTCATCCAGTTCAGTAATGCACAACCACAGCAGCATGTCTCTGCATCACTGTCGGTCTGATCCCCAGCAGGGCGGTCAGAGGTCCTGCTAGAAATTAGAGAACAGTGACTCTGACAGTGCTACCCGGCCTTTCCAGATTAAAGGCAAGTCAAAGCAGGAAGGTGATGGTGTCTCCGATGTCGTCATTTGACAGGTAGATAATCTAAAAATCGTTCAGGGTTATTTTTAGAGCCAATAGCTTCTGGTCATTGGTGAGACGAAGATACATCTTTGCTCAGATAGGAACTAGACAGGACATGCTGACACCCTCTCCTGTCTCGGCCACAAGTTGAAGATGTGTTTGATTGCTCAATACAGTTGTGCTGCCCAAGCTTAGAGGACCCTCAGACCAGTTCCCTCTGGACCTGTAGTCTCTCCCTTTTTGAGTCTGCACTGTACTATTTTTATCTGCAGGCTGGGATGATTTGCTGTCAAGAGTAATCAAACTTTGCTGGAAGAGTAAGTCATCCTGCAATCTATTATTTTAAAAGCGAAAGTATGAAGTACAGAGAGGCAGTTCTTTTCCTGATTCATCCCCATTTGTGCTGTAATAGAAATATTTCAATGCAGTCCCACACCGTCTATGTGATCATGGGAACAATAGCAACTCCCCCCACTAAATGCACCAGGGAATAAAATACATGCCTTGTGTCTTACCATCATGAAACGTAACATGCACTTTGAGTATAAAAATTCAGTCGGGCTGAAATAATACGAAACATCTCTTCTTCACTTGTTCCTTTTAAGCAGGCAATGCTTCACCGAGAGTATTTACACCACCTAACCGTTCATTGTCTGCTTAGCTGTAAAATTTCTCAACTTTATCCTCACAAAACTGGAAAAACATCATCAGACAATCACAAGTTTTGTCATTGTAGTTGTCTTTGAGGAACTGATTCGAGTCAGTGTGACAATTAACACGACATTTAACTCGCCTCGAGTCACAAACAGCTCAAACTTCTTTTCTTAAAGTGTGACTGATCGTGTCTGCAAACACAACCATAACACCTAATAGAAAGCTTCCCAAGCATCTTTCAGGAGTGTTAAGAGCTAATTAGAGTAACAGCACGAGGGGGTTTCCGGATAAAGTTCCTCGTCTCTGCAGGCAAATCTCACACTGTCTTTGTGAGACAAGCAGTGATAATTCAGAAATAGAAGAAGGAGAGCAGGTTGGGACCTTTGTCTCTGACAGCTTTTGCATTGATGCAGGACTAATTCAAGGCACTGGTGCACACAGAGCACATTTCTGACTAACAGAACCATCTGTGCATCATGCATGATAAATCTATTCTCTATTCCCACTTTTTCTCTTGACACTGCATTATATTTGCAGAGTTAAAATTAAATCACCCACTGACTTACTGTCTCTGGAGCTTACGTAAGGCACAAAAATGTCGTGTGAAGGTGCTAACAATGCAATGCTCACACTCCATTGGTGTAACTGTGCATGAGGGGACGAAAGAAATGTGCAAATCCAAAGTGGAATGGTCCGTGCCAACACTTCCCACCTCCTCCGCCTGCTGCTTTGCCAACTCGCTTGCTTTTCCTGGGCGAACAAATATGTGTACAGAGTAACAAACGCTTTGTGGCTGTTCAAGGATTAGAAGCTTCTGTTTGGGGAAAAATGAAGTGCAACCATGGAAATATAGTGTGGACATGTGCCAGAGTGCAATATGAAGTGGGGATGACTATCTTATATATATATGTTACTACATAAATATAAAAACGATATAATTAAAGATGAAAAAAAAAACAATAAATCCAATGAAATACAAAATATTTACAAGTAGAAGTTGGGAGACTGAGACACTAAGGCAGAAGAACTACTGTGTCTGCAGTGTAACATGATTAATATGATGATTATTACTTCAAGGATAAAGTAATGATCATAAATGTTCTTCCTTCAGCTGCGTCACCCCACTGCAGTCTGTGATGGACTCGTCTGAGGTCTCCCTACAAACAAATGGCTGCTGGAAGAGAGTAGGTGAGTTGTGTTTAGTCTCTTTGCTAAAGAAATCAGGCAAAGCTAAAAAGATGTTTGATGGCTGGGACCCTATATGTACTGTTGATGAAGTTAAGTGCTGTTCTGAGCATTATATGTGTCTATGGAGTGGCGTTTTGGTTGAGGTTTGTTTATGACTCCTTAGACTGCTGTGTATTGCTATCTTGCGGTCGTTACTAAAGTTGGTATGACTAAAGAAGCAAGCGGTCGGCAACATTCATCTCTCGAGGGGGTGTCTAACTCGGTGTTATAGTGTGTTTGACCCTAAATTAATTTTATGCCGGAATGTCCCTTTAAGTCTCATAGAGGTTGGAGGTGCACCGACTTTAAATGAGATGCTTTGACTTTTCAAGGAGTCTGTCACACTGATTAAGAGCATTCCTGCCAAGACCAATCAGTCAATAAATTTTCATTCATACTGTGCAGAATCACAGCAGAAGTGACCTCATGACTCGAGCAGGTCTAGAGTCTAGATTGAGTAGATTACTCCTCTTTATGCAAGTGTCAACAATGACGAATGAAAATTCCTTCACAGCTGATCCTGTCTTCGGGGCGCAGAAACCTTAAACAGAAAGGACGCATCTGTGGGGCTTATGAAGGGGGATAACAGTAGAGAAGGACAGTTGTTACCTGGACCAGTTATGTACCAATGTGTAATCTCTTTCCCACTAAAAGGACTGAAGCCATGATATCACCTTGATGGGCACTGATGCAGACCCTCGTGGTTATGTAGAGCAGGAGTTCCCAGATATAGGTCGTTTTTCGACTCTTAGAGTGAGTGGACATACAATATTTAATAAGCAGATGTCTGTCTCTCTGTGTGTGTGTGTCTTTGAGTTTCAGCTTAGAGCCTTATATGCTTTATTTAGCTATAAGCCCATCTATATGAACATCTTGCAGTGTTTCCTGTGCGACTGTAGAGTAACTGATGCTGCCCTTAACTTTACATAACTCCCTCAGGGGTTGTGTGGTCACAAAGAAAATTGAAGGATTTTCCTATTTGCATGGTTTAATCTCGGTTTTAACTACACTTTTTGGATATGTTATACAACAGTGGATGATGGAAACTACATTTAGAATAAGTTGACATGTATTTTAACTCCATGTGTGGAAATTATGAAGGATGCAGGCTTTAAGGGCTAAACTGCGGTCAGTCTCCAGAGGAGATCTGAGAGTTTTAGCTTCATTGGAGGGTAGCTGTCCATGGTTTATACGTTCTATGGTAACAATAGCCAATATATTAAAGATTCAGTATCGATTGAGTAATGGATTATAAATAAATAATCAGAAGTAATCTGGCAGATAAAAGGAGTCTGTTTATTGCTGCTGCTTGACCCAGTTCTGTCAGCTGATTGTTGGTGTGCTGCCAACCGTGGGGCCTACATCAATGCCTCAGTAATAGAACAGAACAACATTTTCCACTTTAAAGTTTTAAGTCTGTCCGTCTTTGTCTGGAGTTTGATTTCTCCCTGCTTTGGTCTGCCATCTATCACTGTGGGTTTTGAGCTACATTTCAGCCACAAGACCAATTTCCAGATTGATGGACTTAAACAAAAACATTTTAAAAAATAATCACCGGTACGCCTCCTCAAAGCACAATGCTGTTGCTCACAGCTTGTCACAAATTGCAGACTTGTTTCGGCTGCTTTGCGGAAATAGTCAGCAGAGCTATAGCCTTTGGATAGGTTTCAAACTGTACATAAAGTGACAGGCTATAATATCTCAAAGTTGGGAGGTGATCAAAATCACTCATGCAAGCGGTACACCTAAGCCTGTTGGAGTTCTTTAAGTCATTGAAAATGTAGTTTTACGAGCAGGGGACGGGGTAAAACTGGGCCATAACATGAAAGCATATGAATCTCAGTACACTGCAAGAACTTGAGCTATATTCCCAGACATCACTGGGAAAATTAGGACATGATGGAAGGAGTCAAGGTGACACAACTAGAGTCAGCACAGAGGGTTGGCTATGTGCTGCTGCACAGGGTCAACTTAACCACATAATTAAGCTAATTTTCAGACCATTACTGCCATTGTTAGACATTTTCCTGCTCTCACCTTTTCCATCAGAAACCCCACTAGTTAAGCACCACTTAAGGACGTAACACATACATAACTCCACATGCAGTGCACTTATTAGCTGATCTGGTCTGTGGGCTTCCAGGTGACATTAAAAATGCTAACTGGTCTGCAAGTGGTTTTGACCTACACACTGGCATGCCCTTTACTGTGGCTGGTCCTCCAGCTGGTTTCTCATTAAAGGCGAGTGTTAGAGCCTGATATGTTACAATGATCTGAAATGACCCAAAATATAATTTAAAATAAAAAAAAAAACATGTTATAAGATCAAAAATGTACTAACTGGTTTTAGGCACAAAGTTATTACATTTTGGGCTCAGCATCTTGTCACATTTTGGGTTTCATTACATTTTTTTTGTCCACATAAAACCTTATTTAAAAGAAACAAACAGAACCACCAGGGGTCCCGTTTTGTAGAAGCATCTTTGCATCAAGGAAATAAAAAAACTCTGGGTACCAGTGTTCTTTCTACGAGTGTACATGGTTTTAGTGCTTGATATTCACATTAAATAAACCAAATTTTAATTAAGTATATATGTAAAAACTGTATGTATAAGCAGTACTACGCATTAAATGTAGTGATGCAAACAAACGGGAGATCGACAGGCAGATCGGAGTGCAGTCAGCAGTGATGCGGACGCTTAATCGATCTGTCGTGGTGAAGAAAGAGCTGAGCCGTAAGGCAAGACTCTCGATTTATCGGTTGATCTACATGCCGATCCTCACTTATGGTCATGAACTTTGGGTAATAACTGAAAGATACAAGCGGCCGAAATGGGTTTCCTTCGCAGGGTGGCCGGGCTCAGCCTAGAGACAGGGTAAGGAGCTCGGACACTCAGGAGGCGCTCAGAGTAGAACCGCTGCTCCTCCACGTCGAGAGGAGTCAGCTGAGGTGGCTCGGGCATCTGGTTAGGATGCCTTCTGGGCGCCTCCCGTTAGAGGTGTTCCGGGCATGTCTCGATGGGAAGAGACCTTGTGGCCGGCCCATGACCAGGTGGAGGGATTATATCTCTCGCCTGGCCTGGGAGCACCTGGGAATCCCCCCCAGGGGGAGCTGGCGGAAGTGTCTGGGGTGAGGGCTGTCTGGGCCTCTCTCCTGTAGCTGCTGCCCCCTGCGACCTGAACCCGGATAAGCGGAAGAAAACGACAACGACAAACAAACTGCGACCAATGGTGTGAGATATTATTAATGGATGCTATTTGAACTTGTTATAAAAAAACTTGTTATATCTTTACACTCGATGTTTTCCACTTCACTTGGCATTTTTGCACATTTTTCACATGAACACCTGTTTATAATGCACAGGCCTTAAGAATGTGCTCCCCATAGCTGCTAATGTAATTGCCAACCCTTCCTCATATTTAAACATAAACAATACAGTTGGATTCAAGAAGGAGCCATCCCCAAACAAAAGTGAGAAGTTATGTCAACTTGTGAAGAAAACTTTCACTTTTGCTTTGGTAGCCTGCCGATAGATCTGTACCGTGCCTAAAGGCTTGGAAGAAGAAAGCAGACCAAAAGAAAGAGAGTCCTCAGGGAGGGGGAGCTGACAGAGACAAGGGCCAAAACAGTCTGCTCCATACAAAGGATGAGCTGAGGGGCTGGATATAAAGCCAGAGCATGGTAAATAAAGACTTTTGAAGTGGATACTATGCAGTTCACTCTTTTGGAAATGACTACAGGTGCCCTTTAAGACCAAGAAGCGTCTGCTAAGGGTGTCCCAACTACAGACCTGTGAAATGATAATAGATTTTTGGGTGGCTTCAACCTTGAGAAAGTTTCGGCCTTTGTAACTTCTTCTCCTCTGGGTTTACAGATTAAGAGTGAACTGGTGCATAAGAGCACAGCAAGGCAGTGCTGTGTTCACTGTGACATACAGGAGTGATCACAAACCAACCAAGAGTGAGGAAAGGCTGCAGGTAAACCTGAGCGATGTAACAACCAGGTGACAATTTATAACAGCTTCAACTGCACCTACTTGTAAAATGAAAAGAATGTCTCAACAACTGCAGGAGGAACCGAAAACTATTTTTTCAGTTTTTATCATGACCACTGGTGCTCTCTGTTAGTGAACTCACCGAGAATGTTTGCCGTGGGAAATGTTAAGAAAGGTTTTTCCGTCTGTGTGCTGTCAGTCTTTTAGCCTTGCAGCTACCCCCATGATGTGGTTACTGGCATTAAAAATGACTATAGAAAAAGTCAATCTTTTGTTGATGGTCTGGTTTGCTTTAGAAGGTCATAGAAAAGCATCGCTGTGGATGTCAGTCTGTTTCATAAACAGTCAAAAAGTCCTCACAAAATCTAAACAAGAAGGACCATCCTGATATTATGAAAATGCAAGCTGCAACCATCTTCCACGTATAAAGTGTGCTCAGTATGTCTGACCCTCTCAGCCTTGTCAACAATCATATCGCTAGATGTTCTTCACTTATCTTGTAAGGAAGTAACTGCATAGGTTAAAAAAGGACCTCAATCATGAAAATGCAAGCTGCAACCATCTTCCACGGTAAAGTGTCCTCGGTGTCCCTCTCAGCCTTGTCAACAATCATATCCAGATGTTCTTATCGCAGGCGAATGCACCTGTCCATATCAAAGCAGCTTTTGGGAAATGCATATAAAAGTTTAAGCTCACTCATGAAAAGGATGTTGAAAAACTATCCATAACGTCTGAATTGAATAATTCATTTTCGTTCTTCTTTTTCTCTTTGTTCTTAAAACCATCACACTGAGTCCAATAACCCATCTATGCTAATCCCTGTGACTGAGCAAGCTGTGATTTTCACGGAGAGTCAAACTATTATCTAGATTTAAAATGATAAAGGATTTTTATTTTTCTGTTATGTTATGTCCTTGCATTTTGAAGCCTTATCTTTTTACGCAGAGCTGGTTTCTGCTTTTTGTGTCCCAGAGACCGCATTTTTTTGCAGAAGATGCAAAACTGTCCTTTTAAAAGGCTAAATAAAACACTTTTGCTCCTCGTGTGTTCCTTGCATGTACTCTTAAGCTGAGAAAAGAGTGCCTTGAAGAGGTTTGGCATAAAAACATTCAAACCAAGACGCAATGTTCTCCTTCATCACAAACTAAAAATAATCCTAAATCCTCAAACTGCCTCCAACAATCTTCAGATTTGTAAATCACAGGACCTGGGATTCAGATCATAAATTGTTAGTCTCCAGTGAGTCGAACCTGCCACATCACAGCATTAAAATTTTAAGTGATCCTCAGCCCTAAACTGACCTGACTTTGATCAAACACAACCAGGCAGCAAAACCTCCTTACAGAAAAAAAGACTGCCCCGTCCTTGTCAGATTAGCTGTGATATATTTTGTCAGAGGTGCTGATTCATTTTTAGCACTCGCTCCAAAAGTGACTCAAACACAGACACAGATTTAGGGACTTTTATTCTGGGGAGGCACTGGAAGTCAAAACTGCGGTTCATCACACGTCTCACCAATATCAAGTTTTGAAACACATTTCACAGCAGAGAGACCTCTAATATGACTCCTGCAATTTCCCTTAGATGCTCTTAGCGGCCTTGTTTTGTAATAAAAAATAAACGTTAACTTCTACCTGACATCGGCACATAACTGTGTAAATATGCCGAAGAAGAAGCCTGTGACAACTTGACCCAATTAGAAATGCGTTATTTGCTGAGAGATTATTCAAAATGAATCAAATTAGTGTTTGAACTTGTAACTGCGGGAAAATGAAACTGTTGCATCAGGGTGCAAGACTAAATAATTTGGACGGCATACACAAAAATTGGAAACCCGCTGCACTTTTGACAAATAGTGTTGAATGTCCTTGTTTTGTCATGTGCTCCCTCTGTGACATTTTGACACACTCAGAGCATCTATAAAAGGAACAGCCGGAGGGGAAAGAAGAGCTTTAAAAAGAAAGGAAGCTCAAGCTTTTCTGTGTCATCACATCTGTGGCCTGAGCAGGAATGTAACTGACACATTTTCTGATGAAAATTAGACACCCACTCCTACAGCAGAAACATCCTGCAGTTTAAAAACAATCTTTGGCACCACAACTGGGATTAGCGGGGATTGTATTTGGACATCAGAAAGAGATCATTGTTTGTTTCAGAGCTGAACAGACAGGGTAAAATTTAGTGCAGGCAATCTGCCAGAGCAGAAATGCCACTGTTGTTTTCCTGTTTTCTCAGAGCGCCTGTAAGCTGCTCTGTCTCCTCCTCCTCCTACGTCTGACAGTCTAGATAGCAGTGGGAGATGAGGCTCTGCAATTGCTGCAGCAGGTAAAAAAAAAAAAAAAAACGATGTTTCGCAGAGTGACTAGGACCTTATGTAGCCTCAGGTGTTGCTTCAGGGTTTATATACCTGCTTTTGCATGCAACAGGTTCACCTCATCACACATAAAATGTCCTTGATTAAGTTGGTTTTCATCTGCTACAGTCAATTAAAATGCTGGTGATCACATAGGTTTCCTTTTAAAAAGATATTCTTTATAATATTTTTTAATGTTCATAATGCTGCTTTGGATCTGTTCTCTGTTTTACAGGGAATATTTCAATATTCTAGGACAATGAGGGTCAGTAAAAACCACTGGGGCAGATTTGAGTGCAATACCATTAAGAAAATGACAGCTATAAATAGCTGTCTCCAAGTCTAGACAGCCTCTAATCACAGGGCCGTATATGCTTCAGCGTCGCTGTCCTTTTATTACTTCTCTTGTTTATATTCGCTTCGCTTTAACAGCAGTTTTTAAAAATAAAAAAAAGACGAGGACAGAATCAACAGGGAGCCTAGTAATCTATAATTTATAACATTTAAAATAAAAAAGGCAAAGGCTGACCCATGCTGAGTCAATCAAATATCAACATACGGCTTTAGACTGATGGATCTGGCTGCCCACCTGACCAACCTTCTGCTATTGTCTGTCTCACAGAGATGATATATGGTGAGGGTTTTGTTCTGGTAGATCAGAGACCCTGACAGGGTGAACAAGACTCCAATCGAAAGCCAGTAAGTTCACTGCAACAACCTGCTCATGATACATCATCTAGCTTAGTACATGGCTGTAAAATAAGAAACAAATATTCTGCACCAAATATTGATTTGGAAGTAGTTTTATAGATGCAAAAACAAACTTGTTCCTTTTGCTGAGAAGAGTCTTGTCACCCTCACAGTTTGACCCACAACCACAGTAAGAAGTAACTCTGAATCCTTCTTATAATGAGCCAAGCTATAAGTACTCTTCCCATTCATATTCAAGGGAAACCAGGTGAACAAGTCCCTGCAAAGTACAGCAGAACCTGATCAAGTTTTTGTCCCTCTTCATAGTCAAAGTCTGAAACACTGTTTTAGTGTCTTTTTCATTTATCAGTCTCTTACAGAACTACATCAGCTATTGACTTCAAGTACTATCCTAAGTTTTTGTAGATTTCTCTTTTGTGTTTTTCACTTCTCCTACCATTTATCGGCTCTTCTTGTCTCTTTTGTCTGGTTTTCTCCTTTAAAACAGACTGGATTACATTTTATTAGACTTCTATCTGTGCATTTATGTGATCACAGTTCATCCACAACAGTCTGTGAGCATACACAGCAACAGTTTGGTCATTACATGTACTTCACACCATGCATTATGCTATCAAACTGCAGGCTGCTGGTTAAACAGCTACGTTAAAGCCCTGAGAGGATGAGAAGTGTTTGCAGAATGGCTGATCTCCTGAATGATAAACTGTTGGGTATGGTACAGGGTCCAGAATAAACACCCACCGAGCAGCCGTCAGAGGGGTTACATGCAGTTGAATGTTTGTACCACATTAGATGTGAAATGAAATGAATAAACCCTGCTGAGCTTTCACCTCTGTGTGGCTTACACTGTCTCTTTGCAGCCACTCTGCTCTTTAAGTCACTAACACACACTGCACAGTAATGCAAACACACATTATAGGCATAATCGGTTATCTTCTGTTACTGCAACAGAGCAGATCCGCCCGCATTTGGATTGCGATGCATCAAAAATAAAACAATTAATTTCAAAACTCCAAAGGGTGGGCTGCATGTGTGAACACAAATGTTTGAATCTATCCACCTAGATCAACGCTAACTTTGTCCTTCCAGTCCTTTTGTCCAAATCGCACACAAAGCCGAGTAGAGCCAATGTGTGAACACGGCTGATAATGGTCCACATTTACACGAGGTATTCTGAGATTGAAGAGTGTGTCTGACATTGGCAGGAAGAGCACGTGTGAAAGGGAAGTTCCTCACATTATCAGGACAATGTCAGTGTTTCATTTCTGAAAGAGGCTGTACATCACCGTGTCCTACAGTTCCTTTATATGACGCGTGTGCTTTTGGCAAGTATGATGAGGAACCTTTTCATGCAGCACAGCAGTAAACAGGCAAAAAAAAGAACGAAAGAAAGGAAAAAAGGAACATTTCTGACTTCTCAAAGAGACAGAAAAATACAGGACCATACAGTGAGTTTCTGTGACTTGGAAAAGTACATGTTTTTTTCATAGAGTTTCCCTCAAGGGAGTAGCGAGCTTGCAGCCAGGTCAGCAGTAAAATTGTAAAGAGCTTCACTGCATGGGATGAAACTTTTTTTCTTTGAAGGTGGTGACAATAGACAGCTTAAAGAGTGCTGCAGTAAAAAAATGAGGAGAAGAAGAAAGCAGAAAATAAAGCTATGAAGACAATTTATTGTGAACAAAATCATACTTGTAAATATAGCTGGTTTAAAATAAAAGGGCTTTAGTGTTTTGGCTACTTCTGTTTTCAAAGTAAAGAAAAAAAAAATCAACCAGTTTTTTTTAAATGCAAATAAATGTCTTAATTTGATGCTGACTTTGTTTTGTGTTTCTAGAAACATGTCAAATATAAAATTTTAAACTCTTTCAAATCAGGCTGATGTTGTTTCAACTTAATTCATCCTCTCTGTATGAGCCTATTAAGTCACCCGAAGATCTTTACTAAAGGAGACAAAAACATATTATAGTTAGCCAAGCACAGAAAATGTCAATTAGTGTCTGAATTAATTACTAAGCAGAGATAACATGAATGGATGGCAGAGAAAAGCTCCGCCTCAAGTGCACTCTGCATGTTTTAAGTACACTATATAGGATTTAATGCACAGTGCACCATGAGATTCTTATCCATTAGGGATATTATTGACGCCAGATAACCCCTCCAGTAAAATATTAATGAACCTTGGGTAAATATATTCTCTGCGATTTACTAAGATGTTAAACAGAGTGATTTCCATTAGAGGAAGATCACTTAAAGGGAAAAGAAAGCTGCTTTGAGAGGAAGTTGCAGGTTTTGATTTGTTTGGGTGACAGCTCGAACAATGGCACAGTGGAGAGAAAGAGAGACTTCGACTGCTATTATTCCTCTGAGCATTTATTTCCCTTCATATTTGAATATGTAGATCTGGAAGGTTGTAGAGGGTCGTTGCATAAAATTTGATCATGACCCGGCGAGAGAACATGTCAGAGGAATAAAGCAAAGTCCAAGGAGGGGTTTTCATTTGTATTTACAATTATTCTGAAGCTGTTTATACATTGCCAACTAAGGTCTTGGGTTCAATGTCACAAGACCTGATATACTCGATTTTGGTTTCAATAATTTTGATGAAAATAAATGTTTTATCTCGGTATTCAATCATGTACACCCTAAAATCAAGAACATACAGTAAGTCACAAAGTCTGTTTTGAGGTTGCTCCTGGAGGGAAAACATGTAAAGTGGGTTTCCTGCATGATGTTTCTGTGCCAATGTGTAGCTCCCTCTGGTGCCATCTCTTTAAGCCACGCAGTCAGGTACTTCTACATTAGCTGAGCTCAGCCTCAAGCATATAGTTGAAGGATAAAAGCAGACCCGATCTTCTACGATGTGCCTACTTTTCAGATACTTGTTCATCTCCGTCGTGCTGCCATTATAGAAAGAAAACTCCTGTCTCTCAGATTTTGCATGCATATGCTTCTCTTTCATTTTGGAATAATGCTCCCAAACTTTTGAGCTCCGTTGCCGGCTAGCTACGTATCTGTCTGGGCATAACTTTTCCGGTGGCAACACAGTAGGGCTGGGTGATAAACCCAAAATTTACCACTAGCGAAATTAACGACAATAACTGATGTCATTTTGCCCATATCAGTATATTCAGTGTCAAATAAATAAATACATAAAGTAGAGGTAGAAGTAGACCAAAGTAGACGAAGTTAATGTGGGAGGGGGTGAGCAGCTTGTGGAGTAGTTATTGTCCAATTATCGTTATCGAGGTGGACTGCTAGATATATAGTGACATTGATCTGAGGCCATATCGCCCAGCCCTACGTCACCGCGGACCTGAATTACTAGTGCTGCGCATGTGCGTCAAGACAGCAGAAGATACAGCGGCAGTTTTGAGAGAGAGAAAAAGACAACAATTGTTAAATTAGTCACAGACGATTTTGACAATCAACATCGTCATGACAGGTCGACTGCTCTTGGCAGCTCTTGTTAAGTAACAGGCTGAAACTGATACTGATGCCTCTTTATGACCTTGAGAGGTAAACCAGATCATCAGCAACGAGGCTGATCATTCCTCTGTTATAATTTTCAATGTCTGAAACCGCTGTGAGGGGGTGGGTGTCATACCAGATGATTGACAGCAGGCTAAAGGAACTGCCATTTTTAATTTCCTCATTCATTATAAGTGAAAAATGTCCCTGCTAAAAGGCAAAAGGATTTTGTCTGACAACACCACTTTCACATGTACAGAACAGCAGATAAGATGTAGCCACAATTCACACAAATTAAGAGTTCCTCACAGCAGCTTTGAACACATTACTGAGACCAAAAATAGGAGAAAAAAAGGCCAAAAGGAGCTTTGTCAGACTTGTTCTCAAGCTTTGGCGAAAAGCAGCCACTTTCTCTTTCTAGCAGCATCTCTAGCAGCAGTGAAGTACTGCAACTGCAACACAACAAAATATATCAGTGAAGTTTATATTTGTGTCTTTGTGTTACAAAAAAACTAAAGCTTGTTCAAAAGTATCCTTCATATCTTCACCCCGTACATCTAACAGGCATCAATCCGTGAACACCCATGATAAAAGTGAAATTGTGCTTGAGCCGGTTTGTCTCCTTTACTTAAGCGGTGAACACTGAATCTCTCTTAAGAAGCATTGTGACTTGAGTGATGACCACTGAAGCAGACAGGCTAACAGAGCCTGAAGAAGAGTTGCTGGGTAATCTGTTTTCTCACAGCTGTGTCTCTTTGGTTTTCCTGTTTCTCTTCATGCCTTCATGACACATTAGCAATAACTACAATTGTAGGTCAGGGATTCGCCCATTTGCCCACGTGTTTCCTGTCAAACTCTCACGCCTCACAGCTGTACCGCAGTCATCTGGACAGTGAGAATGTGCTAAAAAGCCTTGTGCTACAAATATATAGCCCCAAGGGAAACCCATAAACAACAGATATACACACTGTATTAAACTAGATTACACATATTAACAGCTAAAGAGCATACACATGCTGTCACACGTTGTAGGCAATTTATCTAAGTCAATTACGGCAGCTTACTGCCATAAAAAACAAAGACCTCATTTCTCCTCCACACTATTTTCATCAAACAACTACTTTGAATCACCCCTGTATCCAAGTAAAGAGCTCCCAGGTGGACTCATTGCTCATCTGAAATGTTTAATTTGATAGTTATTCAGGGAAAGATTGCAACAGCGCCGAGAAGACAATTTCCTTTTCCAGGAATGTCTTCCTAACTTCACATTCACTCAGTCCATGAAAAAGAGTCATTTCAAGTAGAGAGTCTGTGTTAAAGTGAAAGTTTCGGGGTGATTTTTGTCAAAGTGACCAGTTTTAGTCCATGTGACATGACTAAAAGTCAACACCCATACTGGTACCAAAACTTCGTTCAGATAAATGTTTAGAAATAAAGTCAATTAAACTTTTAACTGTCTTCAAACTAAACCAAGCCCTTTAATTGGCCATAAGATAACCAAGAAATCAGGGCTGCCAAAGAGAAGACCTCAAGTTGTAATTTAGAGTTCTTCTGGTGTTATTTTTTTTTCAAGTCAAAACTGTACTCCTACATAATTAAAATTCATGTGCTGTTTTTGATGTCAGCTGTAAAAGGATTAAATTAATTATCACAGCAGTAAATTCATTAACACAACTGTGTATTGTTAATGCGCTTTAAATAAATCCTCAAAGTTACATATAAAAAACTGTTGTTTGTTGATTTTATGCCTAAGGGCAGAATCATTTCTGGCAAAAAATAAAGTAAAATACAAGACAAGCATATTTTAAAACTCTGGTGGAAATAAAAGATGAAAAACATAAGCACACTTCTTGAAACTTTGTCAAAGAAGTAAAAAAAAAAAAAAAAGTCTCTCAGGAAAATGGTCAGTTTGACTCATTACCGGAGAAGTCTTTCTAAAAGGAGACATGATGAAAATGAGAGGTTGCAGGACTGTAGAGGTTTGCAAATGCTGCTGATCAATACCACTTTAACCACCGTTAACAGGTATTGGTATCTCAGGCTCTCCTAACAAGCATGTTTGTCTGTCCTCTGAGTTATGATGAGCTCAAACATCAATTTTAAGGCATGGTGAAGAAACATTCAACTATATCACTGACCTCAATGTAGTTTTCACGGTATAAAATAATAAATAATTTCACTAAAATTGTATATATTACCCTAATCAACAATCTATTGTGTTTTTTTTTTTTGCATTTAAAGGATCAAAAGGGTCTAAAAATGCTTTGCTTAGCAGCCACAGTCACATGGAAAAACACAAGATGCCACTTTCAGATGCATCTATTCTGGAGAAAGGTTCACCGCCGCTGTGCTGGAAAACAGTCAAGACAATAACAGTATACACTTAGGTGCAGCTTTTGCATTAGAGGCTGCAAAAAGGCTTTGGAAACATAAGTGAGAAAATCTTACATTTAGAATGAAATGTTTATTTGTAAGTACTTTAGGATTCAAACCATTATGAGCATTCGTGTATCTTATTCTTACACTGGTGCTATTTATTGTGCAGCTGCTAAGGCAGTGGCGAGTGCAGCCTGGGGTCCTGAGGCTGATTTACCCCCTGCAGTCCTCGGTGTGCAGTGGCTAGCGAAATGTTCGCCTCGCACGCTGACCTGAATTTGCTGTCTGACTGCCCTTTTAGCCGGTGTCAGCGTGGAGAAGTGGATCAAAGGTTTTCGAGGGCGAGGATTCACCGCAGGAGAAGTTCTTTGGAGAGGTCTTTAGTACAATCATTGGATTTCGAAGAGACAGCATCGCAAGGCTTGCTGCAACCAGAGCTGCTTGATTCTCTGCACGTGGGGAGTCATTGCATCTGCCGGATGAGTGTACTATATGAGGTGTTTTTAAGGTCTGAAGATCTGAAGCTAATTAAAATAATCTCAATTGAAGGTTTCTCGTTTACAGTAAGTAGTCTCTATTTCACATAGGTTTTATATCGCTCTTTCGCTGGAGTTCTATGGAGACATGAAAAGAGATAGCGAGCAAAAAAAGGGGTCATTTAGACTGTCATCCATCTCAAGTAGTAAACACTGATGAGTCATTAGGTGATGCTGATGAATGAGTAAGCGTTTGAAAAGTGGAAGGATTTCTATTACTCTGCTTGGATGCTCAACTTCTTAAAATGGTACACAACCGTACCCCTCAGAGATCTACATCACTTCCTCGGTTACTTAAAAAGATGTGTTCCTACTAGTCTGTTGATCTCTATATAAACATTCATTTGAAAAATCTAAACGATTGCAAATAATTATCTTCTTGTATATAATTCGCAAATGATTATATGCCGCTGAAACATATGGAAAAAGATTTTTTAAAAGATCATCATCAACACCTCCATGAAGGCCAGATGATGTGTTGCCTGTGTATTTATGGGTGTAGTCTTAATTCTTTTACTAGTTTTAACTCTGCACTGGTTTTAATGTTTTACTGTTTAATGTTTTATTGTCCCCTTTTTTAAGGCACTGATTGTAAAGGCACTTTTTAATTTCGTAGTGCTTGTCACAATGACAATAAAATTCTATCTACCGAAAAAGGAAAAGACAACAAAAACATAACAGAAACAGATTCTCTGTTCAGGTTTTAGGTGCTTTCTCACTCATAAGTATTTGAAAGCATCACTATAAGCCTCCCAAGCCTTTTTGAAGTTTGAAGATGCCACATGTGCCTGCAAATGTGTGTTTCATGTTTGCCCTGGCGGATGAGGTACTACTGTACATACGGACAAATCTCTGATTAAAAATAAAGCTGCGAGTTACATTCCCACCATGCAACTCTGCAGCAGCTCAGCTCTATCCTCTCTGAACCTGATACACAACGGCGCTGATATGTCTTGGACTTTATTAATCCTGATAAGAGAATCAATAAAGTTCCATTGTAGACGCAGCTATCCTGACTTTGAGCTGTGCTGAGGTACATTATGTGCCGAGCAAACGTCTCCTCTGTGGAAGTGGCACAGGGACAGAGGGATGGGGTGAGTTTACTAAAGGAGGATTGTTGATTGGTGATATCATTCATCTCTACCACCGTGAACATCTTGTATTGCCTCAGGCTTGACAGAGAGCATGTCACATGTCACTGACAAAGCATGTACAGTAAATGAATATAAACCACATTGACAACCGAGGCCCCAACTGTGGTGAAGAGTTTGTACAAACCTGAGACGTGAACAAATGCACCCAGAAAAAAAAAGAACTAGAAAAAAGAGACAGTAAGGTTTAAAAATGCATAAACCTCTTAAGCCACTCAGCACAGACATGAATATTTATGAACGCTTAAAAAAACGGACAGCAATTTATAGCATCTCACCTGAGCAAGCCTTTTAAGGCTGCTGTGCCATTGATTTAATGAGTGAATTGAGTCATTTCACTGACAATAAACTTCACAGCCATCGATTTCAAAGTACAACAAACCTAAAATACTCAACACAAATCATGAGGGGGCATAAAGCAGAGGGGCTGTTTCTTAAAGCAGCACATTCTGGCTCATGCTTCTGTGATATAGAGCCCTGCAGGATACAGTGTTAAGCCCCAAGACATTCGCTAAAGGGAAATGAAATAAATTCTCCTGTGTACCCCAAAGCTCAGATACTGTGTGAAACAAAAGTCAGAGGCAGAAAAGACACCTCCACATCCAGCTGGGATGTCAATTCTTTTTCCATTGTTTTATGTAGGCTACTTTAGGATGTTTGTGCAACTGCACTGTATTCATCAACATCTGCTCATGTGATGTGCAGGCCTACTTCTATTATTAGTCTGACCTAATTTGGCATTTAAAATAGTGACTAAACAATGGCAGCAAATGGAGCAGCTATTATCACTGAAAAGGAGCAAGACAGTTCCCCTATTATGCCACTAGACCCCCCCAAAACAAACAACCACAGCATGACAAAAGTCTCCACATACTGTTAAGTTATTCTAATGATGACTCTGGGACAGGACTAGGCCTTTCTCAGAAATTCAATTCCCCTGCCTCACAAACTATAAAGGCTAACTCATGCTTTCTTAATTCTATTACCTCTACATACCTATAAAGCCACGCCTACGCTTTTGTCCTCTATTTATCTCTGTTTACACAACCCCCCTACCCCTGACCCCCCTCTCCCATCTCTTGCTTATCCTCTTAGTATCAGAGCCACAGGGACACAAAAAATCCACAAAGACCTGCCCCCTGGACCCCTTGGTTTCTAACCCAAGCCAAAGCCTAACATTGTTGAATAGTAATCTACTTTGGTCCAATATCACCCCATCCATCCTCCTTTCATCCCATCTCATCTAACACCCTTTAGCCTCATCACAATTCCCCTATCATCCCATCATACTTTTGACCTTTTTCATTCCATTCTGCTTTGAACCCCTTTCACGTGATCCCATCATGACTCTCTGTCACCCATACAACTTCAACCCCTTTCATTCAATTGTAGTCTGACCCTTTATCACCCCATCCATCTCCTACCTCCTCTAAATCCATCATACTTTGACCCCATTTATTCCATCACAGTTGACCACTACTGGCCTACACTACATTAATCCCCTATCGTTCATAATACTTATACTCCTTTTACTCTATCCATCTTCCACCCCCTCTATACCAATCTACCGGGCCCCTTCCAATACATCACCCTTAACCCCCTAACATCCCCTGTTCTTTGACCCCTGTCATCCCATCCTTTCCCAGCCTGTAAAGGCTCATTTATGCTCAACGTTACATAAGGATCCGGATATGGACGGAGTACCACCGGAAACCATGGAGACAGTGATGCTGCTGTCACTACCCAGTACAGATCTCTAGAGAGAAACGAAGAAGACAATGGCGGGTCTGAAAATGACAATCGTCGTCAATTTCTCTCATCGGTACTACTAGAGAAAAAATTCTCTATCCACCAACTGCGAAACATTTAGTGGCCTCTGTTTCTGTCTTCTGTGCAAAATATACATTATCACAAGCTCCTCCACGGTCGCCATGTTTCTTTCTGTTTGTTGTTGTCAGAAACTTTTGACTCCGGCCTGCCCCATGGTGGATGTAATGGTTAACATCCATGCCAACGTAAAGGACGCATGGAAGTATGTGAGCAGTGACGGAACCATCGTTTGAAACGGAGGCGTACATTTTCATACCTATAGCGAGCATAAATGAGGGTAAAGACTACCCTCTGACACGCCATTTCTACTTTGACCCCCAACAATCGAGCCTACGTTGACCCAAACACTCCATCTTACTCTGGCTCCTTCACACTTCAACCCACTTTGACCCCTCATAACACTTGATCCTACTTAATCCCTTTATCATTCCATCCCACTTTTACTCCCTGTAACACCTCCATATTTCTCTCATCTCTTATCAGACCATCCTAGTCTGAGCCCATCATCTCTGACACAATGACCCTTCATCATTCCTCTGATTTTGAGCCCTTTCTCACATCCAAGTTTGACCCCTTTTTCTACAGCCGTCTTTGACTCAGTATTGTTATATCCTACTTCTTTATTCCTTCCATAGCTTAATGCCCCCCCCCCCCCCCCACACACACACACACATACACACACACACACTACTTTGCCACCCAGCTTCCGCCCAATAACCATACCTCCAATGCATTCACCTCTATTTTTCTCATCCTTTGAGCTTATTTCAAAGAAAGTACCTTTCAGCTGGCACAATTACCCAAGCTTTTCAGTGAAATTACAGTAGTACAAGATTTTCTTCCCTGTAATTTTCTTATTCCCTGTAATATTCAACCAAAATCTTTTTTATATTTCATGACATTCAGCCATCATTGACTATGGACTAAGGTGATTGGATGTCCTTTAAATTTTACATGGACAATACCACATTTGAGTAAACCTATCAAATTTGATTCACTGACTATAGCTTCCAAAATAAGTCTAACTCAGAATTTTGTGAACAGGAATGGTGAGAATCTGGCCAACAGTGAGTGGTTTGCTGTGTGAGTGTACCGATCAACCCGCAGGCTTCAGTGTCTCAGAGTGTACTGTGTATAAACATGTGGTTAAAGGTCAACAAGGTCTCATGAGGCTATATGACCCTGTGAAAAATACATCAGGTTAAAAAAGGTTAACATTCAGCATAAATATTGTAGCTTTCCATTGGTTTAGGTGTTGTCCTCTGGGGTTTAAAGGGGAATGGAGATGAGGTGTGAGGCAAGTTGTACCCCAGGTCACAAGATAAAAACAGGGCTGACAAATTATTTACTCTCACAGTCTCACATACAATTTGCCAATTAGCCTATGATGAATGTTTCTGAATTGTGGTTCAGCCACATTTAGAGACACCCACAAACATGTGCCTTCATAGCTATTTTAAATACCAAGGCTGATAAATAAATAAAGTGCAGACATGCTCTTCACAGAAATTCTTTCCAAGTTAACACTCCCTCTGCTCTCTGAACCACCTATCACCTACTGTAACATGGATTTAATCCAGGACTTGAACCCTCTGGAGGCTTTGTGGGCAGGTTGCCCCACTTGTGTGAAAACGTGATCAACAAACGAAATAAATAAAATATTCTAAAACTAGCAGATCAGTATTGCATACCTAGCACAGTTCAGCTCGCCTTTAAAGCATGATAAGAGCATGCTAAGGCTTACCATGCAATGCTTTAACACATCGTACTGCAGTCACATCATTCTCCCTCTGAGACTGCATGCTCACATGCATCACTGCCATAACCTTACAGGGTCTCTGAGGCACTTTACGATGATGAGGAGTGCATCAAAGAGGACTGCACAGCAAACTTTCATCAGCGTATTGGTATTCCTGCGTGATTGCTGCATTTCTAGAGTGTGACAGTTGATCACAGACAGCTAAGCCAATATAGCCCCAGTGGCTCTGATTCAAATTCCATGCTCCTAATGTATTTTTTCTTCTCATACAGGGAGGCTTTCTAGGCAAAAGCAGCAACAATCAATGTGAGTGACAAGCCATAAAATGATTTCTATTATGGAACTGTAAAGTCATCAAACTGCAAAATTCCTTTATATTCCACCCTATAATGCAACTTTGTCCTAATATTCCACAAATAAAGCAATATACTGAGTGTTATAATCAACAAGCTAAATTAAAAGGAACAAACCAACAGAGATCTACAAAATGATTTAGTCTTTTTAACAATAGATGCTTTTCACAATGCAGGAATAAAACCTGCACAATCTGCTGTCAGAGAGACTCATTCCTATTACAATTTCCCTCAAGGACTCGAGAAAAGGTGACAAAAAAATCAGTCTGCTGTTTTATTCTTTCAAGTGACTCTAATTTCTTCCATGTTTTTGCCAAATTTTCTGAGAACTATTCTCTTTCTTTTGTTCTTGTTCTTATTATTTCCTTTTTGATTCGTCAAAACCTAGAAAACAACAGAAGGCAACAATGGAGTGCAGTTAAATCATCACCAAAAGCAGACTATTTATTTTACTTCCGAGTATTTGACAGGCCTATTGTCTGATTGGGAGATCAATGATATAAAACTGTTCAATGCCGCGATATCAAACCACCAACAACAGCGTCAAACTAATGCTGAGCACCAACAGAGCAAAGGCTAGATCAGTGAAGTGAGAGGTGACTACAGAGGGCAGGGTGTGTGTGTTTGTGCTTGAGAGTGTGTGGTTAGAGAATAATGAAACAGCACCTGCACTGGAGATCACAGAGGTGTTAAATGAAAAAATACAGCCACAGATGCTCTGCTCACTTGTTACATTAAAGAAGTTAATTTTAGTTGTTATGAAGTGAAAATTAACAAATTAATTATTTATTCTAAAGGTTTCAACACTTTCAGCAGTCTATAATGATTAATACTGAAGTTATATAACAGTACAGAGTTGGTGTGGTGTTAAAGAGGTGATATGTTTTTCTCAGCTTCTGGTTTAAAAATACGGGCTCATGCTGTTTTGGTTTGGGCACATACTGTCTCTCAAGAATGCAAATGTAAACTTGAACTCTTTCATAACTATTTTTTTCATTTTGAAAGACTGCAGATAGTGCCAGCTGAATAGCTGAGCACCAAACTCATTATTGTGGGTTAGATTCATCGTAACATGCAGTATGTGATCGGAGGAGACCTCAACTCTCAGCTAAGTACCAGACTGGACAACCAAAAACTTGTTTGGCTAACTATATGTGACAGAAAAGAAGTCTGCACTGCGCTCCAGTTCACTTGGACTAAGAAGTCTCTGCCAGTGAAATTTCCATTCCTTAAATGATGAAAGTCTTTGTTTTACTTACACTTGTGGGCCATTATTTCAAGTTTGTGTGTCTTAAATCTTCGGTTGACCACTGAGGGTTTCTTTTCTTTTTGGAACATCACTGTAGTACAAAGTCAAAGATCTCAACATGATGGATCTTGTCCAAGTTTAACTATTCATCTACAGAAAAGTATTAATATTAAACACAAAGAACAACCAGGAACTATAAATCAATGTAAAGAGTGAGTGATCTGGGGAAAATCTGCTCCTAAATGTTCACTGAGCAGTGCACTGATGCAGCTTCTCCACTGATGAGAGGTGTAATGATCATTGAGATTCACTGTCATCTCTGCATCACATCATGACAGGCTTATCAGACCTAAAATAACCCGATTATTAGCATAGATGGTACATCCATCATGCAAACAAGTAACTCATTTGGTTAATGTTTTTCCCTCATTACCACAGTTAATATTTTACTATTACCTGAAGGCATGTCTGTCTGGGAGTTTTCAGTAAATGCTTCTTTTTTCTATCAAGTTCTGCAAACAACCACGATTTCCTTTAAAATGCTCGATTTACAACTTTTGGATTGACATTAAAATCTCTTACTGGTTGTGTTGTACTTCACCCCGTTGATGTACTCCGGGCAGGGTCTCTCCACGATCCTCCCCGTGCTGCTCCGCGGCCAGCAGGTTCCAATCTCATCCGTTGTAGCATTACAATAAAAACCTAAAGAGGAAGAAATAAACCAGAGAGAATAAAGATAATTGCTCATACAGCTGCACTTTTTTGATTTCTCAAGATGATACACCTGCTACAAGAAGCAGGTTCACCTCACCATCAGTGCTGAGCAATGACAAAGACGCGTTTTCCAAAAAAGTGTCCTGGAAAGCATCCATCAAACTACAGTTTAAGTCCGCGAGCTCCCCGAATATAAACTGATATAAGGTAGCATCCATGGTGGGAATCGAGTGTAGGATTAATCCGTGGTCCGAGCTAAGATGCACACACTGAGCCCAGCGGTGTCCACGCGCTTCTGAACCAGTGCAACAGTAATGACAAGCAGAGAGCTCTGCGCTCCTGCTGAGAGCCGTGCGCCCGGCCAATCAGAGCCATGCGCGCCCTCATCCATTAACGTGCTGCAGCGAGCCACTGAGAGACGGCAGAAGTCACTTTATCCTACTGTGGCTGACATTTCACACCTGACACCCACCTGTCCGGACGGTGATGGAGGAGGAGCCCTGTTTCCTTTCATCTTGTACTTCCAGTTCGTAAGAGTACAAATGTGTGCGTCTTGTTACAGCATTAAGCTCACAGGCAGCTCCTATAATCCAGTGAATATCCTTAAAAAATAAACGTCTAGCGGTTTAGACTGAATGTAAAGTAGTTCCGAGGATTAGGTTCTTCCTTCAACTCCGGTGTATGTTAAGTTTTGTTGTTATGAAGAAAATCATACGGTCAGAGTGTAGCATTTGTTGTGTTTAATTATTCATAACTGTGGTAGAGAGCAGAGGTAGATCTAAAGGGGGCTTGGTATGGTGTTAGCATGGCATCGGACGTCGAACAGACGTGCAGATCAAGTCAGTATTAGATCAGTCCGTCAAAGACCACATCTGGACGTTAGTGCGACGTTCAAAATAGGTTAGAAATTTCGACGTCCAAATTGGACCTTTTTTAGACGTCGCTCTGACGTTTAGAATTTGGACGTCATCTGAAGACCAAATCTAGACGTTGTCACAACGTGTAAAATGGATCCAAGATTTAGACGTCATTATTGGACCTGTTTTGGACGTTGAAATGACGTACACATTTGAACCTCATCTAGACGTGTGCGTGGTCCGACAAGGACCAAATCTAGACGTTGGCGCAACATGCAAAATAGATCCAAGATTTAGACGTCATTATTAGAACCTCTTTTAGACGTTGAACTGACGTTTACATTAACACGTAATTTGGATGTGCTGTCCACCACCGAATCTAAAAGTCGTGTTAACATGCAAAATTAGTCCAAGATTTATATTGACCTGTTTCAGACATCAATATCACATTTGGATGTCATAGGTGAGGGTTAGGGTTAGAGTCAGGGTCAGGAGACCTGATTTAGACTTTGAAAAAAAACGATAGATGTCATTTCAATGTCGCATTGTGCAGTGGGTCTTATGAAATATGTTTGGGCTCCCAAATCCTAAATTATGATATGCTATTTGTCTTGTCAAAGATGGTACTCTGTTAAAATCTGTTATTTGGACAGTGTTGTGACGGGCTGTTGTGGAAAGTCCAGCATAATCAATGCACAGGAGACATGATGAGATCTGAAGAACAGCCTGGGCGTCTTTAATAGTACAGATGTAGAAATCAGTACAGATGACAAACAGAGTCTCGACCAAGACCCAAGGAAGCCTCCTCTAGCTTCTCTTCTTCTCTCTTTTATGCTGTTAGGTGTGTGTGTGTGTGTGTGTGTGTGTGTGTGTGTGTGTGTGTGTGTGTGTGTGTGTGTGTGTGTGTGTGGATTCTCCATAAGGCCCCTCATGATGACATGTCTGCCCCACGACACTTTGTTTAGGTTCGTCTTGACCCTGGCAGAGATTACATGTTCCAACAGACAGATAGTTTGGGCTCCTGCAAGACAGCCTTGCTTACAATCTCATGGTCGTGGGGCAGCAGGAGCAGGCCAACCTAGATTAGTTGTGGCTTCTTACTAAAAGATAATTACTCTATATTTCTTAACCTAAATGTATGAAGACATTCTCATAATTGGCGAGCTTTAGCCAGAATTCGTTTCGGGGGACAAGGGACCATGGTTCTGCGAACTTCACATGGGATAAGGACACTCTGTGCGCACAAAAAGAAAAAGGTAGGAGTTTTCCTAAAATTTGGTTGAGAGTTCTTCTCCCTGTGAGGTGGTGCGGACTACTGTTCTCTGTCCTCTTCGAATCAAAGAACCTAGAATAGAAATAAGAGGAGACAGTGGGAATGAAGACAGTCTGAGAAAACTGCATGCATGCAGTCAGCTGATCAAAGTGTTTGGGAAAATTTGGGAAAGGAAGCCAATTGAAATTGAATATATATCAGCTGATTTAAGAGAAACTGCAGTTGACTGTGTGAAATTGCCTCACGCTGTTGCATGTGATGAATGCCATATGAGAAGCTATAGGCTGCTGCATGTGATGAATGCCATATGAGAAGCTATAGGCTGCTGCATGTGATGAATGCCATATGAGGAGCTATAGGCTGCTGCATGTGATGAATGCCATATGAGGAGCTATAGGCTGCTGCATGTGATGAATGCCATATGAGGAGCTATAGGCTGCTGCATATGAGGAATGCCACGTGTAGAGCTATAGGCTGCTGCATATGAGGGAAGCCACATGTAGAGCTATAGGCTGCTGCATATGAGGAATGCCACGTGTAGAGCTATAGGCTGCTGCATATGAGGAATGCCACGTGTAGAGCTATAGGCTGCTGCATATGAGGAATGCCACATGTAGAGCTATAGGCTGCTGCATATGTGAGATGCCATATGTAGAAGCCATAGGCTGTTCTATGTGTGAGAAGCTATAGGCTGGGTGCAGAAGCACTTCGTCTTCCTGAAAGGGTGAGACCCCCTCACGCTGCTATAAGTGTGAGATTGTCATATGTGAAACTATAGGCTGGGTGCAGAAAAGCACTGGCCAGTAGCTTGGGGAGACAGCCGGGCCCGGGTTGTGATGTGTTTTTTTTTTAGGCTGAATGCCTGGAGATAAAAAGGTTCTGGGTAATTTTTGGGATAACAAGGGGAGCGGCAGACACGAGTGTGTCTGTCCATTGTTGAACTGTGAGTTTTAGACCATCTTTCATGAGCTCTGAAGGGTGGCAGCTGATGGACGAGCAGATTCATCTCGTAATACATACGTGGATTTTCTTTCTGGAAAACTCCACTAGAAAGTGGATTTGTCATGCGAAGTTCCGCTGAGGCTTAAGAAAAAGCCAAAAGGAGAACGAAAGTGGCATATTTCCTCCTAAATTCTGATCCAGAACTCTAGAGGGCCGAATAAGTATAATGACGGAATAGTAGATATTTGAAATGAACATATATATATCTCTTTTATATGTCGAAGACCTCACAAAATCAGTGTTATAATTGGACTTAAATTACAGATACAGATTGGCTTGATGAGCAGGAGATAGAAAAAGAGGTCAATAAGGATAGGCTGAAAAACCTATTCAAGGATCCCAATTGAACAAGCACGTCCCATATCTCCTGACCAATTGTAGAAGAATCACACAAATTGAAAAAAATCACACAAATTGGAAAAATTGAAGAAATCAAAACAAGAATTAAAATAGAAGACTGCTGACCGACTCCAGTGACTGACTTTGACTTCAAACACGTGTGAAAGGGTATACCATTGTGTGATGAAAAAGTGAAGTGTGTGGGTTGATCGGATGTTTGTGTGTGTCTGTTTTGTTCTGTGTCAACTAAGTTCTCTGGCAGTGTTCACAGCCAGACTCTGCATCTGTGTGTGTGTTTTGCTAGTCAAAGATTGCTGTGTTTTCCTCACTTGTGTTTATTTCATAGTTGTTTATGTGAATACTGTGCTCATTGCGGTCATGTTATCAGTTGAGACATAGAAGGTTAAACACTCCTGGGAAAGAGGTTCTGTTCCTAGTACCATGATGAACACTCCTGATATGAAGGTTTTAGCTTATGCTTAAATATTATGATGGTTTTTTGTTGTGAACACACCTCTTATGCTACTTAACAAATTTTCTGTGTTAAAGCTGCTGAACAAATGTTTGTGAAAGTATAAAAGATACAAAAAGGGAAAAAAGAAATGAGGTACCACAAGTGCAAAACTTCTAAAACTTCAAATCTAAGAGTTGCTTCTATACATCTGCTGTTTCTGCCAAAATACTGTGTTTTTTAAATATTATTGAAGCTGTTAATATCAATACTGACTATTGCTATAGAACTTCAGTTAAGGCAAAAGCTTTATACTGTGTATTTTTGGGAATTTTACAAAACTGCTGGGGATCAAGTTTTGATGTGTGTGCTCATTTGAATAATAAATTTTACAAAAACCGTGACCAGAAAGGGAAGATTAGTTTAACTCCAATTGCACTGGTAGGGTGTAAATATCCTGATCACTTAAAAATATCCAAAAACTTACAAAGAAATGGGAACAATGAGTCAAGGGGTTTGAATTTTTATGACCTAGGGGAGGCACATCTGATGTGACTGTGTGTGAGGATTTGGAGCAGCGAATCTAAGACCATAAACACAAAGATAAAAGTGAAACACGCAAAAACAAGGGATTTGGAACTAGAAGTACTGAACATGTTCAAAAGTGAAGGCCAACACCATTTTATGAATAAATTAAAGCTTGGGCTTGCAGAGCTTTAAAGTAATAAGGAGAAGGTGGAGACAAGAAAGTCAAACATGATCGGATTTTTATTACATGCTTCGTCTTTGTTCAACGCAACACTTAGATTTGTGTCATTTTCATACTTTAGATTATTTGTTTGTTCTTAATCATGCTCTGATCTTTTGAACTAATAAATAAGAATAGAATAAAAAACTAATTTTTTTTCTATCTTAGGTTGCCTTAAAACTTATTATTTTTGTTATTTGCTTATGTCATTTGAATTTCCAAATGATTTAAAATCATTGCTATTTTTTTTCCCATATGTTTTGAAAAGGAAATTGACAGTTTTGGTGAAATGTTAACCCTCTTTGGCCCTGAGGTTAGACCTAAATCCAGATTATGGCCCTTGCTGTGGTTGAGTTTGACACCCCTGGCCTAGATTATGTTCGCTTGGAAATGCACTGATAGTATGTTTTCAATCTTAATAAATGGCACACAGGCTAGCTATGTGCTGTGGAAAACCACACACCTTGTTGGACTGATTGCCAGACTACCACAAACCGAACAGGGGGCAGGGAGATGGATACGAGTTTTTGAGGATGAACTGTAGGAAAATGTTGACTACACCAGACATGAAAGCTGTCTTGGCTAAACTGCTGGGAACTAAGACGATGGAGGAGTTTCTGCGCAAGGCAAAACAAGGTTGGATGACGTATCCCATGATAGATGGGAGTGAGTTCAATGCATATTGTGATGTGATGTGGAGGGTGCTGCCAGATGAAGAGCGGAGACCGAAAGAACAGGAAAAGAACATTCAGCGGAAGTTGAAATAGCCACCTCTAAGGGGGACACTGCAAAAGAGACCCAGCGATGCAGACCGTGCAGATGCTAACTGCGGTAAAACCTGTGACAGTGACCTGTTTAATCACCTGTTGTGAATTTTTATCCTCAGACAGAACCCTGCTCCATAGAGAGGATATATCCCGGCAGGGGGAGAGAGTGGAATTCTAACGGACGTGTGACTTCTAAAGACCTGCTTGGGATGTGATCATACCAGACATTGTTGACAACTGCCCAGACCAGGGACGCCTCTGGCTGGAGCTGTGGTGGGGGGCCCCAGCCCAGACAATGTGAAAGTGGTGGCTTACTACAGTGTGATTTTTGTGGATGATGGAAAAAATTAATTGTTGGTTTTAATTTTAACCCTGTTGACCTTATAGACCAAAGAGCCCTATGTAGAAGTAACATTCAAATTTGGTGCTCACCGCAAGGTGTGTAAGTAGACAGTTGTGGTTTATAGTTTTAAGTAAATATCGTGACATTAGCATTGTAACATTCCTGTTCTGTTAGTTTAATACTGATAAATCTAAATGCAGCTGTGCTGAATCCACACACACTCCTCACAGATGTGCCATCTAATGTAAAAGTAATAGGAAGCTATCAAAGGCCAGTAAGGCCACAGAAAATGGTTTAGAGTCAAATAACTAGTTTTTGTACCAGTAGTATTAACAAACAAACTTAGGATCTGACTTTCACAGTGATTCACACTGTGCAAGGGGGGAGATGATGAGACAATTAAAACGACATTTTTAGAATATGCTGACAATAGTTGATAAACTTTTGGGTCATTGTGATATGTGTTTTGTTAGATGAATTGAAGAGAACAATAAAACAGTAGTGGGACACTGTTCCAGTTCCAGAGAGACGCTTTTAGAAATCTATTCATAGGCAATGTGGACATGATTAAAACTGCCAAGGGATATGTTACATGTTTGTAATGATGACGGGTTCAGTCGATGGATGGAAGCAACACCATCAAAAGATCTTGGAGTCAAAATAAATCTTTCACTGCATGAATTGGTACATCATTTTGGGGAAGAAAGTTAATCTCTCAAGTAAATATCTGATCAGAGAATTTGCACT